TAAGCAAGTCTGAGAAAGAGCTGGGCAAACTCCAAACTCCCATCTCCGTGTCTGATGGCAAAACACTTGCCGAAGGTCATTAAGAATATACAGAAGATGACAACTGATATTCCTAAGTCGCCCTGTCAGATGAATGATTCTCTGATAGGGAGCCCCCACTTGGAGAGGCCATGGGGGTCACTGGCTCTGTATCTGTTGGTTTCTGCTTGTAATTCTCTCATGTGCTGCCATGAGTCCTCCCTGTGGGTATTTTCCCACTGCTGTGTGCTTATCTCATGAAAATATTCCATCTACTGGGCACGCAAATGGCTGTGAATAGTCAGGAAGATGATTTTTGCTTAACTGTATACTTCTGATAAATAGAAATAATACTAGGATACTTCTCATGACTCAGACTAACATAGAAAAGTAATAGTATTCTCAGTCACAAAGACAGCTAATTTTATATTTCAGCACAAATTCAAAGCAAACTGGTTGGCCCTGGTGACGAATACACAAAGGACAATTTCCCAGGAATTTAATCCTGATTCAAGGTCAGGCATGAAGCAACTTTAGTAGACATAACTTTCTCAGCAATGGACTTTTTTTTGTTTTTTGTTTTTTTGTTTTTCGAGACAAGGCTTCTCTGTGGCTTTGGAGGCTGTCCTGGAACTAGTTCTTGTAGACCAGGCTGGTCTCGAACTCGCAGAGATCCACCTGCCTCTGCCTCCTGAGTGCTGGGATTAAAGGTGTGTGCCACCACCACCCAACCTCAGCAATGGACTTTTTGCACATACATCTAACCTCATTTTTATGTTACAAAATTCAACATTCAGCCAACTAACTCTTTATGCTGGATAGAAGAATATCTTAGGATTTGGAATACTTTCTAGGTAGATATCTCTTGCTATGTGCTTTCCTTCTTGCTTTGTAGACTGTACATCAGGGAAACTGGCTGACAGCCAAGCATTGCCATGGTTATGGTCAGCATGACTTTTCTAGCTGGAGAGAAAAGTCGTGTGATTTCTTATATGTTTATAGAACGGCTCTGTCTCTATTACAAAAGAAATGTAATATGACCTTCGAAATGCTGCTCATATATATTGTCCAGAGTTCTTCTGGGGAAAAAGAAAATTTCAAGATTCAGTAATAAAGTTATCTTCAGAACCTGTGAGTTTATTCCTAAAGACCCTCAGATAGATAACTCTTGCTACTTTGAAGGGATTCCTTGTGCAACCCTGGTGTAATTCTGGGAGACGGACACCCAGAAAATGTTCAGATCTCTGACACCTTTCAGCTTTGCTGACTGTAACACACTTCTTTCTCCTGGGCTCAGTCCACATCCTATTAGCAGCTCTCCTCAGCAAGTGTCCCAAGGCTTCAACATCTCTAACATCTTGGGGTCTCCAAGGCAATCAGGGTTTCAACTTCACAGCCTCCTGAAATGGCCTGTCTAATAGATCTCCATGCAGACACATGTCTGGTCTCAGTGGCTTTCCTTAGACACGGAGGCATATTCCATAGCCCCCTTCTTCTGTCCTTAACTCTAAAGCCAGAGTCTTTGGCTGAAGCTGCGGAGTTCTGCTGCTTGCTGAGGCTGGAACATGGCCCCTCATTTAGTGACGTCTTCACCAGCTCTTCTGTTCTTGATGGTTTCCTTCACTGCCTAAACTTGGTAGTTTTGGAACTTGCTCTGTAGACCAGGCTGGACTCAAATTCAGAGATCTGACAACCTTCCGGGTGCTGGGATTAAAGGTGTGCACCACTACATCCAGCTCTGTGATTTTCTTTTTTTTTTTCTAGAAACAGGGTTTCTCTGTGGCTTTGGAGGCTGTCCTGGAACTAGCTCTTGTAGACCAGGCTGGCCTTGAACTCACAGAGATTTGCCTGCCTCTGCCTCCCGAGTGCTGAGATTAAAGGCATGTGCCACCAATGCCCGGCACTCTGATTTTCTTTAGGTCCTTTCCCCAAGTTGGAAATTTAGCTGGATGGTATCTTGCCCTGAGGTCACCACTCCCTTTATTTCATCTCTTAATCCATTTATCTCCTTGAACACAGGATTTAGCTCTATTCTACTTCCTGGTGCCCCTTTTCTCAATCTGTACATTTGCATTTTACCCTTCTCAGCTTGTTCCTTTTCATTATAAATCTTCACTATAGTTACCACTAATAACCACACAACAGCGTCTGTATTAGGCTGTTTTGAGAGTCCCTCTGCAAAGGGAATTAATTCAAAACTCTTCACTTTACCCTCAGGCTGGCTTTTTGGACAAGGGCAAAAGGTAGCCACTTTCTTCACCAAAATGCCACAAAACAATCTCTAGGTAACAAATTAAAATTCTTCTCTGAAACGTCTTGAGTGGGCCTCTGACAGTTCAAATCACTTAGCACCTCTGCCTTCAATGCTTCTGCTAGTGTGGCCCATTAAGTAGTGCATTCCACTGCTTTCTAAACCCAAGGAAACAAAGTCCAAACTCCTGCATAAATAAATAATAAATAAAATGGTCAGGTCTATCACAACAATAACCCAGTCGCTGGTACCAACTTCTGTCTTAGTTAGGGTTTCTATTGCTGTGAAAAGACATCATGACCACAGCAACTCCTATGAAGGAAAATTTTGAGGTGGCAGCTTACAGTTCAGAGGGTTAGTCCATTATCATCATAGTGGGGAGCAAGACAGTATGGAAGCAGACATGGTGCTGGCTACATCTTGATCAGAAGGCAACAGGAAGTGGACAGAGTGTCACACTGAGGGAAGCTTGAGCAAAAGAGACCTCAAAGCCTCCCTCACACTGATGCACTTCATCCAACAAGGCCACACCTACTTCAACAAGGGCACACCTCCTAATAGTGCCACTCCTTTTGAGGGCCATTTTATTTCAAGCCACCACACTGGTGATCAAGTTTCCAGCAACACTGATGAATTCTGGTGTCATTTCTATGATTTTGCCTGTAGATGTCACATGATCCATTTTTCTCATCATCTCACATAATGGTAACCTTTTATTCTTTTTAAATATAAGTGATCCTGATTGTCAATTTGATGAGATTTAAATTTTGTTTTGTGTGAGACAAGGTCTCACTATATAGCCTTAGTTGGTCTGAAATTCCCTACGTAAACCGTGCTTGCCTCTAACTTACAGAGGCCCACCTGCCTCTGCCTCCTGCATACTGGAATTAAAGTTGTACACTACCACTCCTGGCAACTTGATGAGATTTACATTCTCCATGGAAACAAGTTCTAGATATGTAAACTTGCAGGAAGTAGAAGACCTTGTCTCAAACAGAAGGTGGAAGACATCTGAGGACCAACACCAGAGACTGACCACTAACCTCTACATCCACATCATGTGTGTGCACTCGTACCTCACACACACACACACACACACACACACACACACACACACACACTTTTCCATCCCTTCCTTCCACCTTGATTCTAATTGCCTCCTATGATCTCATGGGGCAGCTGACCTGGAAACCCTATAGCTCTTATATCCCCATCCCTACATTTATCACATCATTATAACAGAAAGATCACTTGGTTTTATAGACGTTGTCTCTGCCTCATGGGAAGCCTGGAGCTAGTGGGCAGATGTCACGGGGTACACAGACCATTATGAGCTTTAGTGGGTGAGATACTCAGGGTCAAGCATATGTTGGAGACTTCCAGTTTTTGCTGTCCAAAGCCTGGATTTGGGGAGGGGTGGTATGTATGCTTGCATGTTTGGGTCTTGTGTTTGTTTTCAGGGTTAGGTGGCATCTGCTGTCCTTGTTTTTTTTTTTTTTTTTTTAGCTTGGTTATTTCTACAATTGAGCTTGAACACGTGTTTGTTTCATTGTTGGTGTTTTTCTCACTTTTTTTCTGTTGTTATGTCTCTTTAGTAATTACAACACTCCTGCATGCTGTAGTCTGCTGCCATTTCTTTTCGACTGTTTTTCTGATCTCATGTTTGGAGCTGCTCCTACTTCTGCTCAGTGTGTCTACAAATGCCTGGGTTTCCCACTGACTTTTTGTAAAAACTCATCTTCAACTGAGCTTTTACTTTTCCACAGAAATCTCTCGTGATCAGTGACTTCCAGTCAGTGTCTACACGTATACCATGCATATCATTCTTTATGTGTTTAAAGAGTATCATCCATGGTACGCACGCAGGCTTCAAAATCTCTCAGACAGGAGAGAAGGCTCAGTGGTTAAGAGCATACCCTGCTATTGGAGAGGACCTGAGTTCAATACCCAGCATCCATACAAGTGGCTCAGAACTGCCTGTAACTTCAGCCCCAGCTTCCCAAGGCCTCCACAGGCACTACATTAATGTATACATACACATAATTTAAAATAAAAATACATTTTTAAATCTATTTTTATTATACCTTAACATATAAATTAGGACTTTACTTTCTTTTTTTCTTCCAAGACAGGGTTTCTCTGTATTGCTTTGGAGGCTGTCCTGGAACTCACTCTGGAGACCAGGGTGGCCTTGAACTCACAAAGATTCACCTGCCTCTGACTCCCAAGTGCTAGATTAAAGTCGTGCAACACCAATGCCCAGCAGCAGTACTTTACTTTCTTTCTTTCTTTCTTTTTTGTTTTTATGAGACAGGGTTTCTCTGTATTGTTTTGGAGGCTATCGGTCCAGCCCAACCTTGAACTCACAGAGATCTGCCTGCCTCTGCCTCCCGAGTGCTGGGATTAAAGGCATGCGCCACCACCGCCCGGCTAGGACTTTACTTTCTTACAGAAGTTTTATTTGGGGGGATGGAGAGATGGCTCCACCACTAAGAGCATTTGTTATTCTTTCAGAGGACCTGGGTTTAGCTCCCAGCACCCATACAGAAGCTCACAGCCATCCATAACTCCAGCTCCAGGGGATCTGATGCCTCTCCTGGCCTCTGCAGGAACCAGGCACTGTACTTATACTACATGCAGGCAAAACACTCATACACATAAAAATAAAGCAATCTTTAAAAAAAGAGAGAGAAAGCTTTCCCCACTGGAAAAACAAATAACAACTCAAAAATTACAGGAAAAGCTTTTTTGACATCTTTCCATTCAATTCGATGGGTGCTTTTGTTTGTAACCCTGGGCCCCTTTCACTAAGCATTCAGCCCCATATTTGTCCAGCTGTTTGCTTTCTTGCTCTGATCCTGTAGAACTGGCCCAAGCCCTTCACTCTCATCTGCTCAGTCCCCACCCCCACCTAAGCAGGATAGGCACACCCTCATTCCAGTCGCTGAGCGCCTTGCTCTCCTCCAAACTCTGCTTTTCCATTCTCTGGGTTCCAGCAACTTGTCTGATTTGGTTTCCTCTGTCCTACATTTCTGTTTTCATGTTAGTCTGCTTCTCTTGGGTCCCCCTTTCCTCCATAGAGGCCCTCAAAATTAACCAGCTCTTACAGCCTCTGATTGAAGCCAAGATCTGTGGGTCTAGGCAAACACTGCCAGCAGAAACTTCTCCAGAAGTTGGCCAGCATCTTCTGGGGAAGAAAGGACTGGCTCTTTTGATTGCTGACTGGATAACTTGTGTTTAACAATCACCTTTCTGTGCCTGTACTGAACCAGATCGGAATGCTTCTTGCCTGCCAAGTTCAAAGGATGAGCTCATCTTCGCTGGGCGCTGGGGAGACGCTCAGGCAAGGAATCTTTTATAAAAGAAGCACACGTGGCCTGTAAGACTCAGGAAACGCAGCAGTGGACTCTTGAGAAATCATCCCTATGGAGGGCTGCGGAAGCCGCGGCTCCTGCTGGTAATGCCACTGCTGGTGGTGATGCCACAGCTGCTAGTGGCGTTGCTGTGACTGTTGGCGGTGCTGTGGTTGGCGGTGTTGCTGTGACAGTTGGCGGTGCTGTGGTTGGCGGTGTTGCTGTGACTGTTGGCGGTGCTGTGGTTGGCGGTGTTGCTGTGACAGTTGGCGGTGTTATGGTTGGTGGTGTTATGGTTGGTGGGGGGGCTGCTGCCACTGGCAGTACGCCTGCTGCAGCAACTGCTGCTGCTGCTGCTACTGCTGCTGCTGCTACTACTACTACTGCTGCTGCTGCTGCTGCTGTTTGGCTGATGCTGGTGCTGCGGCTGTTGCTGGTGTTGCTGGTGTTGCTGGTGTTGCTGGTGTTGCTGGTGCTGCGGCTGTTGCTGGTGTTGCTGGTGGTGATGTTGGTGACAATGCTGAGGCTTCAGCTGCGGCTGCTGTTTAGGAAAGGAAACATTTCAGATTTTTTGTTTTGTTATATTATTTGCCCCCCCTCTTTTTTTTTAAGCAGCAAGCACACATCTCTTCAGGGTTGAGCAGGCTTAAGGGTGACAGCTGAACTCTCAGTATTTGGAAGTGTCTCTTCCAATGTGTGATGCCAAGAGACAAGTCAGTATTTCAGGGAAGAGGCTTTAAAACCTGGGCTCCTCACAACTCCTCTTCCCTACCCTGCTGCTCCCAACACATAACCCTCAGTCTCTTCAAAGCAGAGAGGCAGCCTTTCTTTCCAAACAGCAGGGGTGCAGGATGAGTCAGGTGGGGTTTCTTGCCCCTTTCCAAGCAGACTTTCCAGAAAGGGTGATTTTCACCAAGATGCCTGGAAAGTGCTGGCATCTTGGTGTCCCCATATATAAGAGCAAGGTCACAAATGAGCAGAGAAGGCCAGTGTGAGGGGAGGTCTGTCTATACCAGTGGTTCTCAACCTTCTTAATGCCACAACCCTTAAATACAGTTTCTCATGGCATGATAACCCTCAACCATAAAATTATTATCATTGCTACTTCATAACTGTAATTTTGCTACTGTTTTAAATTGTAAAGTAAATATCTATGCTTTCCAATGGTCTTAGGCATAAATGGATTGTTTGACACCCCCTCCCCCAAGGAATCATGACCTACAGGTTGAGAACCATTGCCTTACAGAATCTCTACAGGACTCTGTACTATTCTCACAGCAAAACATCTGATAGGAAACCTTTAAAGCAGGCTTGGCCCACAGGCAGAGAACCTATACCATGGCTGCCTGCAGGGATAGGGCTGTTCTCTGCCCCACCAGCTTCTTCTATAGTATGGCCTGTTCCTGAAAGTATCACATTTACAGTTATTTGTGGACAGTTTGCCATAGTCAGACATGGTATTAGTTACTTGGAGAGGGCCAGAAGGAAGCTCAAGTTCTCAGGGTCACATGGCTTCTCCCCTCCAGCATGCTCCCCAGGGTTGTGGGTGAGGGAGTCTGAAAGAATAAGATGGCAATGCTTGGGCCAAAACCAAAGATCCTTTGGTAGAGTGCTTACCCCTAGCTCTATCCCCAGCACAACATAAACTGAACATGGTAGTGCATATCTGTGCACATTGTAATCCCAGCTCTCAGGATCAGAGGTTCAACACTGACCTGGTCTACATAGTGCATTCAAGACCACTCTGGGCTATGTAGACACTTTCTGAGAGGGAAGCAGTTCTTGCCCTGTATAGCTAGAACCCACTGGAGACACAGACATGGACAAAGCTGCTCACAGATACCAACTAGTTCAAAATGTCAGAGAATAAAGGGGCAGAGGTGTGTGGTCAGGCCTGGAAAGCTCAGAAAAGGGGAGGCTGGGAGGATGGCCAGAGAGATAGAAGGGGTCTGTGGGGCAGGGGCTGGCAGAGTAAGGTTATGGCAGAATCTACAAGTAAGAGACTCTCCACACAGATGATTTGAGTTATGACTCACTGTAACAGACAGCTCACCTAGAAGTGAGCCCAGGAGAGAGTGTGTTTGACACCCTGTCCCAAAACAAGCCAGATAATCCAGAAGACACGCCAGTCAGAGGCAGATCTGGGGCAATGCAGGACAAGGGGAGTATGAGTTTAAGAAGGGGTATGAAGAGAAAACAAAACTGTAATCAAGTTTTTCTATGGGCCGCCAGCTCACTCACACACACACACACACACACACACACACACACACACACACACACACGCACGCAGAGACTTAAATTAATTATGAAAGCTCAGCCTTACCTTAGGTTTGTTTCTAATTAGTTCTTATAACTTAAATTAACCCATTTATATTAATTTACTTTCTGCCTTGTGGCTTTATTACCTCATCTATGTACTGCCCATCATGTTTGCTCTGTATCTCCACCTTCTTTGCAGCATGATCCCTGCCTGGAAATCTTACCTAGCTATTAGACATTCAGCTTTTTATTAAACCAATCCAGAGCAACACATCTTCACAGTGTACAAAGAGATAATCCCACAACATTTCCCCTTTTTTGTTCAAATAAAAAAGAAAGGTTTTAGCACCCTCCCATCACACAAAGACTGAACAACATTTTCACCTTTTTGTCTAAATAAAAAGAAAGGTTTTAACCCTAACACAGTAAAACTATATACAATAAGAACAATTATCAGGTAAGAATTACATTTACAATGTCCAGTCCATTTGCAATCTGGCAAATTCAGAGAAAATACTCCATTATCTATTCCCTCTTGATGAGTCCAAAGTTTTGTACCTATTTTACTTTCTATCATGACTAAGGAAAACTGTAACTATAATTATCTAGTCTTAAACCTCATCAGAGACCTGAGGAGGATATAATATTACCTGAGTAAACAGGAAGTAAAGAGCAAACAGCTTTCCAAAACTACAGAAATGACAGAAACAGCTGGCTGCCTCGACAGTCACCCAAGATTCCTCTGTAATGTTGAGCATCCATCTTCAGCCTACAGGCCTAGAATATCTGACAGACTTTTCTGTGAAGCAGGATTTTTGAAGGACTGCTCTACCTTGTCTTGGAAAAGTTTGGCAGTTTCCTTCTTTTGTGTCCTGCTGGTACAATTTGGACAGCATACTGTCAGCAGTTGAAGCAAGGATAGTCTCTTTGCCTAGTGGCTAACTTTACCACAAATGAAAGCAAACTCCATATGGGGGGTTTTCAATGAATGTCATCCTCTTTTGAAGTAAATTGGTACTGTCAGAAGCAGACAGATCTCACTATCATGAAAATCCCTATGTTATTAAAACATTAAAATGCCATGTTCTGTAGGTCTCTGAAGTGTTTGAAGAAATCTATTTAAAGTGTCTTTGATTGACCTTGGAAGTATACCTAACATGGCTATAAACTTGAATGTTACATATGACTAACTAACTTGTATGTCTTTATTATCCTAAATAGCTTTCAAGGACTAGAAACATATTTTTATTTTTATTTTATTTTATTTTTGGTTTTTCGAGACAGGGTTTCTCTGTGGCTTTGGAGGCTGTCCTGGAACTAGCTCTTGTAGACCAGGCTGGCCTCGAACTCACAGAGATCCACCTGCCTCTGCCTAACCAAGTGCTGGAATTAAAGGTGTGCGCCACCAACACCCGGCTGAAACTTATATTTTTAAATGAGCTGCATAGGTACAATACCTTAAACAAAAAAATAGAAATATATAATACAGTATAACAAAAATAACTTTACATTTGTGTCAATAGACAAAAATCCATGCCAATGTAAAATATTTGAGACTAGTAGTTGTTCAAAAGTAGACTCAACAATCTACCCTTTTATCCCATCATTTCTATACTGTATCTCCCTTTCTCCCTTCAGAAAGAGATCCCTGAAACTAGTCTCCTTTGTTTACCTTTCTCCCTAACCATCACCAGTAACAATTTGTGACCAACCCCCCTAAATGATGACAAACATCCATGACCCACTGAATGACAAAAACCACCCACCCCACCTCTTGGGAATGTGGGCATCGTGTTCTCTAGCCTGCTTCCTGTTCTCTATGAGTGATGGCATCTTAATGGGACCTGAGAAAATTAAAATAATGGTCAAGTCCTGGGAAAACTAACCATAACATTTGTTGTCCAGTTTCTGTGCAATGGGAAAGTGCAAGGCTTATCTGTAGTCCTAACTAGAATAGTCTGTGAGTCTGGACATCTCAGTCAGCAGCCTTGAAGGTATTCTGAATGCAGAACTCTGAGGAAACTGCAACAGAGGCACTCTGAGAGACTGAGTCACCTGGGCCACCCATTTTCATTGGTGTCTGGTTCCCTTACTCTGAAAATACACAAACTTTCAAAAGTAGCATACATGTCTGTACTAACATAAGTATTGACTATGAGTTTTGCACAATCCAGCCAAAGATGATTTTTTGTCTTGTTTAATTTTTGAGCAGGTAAAATATATTTCACCTGTCTTGTAGTTTTTCTAGGTTTATTTTTCTATGTCTGTAACCAGGATTTTCAGGGTGTCCCCCCCAATCAAACCTGATCCTCGTTAACCTTGAAAGAATCCACAGCCTTTTGTTTTCTGTGGAAACAAAAGCATGACCTCTTCCCCAAAGCAATACATTTTTTACTTCCATTTTAAAATTAAGGCATTCCTAAAATATCTATGCTGTCTTAATTCAACAGTCCTTTCCACAATCCAATGTCTCTCAGCAGCTGTTGTTCTCTGTTCATTACTATTCAAAAAGTTCAAAATCAACAAACAGACACCTTATAGGATCCCAACTCCCTGTATATTTTCCATCTTTACATGACCTATCCTTTTTATATTATTTTATTCTCTCTTTAAAGACTTTATTCTTTTCTATGACTGTACCCATTATCTTTTCTTTTTTAAGTTTATGCACATTTTTAAAATACTAACAAGTTTAGAGACTTTGTCCACTGAATCTGTCTTAACTGAGCATCTGTTGTGTTGACTAATCATTTGAGACAAATCAAACTATTATGTCAGCCTCCATGCAGCTTGGCTTAGCACAAGGTACTGGTATCTGGCTCCAGCCTGCAGGAAACAGCCAGTAGCCACATGTCTTTATATCACTGAACCTACCCAAGAGATCACAGCCCTCAGGTTTTATGTGGATATATGTTATGGACATTGGGTGCCATGTGTAGTCAGGCTTCTCTTTGGGCCTCCAGCTCACAAAACAAGTGACACAGAGACTTATATTAAATAATGAAAGCTCAGCCTTGGCTTAGGCTTGTTTCTAACTAGCTCTTATAACTTAAATTAGCCCATTACTATTAATTATGTTCTGCCTTGTGGCTTTATTACCTTATTGCCATAATGCCCATCATGCTTGTTCTGCATTTCCTGGAGTTTCTGCCTTCTTTCCAGCATCCTCTCTGCCCAGAAATCCTGTCTAACTATTGGCCGTTTGGCTTTTTAATAAACTGATCAGAACGGCACATCTTCACAGTGTACGAAACGATTGTTCCTTGACACAAAACCATTACCTTGTCCCATTAGAGGGTAAACTGAAGTGAAAGATGAGATGGGTTCCCCAGTCATGCATTCCAGAGTGAACTTGCCATAGCTTTAGAAGGCCATTTTGTGAGGGAAGTTCAGAGAAATAAATGGGAACCTAAACAGCTTTCAAGCAGGAGGTAATAGGTGGCTGGCCACTGCCTTGAACAGCCAGTCTCCCTAGAAATGCGTCTGGAGCCCAGCCACTACCAGCAGCTACCTCCAACACCACAGTGCCAGCATCTGCTGTCTCAAGAAGCCTGGAGAGACACAGAGTCTACAGCCTCAGTGATGTCATTGTTGACATCACTAACAACCTGAGCAAAATGACAATGCAATAAAGGGAACTGTGACATATATAATGGTCTTTCCAAAAACCAGGGCAAGTGAATCTGGAATCGCAGGCTGAGGCTCATGGAAGAAATATTGTGACAGCTGTTGCAGAATTGCTGATGATTGAGATGCAGCAGAACCTGGGCAGAACTAGGATGGTTCATCTCAAGGAGGAGAAGCAGCAGGCACTGGAGGGACCAGGAGGAAGTCCTGGTGCCTTGGCTGCAAGAAAGTAGCATCACCCATCTTTTAGAAAACAGACAAGTGCTGCAACTGAGAGAAGGAAATTATTTTAGTTAGTTAGGGCTTCTAGTGCTGTGGTAAAGCATCACCAAAAGCAGCTTAGCAGGGGGTGGGGGAATAAGTTTATTTCATCTTACAATTTATAGTCCATCATCCAGGGAAGTCAGGGCAGGAACCTGGAGGCAGGAACCAATGCAGAAGCCATGGAGGAGTGCTGCTTACTGACTTTCCTCCTGGCTTGCTCGGCCATCCAGGACCACCCGCTGGGGTGGTCCCGTGCATCAGTTACCAATCAAGAAAATATGCCACAGCCTTACCCAATCTGGTGGGGCATTTTCTCAATTGAAGTTCCCTCTTCCAAAATGACTCTAGCCTGTGTCAAGTTGACATAGGAACTAGCCACCTAAGGTCCTAATGGACGACCCCGAGCCCTATTCCTAATTAAACAGCCTGACACAGTATTGTAAAATCCTCACCCCAATTTTTGTCATGAAGCTTCATTTTAAAAGATGATAAAATATCTTAACAGATAGTCATGAAAACATTGGACCATGATGAGTTTCAAGAAGTTTGATATGAGAAAACCAAGCAAGCTACAGCTACATCCTGGTGACTGTGTCTCTTGAGTGTCAGCATGCCCCTGTGTAAACATCCTGATGATAATGTTTTCCCAGATCAGGTGGCTCATAGCTGCCTGCAACTCTAGATGCATCGTACCTGAAATCTTCTTCAGGCCTCCATGCTCACTGCACTGACGCGCGTGCACGTGTGCACACATTTACACACACACACACCTTCAAGGTCTTTCTATCATCTCTCTCATCTCTTTATTTTCTTACCTCTATCCAGATGTATCCCTTCAGTGTGTCATTAATTTTCCCCTTACAGACATTCTCCAGAATGTGGAGAGATAGGTTTGGGGCATGGGCCTTCTCTGGTGTGTCAGGGAAGGATGCCAGCGGGGATAATGGGTATAATGGGAGGCTTTTGGAGAGGGGTGGGCTTTACCACCCCAGGTGTGGAGAAGGAAGACAGGTGTGACGAGGACAGCTCATGTAGTCGTGCTGTGGCTGGGACCTGAACCCAGAGAACTTTTGAAGCCACACACACTGTATGTCAAGGTTCCAGGTAGTCTGTGTCCTTAACTTAAACCTACACCATCGTCAGGTTTGCCTTTTCCTGGGCAGGGCTCCACGTTAGGATCCCTGCAGGACACATGGCCCCTGAATGTGGATGTTGTGCGCAGCCATGAGCTCCGCCTGCTGCTACAGGCAGAGGAAGGGGCACACTCCCTTCCCTATGCCGATGGTGCACTGTGGTTTCATCTGAGCCCATGGATGCTGTCCCCAAGCAGTGGGTGAGCAATTCCACTGCCAAGAATCCCAGCTGAGGCAGATCTCCACACAGGAGGTGAAGACTGGAACCCGCCCTTCTCTCCATCGTCATCATTCATGGAGAAGCCAGTACTCCTCACCTCCCCACCCCCACCCCAGAGCTCTAGGGCAGGCAGCCTGCTTACCTCAGTCACTGACATTCTTTGTGGGTCCCTAATGGGCTGTGGACTGGGAACTGCCCCAGCCTCCCTGACTTCAGCTAGTCTCCTGGTGCCAAAAGGAGTAGAAGCCCAGAAAGCGCTGTGAGAACCAAGTCCTCATGAGAAAGATGGGGGGGGGGGGACAGAAAGGCCCAGTCCTGCCTTCAGCCCTTGCTCTCCAAAGCCTTAGGAAGAGGCAAAGTTGCAATCAGATGTCAGATGCCCCCTAGCTGGAGGCCACAGCAGCCAGTGTCCTGGGTTCTCCTAAACCCCAGTCCAAGAAGAGCATACAAGTGACCCCCACAAATCGGGGAAGAGGGGCCTGAGCTGGCTGCTTAGGAGTGCTCCCAGCCTCTAACTTTAGGCCCCACAGTCTGGAGCAGGCTTCCTGCTGCTCCTCTTCCCAAGAAGTCAGACTTTCCCAGGGAATGGTCACTTCCTGCTCTAGTTAAGGAGGCAGAAAGAAACCTACAGAGCCGGAAGGGAAGGGCCTTGGTCCAGGTGCAGTTTCTGCCCAGAGTTGGATGGAAATGGCAGGACCTGCAGACTGCTGGGTGGGTCTCTGTGCTCTGAGAACTGGGATGCTCTGAGCCAAGGGTGGGTCCTTCCAAAGGCAAGCTGGCCTGTTCTGCTTCTGGGACGGTGGTGTGTGTGTGTGTGTGTGTGTGTGTGTGTGTGCACATGTGCATCTTTTAAAACTAGTATGATTAGCTAGTTTGTTGTGATATTTTTATACACTTATGTAATTACACATTGTTTTTATCATCCTTCCTCGCTGTCTCCCTGCTCCCCTAAATACCCCCCCTTCTGCTTTTTATTGAAACCACATACATTGAGTGTCAAGGCTCCAGGTAGTCTGTGTTTATAACTTAAATCTACTCCAGAATGAGATTTGCCTTTCCTGGGAAACCATTTTGCACAGAAACAAATGCTCACCTTGGGTCCCCTTCCGGACACTGTGAAGCCACATGGACCTTGGATGTAAATGTTACGGGCAAACACAAGTTCTACCTGATGCTGGAAGTAGAGGAAAGGGTATACATTACTGTGTACATGGTATGCTATGGCCTCGTGTTCCATTACCCTCTCTCGGTGTCATCCTCAGTACCCAGGTCTCTCCCTTCACTGTTACTAGGAGACCTGCTCCTATGTCCATGTCCTATATGTTTGTATCAATTTAGATGTGGATTTGTCTTTCGCTTAACATAATGGTCTCCAGTTGCACCCATCTTCTGGCAAGTGTAATAATTGCATTTTTTAAAACTTTATCAGCCTTTATTCTATAAATATTGTTATAAAAGCATTTCATTTAGCCGGGCGTTGGTGGCGCATGCCTTTAATCCCAGCACTCGGGAGGCAGAGGCAGGTGGATCTCTGTGAGTTCAAGGCCAGCCCACTCTACAGAACGAGTTCCAGGACAGCCTCCAAAACAATACAGAGAAACCCTGTCTTGAAAAACAAAACAAAACAAAACAAAAAAAACATTTTATTTAAATAACAATTCTGTTAAATTTTTTCCTTCTCTTACATGCAATAACATTGGATATTCTTATTAATGATTTTATTAATAATTATAGCATTTTACTTTTTCTTTTTATTGAAAATAGATTATTTTCTTATACAATAATTTCATTTTTACAGCTGCCACGGCGATCTCCATGAGTCCCAAGGATTCGGTCCCCCAGGCTCGGGCGCCGCCTTGCGGCCATACACTCCCTGCACCTCTCGGTCCCCGCTGATGTGCGGGATCTAAATAGTGCCAGGCTGCGGTGCCCCCGACCCTCTTAAGATCACCTGAGGCTCCTGTGCAGGTAAAGAGGAGACGGGCGAGCCTGAGTTGCGGGGACAACTTTGTTCCTCCCGGCAGAAGGGCGCTGTGGCGCGAGGGCAGCGGGCCCAGGCTGTGTTCTTAGCCGGGTCCGCTGCCCCAAGTACTGGACAGGGTTCCTTCGAGGTGGGTCCGCCTGCCCTGGGTGGTCCAGCAGCCCCACTTTTCGGGGACAGGCGTCCCAGATGCTTCAGCGGGGGTCAAGAAGTGCTGTCCCCCTCCGCAGTTTCCGGAACTGGTAGGGTGCTGCCCCCTGCTGGCCACCCTACCATGAACAATGATCCAAGCTGTCCCTTCTGAGACCCTGTCCAAGGCCGTGGGTGCAAAAGGGCCCCCAGAACACCAGGAAATAGCATTTGTCTGGGTGAGCCCCAGCTGGGGAGCTGAGGTTGCTGAGGCCTCCGGTACAGTCCAACCCTCCCTCTTTCCAGAGCTCAGGTCTGAGCAACACTGTCCCAGCAACCCAGCCTCCATCACCATGGCCAGGGGCGCTTTCCTCACACCAGTGATAGTGGCTAGATAAGGGGTGCCAGCTGCCCCTTCCTATACATAGCTCCCTGGAGACATCTCAGACCCCCTACTCCCACCTCCCAGCAAACTGCTCCTGTACAGTTCTTAGATTGGCCTCTCAGAGAGTGGGCTGCTCCTGGATTCCAGACTGCAGAGAGATAAGGGCTATTCTGGATGACTTGCAAATGGGTTTGAGATTTCTGGCTGCTTTGTAAATTCCCAGGTCAAGGATGCCCCAAAGACTTCCCTCAGAACTCAAATTTCCAAAACACCTAAGCCGGAATGTGTAGCTTTCTGGCAGGGTACCTACTTACACAGTGTATATGAGGCCCTGACCCCTAGAAGTGAGACAGGAAAACTGTCTTAGAGACTGGAACTAAGAATGGTAACCAATGCAGACGAGGCAGAAGCTGGGGATCTCTGGATGTGCGGGCGCTGAGGCAGGAGCCACTGGTTCCTGGGTCTTCCTCTGCCTTCTCCAGCTATGTGATCCAAAATAAGGCATTTCAGCTACAAAGACCCATCTCTAACCTCTGCTTCAGTCCAGGAGAAGAGTATTATTACAACGGCGTGTTCCCTCACCACACTGGCATTTAAGATTTCACAGATAACCAGACAGGGCTTGAAACAGGGAAAGGGGTGTACGTCTAGACGGCGCCCCATGAAAGCTGCAGGGCCCTGGAGGGAAAGAGGGATGAGCGGAGTGCGGGTTTTGAACAGCACACGAACAGAATCAAAGGAGAAATTTCTATTTCTGAGTGCTCAGTTGGGGACCAGCCCAGTAGGCACCGCCAGCTCTGCGAAAGGCCTGCCTTGTGTTTTTATGTTCCTTGGCCATCGCCCACAACCCCTACCCCAAGCACCCCTTGCTCCGCCCTTCTAGGTATCGGTACTTAGCACTCTATTTCCAAGTGTTTTGGGTGTTGGAAAATAACTCAATAATAAAATTCTTCCCAAGTTAAAATGGCATGAAGAGGCCCCTGTGGACTAAGGTTTATTAAATATGAAGTATGCTTGTCGGGGGAGGGGGGACTTTGTTTTTATAAACAGTAGAAGTATTGCTATGGTAACACTGCTTGGTTTGCTCTGCAACCCATAGAAGCCTCAAAGCAAATTATGGCCACTTTTCTCTCTGCTTGCCTACATTTCTAGAAACATTGAAGCCAAAATTCCACGATTTGCCTGCCTGCTTTCCAAGCCCAGAAAATATCATTTTAAAAGTCTTAGGGACACAGTAGAAACCACTGCCAAAGTTTCTAAATGAAAGTCATTTCTCACACATACACAAAGATCCACAAAGATACAGTCTGTCTGCCAAACTACAGTATGCCTCTCCCTTTTAAAATTTTTTTAATTTTATGTAACTCAAGTGTCCTTGGGCCTTACAAGTTCTCAGGGTCAATGAAAGCATTAGAATGTGACCCATAGTGTCGCCTATTTCCTGCTCTCTGAGTTTTTCTCCCACCTGCTCACAAAGGCTATGAGCCTCCTACATATATCCCTGAGAACTTGGGAGTAATTTGACATGGCACTGACAAAAATCCCAGGAGCAGTGTGACCTGTGAGCATCAATGTCCCCAGTTTCTCCCATCAATGCCGAGATCTTCCCAGAAGGTAAGCACTTAATGACATGTGAAGCAGCCTGGAAAAGCCCCTCCCATTTCTGTGTGTCACACTGTGTCCTCTGCCGTGCTGGCATTTTTCAGTGGTAGGCTTAAACTGTTCTCACACACCCCTGCCATGCAGAGAACTCAGCACCCATCCAATGGCCAAGATATAGTAACACCTCTTAGGACTATGTCCCCTCCACATAGAGAGGCCCATGAGATCTGGACCATGTAGTCATATTGGAAGCATGTCTATACCCTCAGTGCCAGGCAAGGATTCCCTTGTCCATGTGACAAGAGACCACTAGAGAATGCAAGAGTGACAGCCACCCTGTGGTCATCTGATGGAGTGGAGAAGAGCTGGCACCTAGCAGCGGAGGGAAGGGTTGCTCCACTCCAAAAGAAAAGCAAATTGACAGCAGATTATTTTCCTCTGGCGTGTCCCGCTTCAGTATGTGCCACATTGCACTCCACAGTCCAACTCTGCAGGACGAGAGTTAGTAACAAAGTCAAAGGGATGGAGAACTTTATTGCTTTCAAGCACATAAAGTGTGAGATTTACTGCTGAGTCTGGGGGATGGCTTTGACCTGAAGCAGTCTCAGTGATACCAGGAGATGTCCTGGCCTGAGGTTAGAGTTGCAGGCTCTGATGCGGCAATAAATCAAGTTACAGTTGTTTATCAAGTTTGGGCAGATTTCGGGTTTCTCTGTTTTTCTTATTTGGGTCACTATAACTGTGCTTTCTTTTTTAATGTTTTAAAAGTTCTTAATGAAGAAGCAGGCCATGCCTCTCAAATGCCTACTCCCCATTCACATCCTGAATGAGTGATGTATGTTACACACATTACTACGCTGAAAGGCCTTTTTTTTTAGATTTTTTTTTAGATATTTAAAAGCTTTAAGACTCCAGTTCATTATTTATTTTCAGTATCTGCACAGGCTTCAAGTCACACATCTCTTGGGAAGCTGGGAAACAAGATGGCACAGAGAAGAGTACATTCTGGAGGTTCTGGCCAGCAGAGAAGGGAAGCACAGTTCTGCTCTGATGCTACCCAAAGAGCAGGAAGAGAGACACTAGACTTTTTGGAATCGGTTAGGATCTCTGCATCACTATTCTCCTCTAAGTAAACATTTGAGCATTAAGGGCAACGAACTTCTGGCCTCATTTCCTTGAAATCTAGCTCTGCAGGTGCACAGGCTCCCTCCACACAGAGGTCTAGAAGGTCAAGTAGACTTAGTAGACTGCCCATGCATGTGAAGAGATGACAGTACAGACTGGACCCCAGCAGTAAGACCTGGAGCTGACACTCCTGCACACTCTTGCAGCAGGTGTATGGTGAACTCAGTCAAGTTGGAGACCAAAATGTGATGTTTCTCAAAGTGTGTGCCTCTGCCCTCTGTGTCTGCTCACCATCAGAGATTGTTAAACATGCAAATTCCTGGTGGGGCGTTGGTGGCATACACCTTTAACCCCTGCACTCAGGAGATAGAGGCAGGCAGATCCCTGTGAGTTCAAGGCCAGCCTGTTCTACTGTCAAGTTCTCTATAGCTGCACAGGGAGACCTTCCTTTGAAAAACAAACAAAAATGCAAACTTCTACAACCCAGTGCACCTGTCTGCTAACCAGGAGTCTGCTCCTTTCGATGGTCCCTCAGGCATAGCACCATCTATAAGCTAGGTCTCTCTGTGAAGCTGTACTCTGCCGGGAACCAGGGATGGCAAGGACACCAACAATCTTTGAGGAGCCAGCAGTGTGCAGATCTGAGACACAAACTAACATCATCAAATGTACAGCTGGAAGTCATGATGCAGAAAGCAGCTTTGGGCTCCAGAGTCTCTGACACATCATAGAACCAAAGCAAATGCTCTCAATTCCCAGAAGTCATTTCCCAAGAATAACAAAGCACACAAGAAACCAAACACTAGGTTCCAGTGTCAGATAGTCCAAATACCAGAAATACCTGTTACTAGCAATACAGCCATCATACTTAAAGAAGTAAAAATGATGACGCTCAGAAACACACAAAATAATAATAATAATAATAATAATAATAATAATGACTGAGATGCACTTAACCAAAATGAAAGTAAGGTGTGAAAGGTGTGAGAGACTATGACAGAAGGATTTCAAGTTTGAGACTAGCCTAGACCCTAGCTCAAAAAATGCAAGTGTATATATCCTTGATAACTGACATTTGAAAGTCAGTGTATGGATTTCAGTACAGCACCATGAGGATACTCACAGGTCACAATACATGAAGTATTTCTTCATAAGCCTGTTTTAAGGTTAGAGAGAAGGCTCAGCAGGTAAGCACACATACTGCTTTTTAGAGGACCTGAGTTCAGATCTCAGCACCCACACCAGGCAATTCAGAACCATCTGTAACTCCAGCTCCAGGGGATCTAACACCTCTGACCTGTGGGAGCACCTGCACCAAGAGCATCCAAAGGAAGCCATCCCATATAGGAAGCATAAGAGACAGGGCAAAATGAAGACAAATGTGGGGCCAGAGAGATGGCTCAGCAGTTAAGAGCCCTGCCTGCTCTTCCAAAGGTCCTGAGTTCAATTCTCAGCCACCACATGGTGGCTCACAACCATCTGTAATAAGGTCTGGTGTCCTCTTCTGGCCTACAGGCATACATGCAGACACAACACTGTATACATAACAAATAAGTAAATCTTTAAAAAAAGTAAAGACAAATCTAAATGAACACTGACAGCATGTAGTGATTTTGTGATATTAAGTAGAAGTATAGTTTATATGTGAAGAATGACACATGAGTAAGGAAGAGATAAGGGAACACTTTCTAAGGCCACCCTCTCTGGGACATGTCATGCAAAACAGTGAAGTTCAGATTTGGATGTGTTTATCTTGTAAATTTCTACTGACCCCAAGAAAAGAGAATCAGTAGATGGGAGAAAGAGATGATGAAAAAGGATACAGGCCTGGGGTCCAAGCAGAAAACACAAATAAGATAACAGATGTAAACTATTTTTAATGTAAAGATATTACATGTAAAAGATAATTTCAAACTCTTTTCTGTCTAGTAATATATTGTTTATAAGAATTCATATCTAGGATAAAGAGTCAAAGGCTGAAAATAGAGATTAAAAGTAAGTATTAGCTGGGCATGGTGTGGTCATGCCCGTAATCCCAGCCCTTGGGAGGTAAAGGAGAAAGGGTTTCTGTAAGCTCCAAATCCAGGCAGAGCTATATGGTGTGAGACCCATCTCAAAAACACAATAAATAATAAAAATAAGTATCTGTATACAAATGTCAACCAGAAAGAAGTTAGTGGATTACATTCCTAGTCAGCAAGCTACATTTTAAAGTTAAAAATTATAATTAATGGATTAAATTAATCTGTTTCATAGGAAAGAATTCATAACAATTTTAAAAGTGCATTTACTGAAAAACAGTATCAAAATTAAGCAAAAGGAACACACAAGACAGTAATGAGAAGAAATGAGACATGTCCATATGGAAGCATTGAAGAAACCCTCCAGTAGCTGATAGAACAAACAAACAAACAAACAAAGGAATTCAATGACAACAACAGGATTTCAGGAACACACAAATGACAGGTGATGTAGTGGGCATTAGTAGAACTCCCATATGAAATCTGAACACAAGAAGCACTTGAAAATCCTGTCTGTCCACCACACTGACTGCAAGCTCCAAGAGCAGAAAGATGACAACACCCCAGAGCATGTGCCCTGGTCATGCTAGAGTTCAGAGACAAAGAGATAAGCAAAACCACAGGTCTGGAAATTAAGAAACACTTCCAAGTAAGTATGAGTCAAAATCTCATAACGCCAATTTGAACGTATCTTGGACTGAATAATTCAAATATCTTACATTATAACATAAAGCAACTCATAAAGGAAAAATTGCAGTCCCAAAACAACAAAACTGATTATCCTAGAAGACAGTGTCATCCAACTCACAGATAAAAACTAGGCTTGGCCAATATGACAGTTTGAATACAATTGTCCCCCATAATCTCATAGGGAGTGACACTATTAAGAATTGTGGCTTTGTTGGAGTGTGTATGGTTTTGTTGGAGGAAGTGTGTCACTGTGGGGGTGGGCTTTTAGGTTTCCTATGCTCCGCATACCACCCAGCGTCTCAGTCAATTTCCTGTTGCCTGCAAGAAGCAGGACTCTCAGCCACTACTCTAGCACTGTTTGTCTGCATACTTCCATGTTCTCCGCTATGATGATAATGGCCTGAACCTCTGAAACTGAAATTGAGCTGCAACCCCAATTAAATGTTTTCCATTATAAGAGTTGCAGTGGTCATGGTGCCTCTTCACATCAATGGAAACCCTAATTAAGACAACAGCACACTGTATAACAGTTTCCCACATTGTGTAACAGTTTCCTCTGAGATTTAACATTCCATCTGGAGGGGAAGCTCTTTCAACAAAAAGTAAACAACTCAAAATAGCCTCAGGAAGCCCCTGAAACTGACCAGAATTACTACACCCTTCTCTGCCAGATGAAATGAAGCTGAGCTGAAAAGAACATTCTCAGACCAACTGAGCTGCCAAGAAGACTCTAGAAGCTCAGCTGCAAATGCAAGCCAAAGACTACTCTCAGACCAGAACAGGTGCCTGGAAGAGGTTTCAACCAGAGTCAGTAAGAAAGGACACCCTCCAACCTGTTAGCTGCCGGCAGGTTTCCCAGCTTTAGTGAGTTTTGTCACCCAGGCTGGGGCTTGGGTGGGCCTTGGTAATGCAGCTGCCATTTCTGCTCTTGTAACCCCTCACCCATACTCCTGTGACTCCAATAAAACTAATTGGCTCACCAACTTGGATATTGGTGGTATCCACACTTGGGTCTGTCATAGGATTCCTATCTGGAGTGAGTTGATGAGTGTTGTATCTCTCCAAGGAAAATTTTGTCGAATAACACCCAAGCACTAGGCTGGGAGATAAAGACAGAAGGATCCAGCAAACCTCCACAAAACAAAATAAACCACAGAACTCCAGGTTCAGTAAAAGAACCTGTCTCAGAGGAGTAAAGTGGAGAGATACCCAACACCCTCCACTACCTCTGTCTGTAAGCATAGGCTGAGGTGTGAAGACACACACACACACACACACACACACACACAGAGATAAAGAAGGGCTAGGGGTACCCCTTTGTTAGTAGAATGCTTCCCTAGCATTCTTGGAGCACTGCATAAACTGGATGTAGCTCTGTACACCTGGAATCCCAGCAGGAAGATTTGAAAATTAAGGTCATCCACAGCTACAGCTTGAGTTCAAGGCCAACCTGCGACTCAGAAATTCTGTCTTTCAAACAAACAAACGTAAGCAGAGAATGGGAGGAGGGAGAAGAAACAGAAAGAAGAAATCAAAACAAGTAACAACAACAGCAACAAAAAAAAACTTTACAAAATTCTAGACTACAAAAGGATTAAACAAAAACCAATACCCTGAAACTGAAGGTTTGGTTCAGTGATACCCTGCTGGGGGTGGGGGGTGGGGGTGCTTCTGGTGTTAAGACCAAAATCCAGAGCCTGAATCACCACCATGAGACCAACTCCCATGCAGAAACAGAGTCTTCATTTGCCAATTTTCGGGTCCCTCAGTCTGTCAATGAACAAAAGGGCAGCAGCCACAGGGGCAGAACAGGAGAGACTCAGAGAGCAAGGGAAAGGGGGTTATATAGCATCCAGGCAGGAGGGCGGGGCTTGGGAAACTCCAAACCTGCCTAGTTACAGGTTTGGGATTGGCTCAAACCCTCCAAAACTGCATGGTTACAGATTTAGGATTGACTAAAGCCCTGAGAGAGGGAATTTAACATTGTTGTCACAGTATGAGGGCACCTGGAGTTGTTTACTCATTTCTGATTGGCCTCTCCCTGTGTTGCTCGTTTCTGATTGGGCCCTCCATGGCTAAAGACGGGGAGAGGTCAGGGGCAAGTCATGCCTTGCTGACTGGAAGAGGATGCCTCCTGCTCAAGTCAGGGGGACAAAGGGACATCTCTAGGCCAGGGGCTACTACTTTCCTAGACTTAAGACCTATGGGGAGTCTGCCCCCAGACTAGAGGGTACTACTTCCCTAAACTGAGGTCTGGAAAAGGTAGTGCCTCTAGACTAGAGGTTACTACTACCCTATTTCCCTGGGCCGAAGCATCACACTCCCAGGCTGGCAGTTACTACTGTACTGGTCAGGGATTGGTCGGTTTTTCCAGCTCAGTGATTGGCTGGTTTTGTGTCAGGGGCAGAAATGGCTCCAGTTTCAGGACAAAATTGTGTTTCTTTCTATAGTTCTTTTTGGCTTTTTAGGCACCAATTTTAGGGCCTGGCAAATTTCTTTTATAGGCCCCAATTCTAGTGCAAAGTGTGTTCTTTTGGTGCTAATTTCGGGGTAGGTGTTTCTCTCCCTGGCTCTAGAATTAGGGATGAAGTGTCTCTTTCACTGGCTCAGGTCCCAAATCCAGGGTGTGTTTCTTTCACTGGGTTGGGGCTTGGAGCAGAGCTGTTCTGGGTCTGTGAAGGGGCTGTGGATCAGGGATCTTCTGGGGCCTGGGTCTCTCACTGGGTAAATTCAGAGCCAGCCTTCAGTTCAGAGATTCTCTTCCACTGATATCCTCATACATTCTTATTGCAGTCCTAGGTTTCCTTTCGGCTGTTTCTGAAGTTTCCCTTACCTTTTTACTCCCTGCCATGTTTGAAGGAGACTCCTCTCCACCCCCAGACTTCCTCCCAGACCCCGGATTAGGCACAAACTACACCCAAAACAGTTTTCCTTTATTAAGCAGGAAGGAGAAGTTGAAGTGGCTGCTTTCTGACTCAGACAGAAAACAGCAGCACATGACCTTGCAGAGAAGGGGAGGTCTGTGTTAGGATGGGCTGGGATGCAGTGGTAAAGGAGGGAGGGGGAGGAGACAAGGGGAAGGGGGCAGGGGTATTTGTCCCAGAGGGACAAAGGACTGCCTCTGGATAGAGAGGAGACAGACACAGCACACAGGAAAATGGCAGTTTATAAAGGTAAAGGGTGAAACCCTGTATTAAGATTTGGTGTTTAGTTTTAATTGGGTGCATTAATTAGGTGAACCAAAGGGGAATCTTGATTGCTGGACTTTGGCAGTTGGTCCCAGGAGGAGGAAATAAGGAAACAGACCTTGGTGGCAGCTTTAGGAATGTAATCTAATGGTTTTTAGCAAGGCAGAAGGAATGGGAGAGAAGGGCAAGGCCTGCCAGAACCATGCTCGACACACTCAAGCTGGTCAAATCCCCTCAGTGTTAGCCTGCTGTTGCTTCTGGCACATTTTGGAGGCTCTGTAAATTTGATTCTGTCATTTGCCATTTTATGTTCTGGATTCTAGCTTATGGGAACTGCTCTGAAGCTTTTATTTCAAGTACATTATACTAGAAAGGGTTTGGGTTTGCTTTTGATCAGGGCTTGGGGCACTACCGAGGCTTTTTGGGACACAGGTTGGGAAATGTCACTTACAATGGGAAGGGAACATCTGGGTAGACTTGTCCCACCCTAGTGTGGAGGCCTGCATTCTCCCTATCATATGTGCATCTCTGAAGAGCTTCATTTGTAACATGACCTTGCTAGGATGTTCTACTTTGCTAAGGCTTCCTGTCTTTAACCAGCTTTCATCTGTACCCTGTCTTGGAATACAGCTACTAAAACAGACACCTAACAGATGCCCCTCCAGCACAGCCAGTGGCTTCTGTACTTTATTTCTTCACAGATCACCTACTTAATTTGAATTTGGGGGGTTCAAGGTTGTTTTTGTTTTCATTTTTATCCAGCCTAAGTTTTCTGAGTAAGTTTGTTGGGCTACCTGCCCATCAGACATTCCTTAAGACACTCTCTCTCTCTCTCTGTATACTCACATCCTGCTCTGAGTCATAACCACCTTGTGTACAGTAAAAGACACAAAGGTAACAGAAGACAAAGTATATACACTTGGGCATTTGTGTCTGTTAAGTAAACACTTGAAAAATTAGGACTTTACTAGCAATGCATAACTTTCTTCTCTTACTTGAGACTAGCCCTCAAAGTACTAGAAGATGCTATACAGACTGCTGGGGGAGAGCTGTCATCAACAATATTACTCAGCATTGGACCTGGCAAACAACACTGACCGGCCAAGCCTGCTGCGCCCATTGGTGCAAGTGGCAAGTCTGTTGGTAGAGGGAAACAGAAATTCTTTTTACTGGATTAGAGGTTACTAAAGTCATTCAGAAGCCCAGGGCTGGGGAAGCCATATGTCCCAGTGTGGAACCTACTGCAGTTAGATCGCCTTCTATGTAAGTATGCTTATGTCTACCTATTAGAGCTGCTGCCCGCTTTGATAAGAGAAGCTTCTTGCAGTGGCCAGAGTGATGAGAAGTGACGGCATTAAACAGGTCATCTAAGCACCCTCTTGAAGGCTCAGGAAATGGAAGAAGGGTAACAAACCTGGACGCTGAAGGGAGGGGGAGAGGAAGTGGCTGGAGCACTGATTTCTGGACATCACTGCTGTGTCACTCGAACTCACAGCAGCAGTGATTACCTGCACAAGACTTGATCTACCAACATCTTATGGAGGGAGAAGTTACTCATAGGACCCCACCCTTCCCTTAATGATTTATATGTAGTGATGGCTGCTGAGATAGGAGACATTTTCTCAAGTGGTGTGACCACTGGTAAGGTGACCATGTTTGTGTGAGCAAACCCTCGTCATGCTCCTGTAAACCCTAAATTGAGTCACACACACACAAAAAAAAGACCCAGAGGTAGAAGGTAAGAGGCTAGTTGAGAAAAGGGCAAGAGACAGTAATTGGGGGGAAGAGGGGTATATGATCAAAATACATAATATATACAACAAAAATGCCACAATGGAACCCATTATTATGTATAATTAATATATAATACAGACCACTTTAAAAGTATCTTGGGGACTGGAGATATGGCTCATGAGTTAACTTGCTGTTCTTACAGAAGACCTGTCTTCAATTCCTAGCACTCACAACAGGCCAAAGTCACCTGTAACTCCAGTTCTAGGGAATCTGATCCCCTCTTCTCTAGTCTCTGCAGGTACCTGCACAGGTGGGATACAATCACACAGACACACAGATACACAAAAGCAAAATGTTTCTAAGTTCCATGGTATAACTTACTTGTGACTTTGGTTTTTGTGCTAGGTACTTTTTTCCTCAAAGGATTTTGCTTTTGCTTTTAATAATAGGCATAAAACATACATATATACATAAATGTATATATACATCTATACATAAATACACACATATACACATAGGGGCCTATGGAGGGTAAAAAGGGTGTAGCATCCCATGAAGCTGGAGTTACAAGAGGTTGTGAGCTGGCCAACATGGGTGCTGAGAGCCATGCTCAGGTCTTCAGGAAAAACAATACAAGCTCTTAATCACTGAGTCATCTCTCCAGCCCATTAGATATGTCTAAACCACACAGCATACCACTGAAATTAACAAAATTAAATGTTCTCCTTTTCTCACCCCAATGAGATTGATCTTTTAAATGTACTTAAAACATATAGAGGAGGTATACTGGTAAATGAATGGGAATAGTAACTGTATGCAGAAAGTTTTCTAATTATTTAAAGGCCTTTTTTAAAATCATATTTTCTTTTTTTTTTTTTTTTTTGCTTGATTTTTTCGAGACACAGAGGGTTTCTCTGTGGCTTTGGAGGCTGTCCTGGAACTAGCTCTTGTAGACCAGGTTGGTCTCAAACTCACAGAGATCCGCCTACCTCTGCCTCCCAAGTGCTGGTATTAAAGGCATGCGCCACCATCTGGGTAAATCATATTTTCAATTACACATCCATACTTCATATTCAAAATATCCTGAAAAGGAATACTATCTAAGCATTAATTCCTGGGTGTGCCCTTCAGTCTTGGACATAACTTGTTATGCTCATATTCACTCAAGAAATGGCAAACAACCACGTTACATGCTCACTTCCTGCAAGCAGCAGTTGGGAAGGCCACTCACAGTCTGATAACTTCCCTTTGCTGTAGCAGCATATTGAAAAGGAGAGACTAATTTACCTTCAGACCTCTGCTGTGTCCCCTCATCCCAGCAGCTGAAGAACTATTCTGTTCTCAGTACCATCCCTGGGCAAGCAGACTCTTAACTTTTAGGACTTCCTGACTCTTGTAAGTGCTCAGTAAAACCAACAAGAAATTGAGGCAAATTTAAAGAAACTGAGTTTTATATCAAAACCATGATGGGAAGGTGAGGAGGTATATGGTCCTTATAGCAGAGAAGTGAGGAGTTAGAAGACCAGGGGAAGAACAAATCCAGAGGTTGAGTGTTGCTGGTGTTTTTTGTCCCTTCACAGCCCCAAATAAGCACACAGACACTGTATTAATTATTAAACTGTTGGCCAATGGCTAGAGCTTCTTACTAACTAGCTCTGTCTTAATTACTAACCCATTTCTATAAATCTGTGTATTTCCATGTGATCTTATCTTACCAGATAAGGGCCTGGACTTGTTACTCTTTCTCCCACTAAATGGTGTCTGTCTGCATTCCCCCTCTGCTAACTTTCCCCGAATTCTCCTTGTCTCCTAGTCTTGCCTATCTTCCTGCCTCTATTGGCCAAACAGTGTTTTATTCATCAACCAATAAGAGAAACATATATACAGGACATCCCCCATCAGTTGAGCTGTGTGAGTGGCTCAATTATACCATCTGTAAGCATTGCAGCTCAGATGGAAAAGTATTCTGGCACTCGGGGGCCAAGGAATACTACAGATCACAGCAAGCTTATTCTGGCACTCGGTAGCCAAAGAATACCAGAGGTCACAGCAAGCATAGCAGCTTACAGACCAGCTCCAGGGAAAGGCTTCCCAAGTATAACAGCTTTGCTCTGGCAGGAGTTTTCCCAGCAAAGTTGGAAGTTGTTACAGTACAGTTCAGCCCAGGTCCCCTGACTATAACAATTCTGCTTCGTTGGGGTAAGGTTGCCCTGCTCGGCTCTGCTCTTCTCTCCTCTGCTCCATTCTGGTGAAGGAAAGTCTCACCCAAGCCTCATTCAATAGACTGATTGAGAGGGAAGACTCCAGGAGAGTGGCGTTGGGTTAGGGTTAGGGTTGCCTCTGCCAGAGTGGAAGAAGACAGTCACAAGCTGAACAAGCACAGGGCTTATATAGGGCTTCTTAGGGCTGAGTTTTTCTGGGGAGATTTCCAAGGTGGGGATTGGTCAGATTTCAATCCCTGAGCTCAGATTGGTTAGATCTTGTGCTCAGAGATTGGTTGGTTTTCTGCTCTGGCTCAGGGTCAGATTTAGCTCTGGTTTCAAGGCCAAAGTGTTTTTCTTTCACTGGTCTTTTTTAGCCTTATGGATCTAATTTTAGGGCCAGGGTGCATTTCTTCCACTGGCTCTGATTCTAGGGACAAAGTATGTTTCTTTGGCTCTGCTCAGGGTGTGTTTCTTACACTGGCCCTTTTTCCCTACGCCATCTACTTTGGCAGCCAACCTGGGACACATCAGCATGGACCTGCTGTTTCCAGCTCTGTAACAGACATCTAGGATGTGCAAGTGCCAAGCCAAGTATAGCAGCAACACTCCCTTACTCCCTTCACTCTTCCTACTCTTGCGGCTGCCAATGCAGTTTACCACTTCTGATCACGTTGTCCAAAAACCTGCTAAAAAATTATTGTTTTAAAAATGTAAAGTATTATGTGAAAGTATATGTATGGGCTGTGATATCAGAATTTTATCTAATGATTCTTCATAAAACAACTGGAAAGCTGGGATATAGACATGTGGTTCTGGATATCTGCAAATTGTTTGTTTTTTAAAGCAACAGAAATGAAATGAGCAATATTTACTAACAATGAAAGTAAAACACTGGCTGTATTAAAGTCAGCAGAAATTTTAAAATGTTACATGCATGTGTGTTTCAAACACTGGTAAATCCTTCAAAATGAAATACTATGAATTGTGGCCTAGTCTGTGAGGCCTGGGGTACTGTCCCAAGCCCTGCCAAAAAGGAGTACATACAGCAAGGTTTTGGGTAATTTATTCACAGTTCCGGTATAGTCGTTGGATTTAACAGGACATGAGGATGAAATAACCATATGGCTCAGAAAACTAAACATTCATTTAAAAGAATACAAAATCAAAACAGAGCAATGATTATTCTAACCCCCCAGTCCCACAGAAGTATAATTTAAACAAATATCAAAACTTTATTAAAGGAAAAACACATTCAACCAGTGAACATTCAAAAAGACTATTTCTATACCCACTCTGGAAACTAGTACAAAAAACAAGCTTATGTGAGAATTTTCCTAAGATGTCCTCATCAGCCTTGTGATATGGTGTCTTTTATAATACAACACTCTCAGGCTAGTTTGGACTTACAGTTAACACAGCAGAACTTAACAGTCTTGCTTAATTATGGACATTATTATGTGAAGCCAATGTTGTCAGTTTTATTATGTCACTATCCCAGATCTGAGGGTGTTTAAATTCATCAAGCTATGAAGATACTGAAATACTTATTAACAATCTTTAAATACAGTGAGAAAGACCAACTTATATGTTGAAACTTTTAAACTTGAGAGTAAACAAAGTCATGAGAAATCCGTCTCGAAGTTTAAAACACTGTTGTATTCTTGGAGATACAACTCACCAAATGTGGATGTCATGAACCAAACTCTCTTTAACATTCCCTTCCATTCTTTGGCCTTCCTAAATTCAATATGAATTATGAATTCTTTTTCAATAAACATATTCCAATGACATTGTGCTTTTAATTTTTTTAGAAAAATCATACCAGTTATATAATAAACAGGTAACCTTGGTTTCTTTTATTGCTACAGAATATCCTAATTGTAAAAAACGATAAAAGACTGACCCCCAAAATTGAAAGTGTGTTTGTTAAAGTTCAGCTAGTTTCCTTCTCTAAAGAATGACAAAAATGACTTTCAGAGGAATATTACAAGAGACCAAAAACGGGTTCCTTTTCTCTCATCTTCAGAACTACTCAGGTAAGAGCCCTGGATTCAGAAACAACCTGCTACACAGAAATGCTCATGTTAGCTTTCTAAACTAACAGCCTCCTGCACAGCACCCTGTGACGTCCCTCTGAGGAGCAGGGACACACAATGGCTTATCATCTTGGCATATTATTAACTGCCATTCTTTCTAGTACCATAGATCCATGTATTAATTGTAGACAGACTGGAACAACTGCTTATGAACATGTTCCAAAATGTGGATCACTGTTTAAGTAAACAAATCTCTTCACAGCATTTAACACCACCTCAGTCCAACTCCATCTTTCCGCTCTCCCACCGGAGTCTTCATAAAAACCAGGTTCACCAGGGACAATCAGAGCTGCCCTGAAGATTTAGCTCTGCTGCCCAGAATAGCAACCTGCTCATAGCAGGTGTTCATGCACAGCTGCTGACACAGTCACAAACTAAGAGTGAGCAGTGCACTTTCTATAGCCTTTTTACTCCTATGGCATTGAGGATTTTCTTTTTTAAAGCTGACTTCAAAGTAATCATTAACTGGGCCATGTGTTGGGTGCCCACCCCATAGTTCTCCCTGTCTAGCAAAGGTTCCCAGGAAATGATATAAGTGTGAACTTAAAGTTTAAACACACTATAAGAAAGAACTTTTATAGAAAGTCCCCCCTTTGCAGGGTATTTCTATTTTGAAAGATTAAATTTCTGTGTTCTGTATCATGCCAATTTTAACTGGGCTTACTCATTCACTCAGTAGCTTGCCTCAGTAAAACATTGGGATGTTAAGGATTAATTTAATAGAAGAATTTAAATTTATATTAACCAGGGTAAAGCAAAACAGGATAGGGAAGAGAATAATATTTGTTTAGGAAATACTACTCTGGTCTTCATTTGGGCTTTTGACTGTTTGGTCTTTAGGATTTGTCCTGGTTTGGAGTGTGTATGGAAGGGAAACTGGTGAATTGCTTCAAAGTCAGAGCCAGACAGAAGAAAGTTCTGATGTTCCATTACATAAAGGGTGATTAGCAAAACTGAACTGTGTAATTCAAAACAGCTCCAAGAGGACTCTGGATTAGTAACTAATGACCTAAGAATACTGTGGTGATCATTTCACAATGTCTCAACGTACCAACACCATCCTGTACTCTAGAGCAACACATTGAGGGAAAATAAAAACACCACCAATACACACACACATACATACATACACACACACACACACACACACACACACACACATACACACACACACACACCCATAAGTAGCGATCCTATTACATCAAACAAGAAATGACATTACACACATGCTAAACTAACATGAAATCTTGGAAATCATTAGAACAGAGAAACATAACTAAAGCAGCTACATGGGATAGAAACTGTGGCCCCGTCTTACGTTTTTAAAACTCAGATTTCCAGTCTCCATCAATGAGAGTGAAACCACATCAACTCTGTCTTCAATCCACCTTCACAAGAAGCCTATACTTCTATCATAGCATGAACTGCTTAACAGCAAGTTCAAACACAAAGAGTGAGTTACCAACTCCACTATTGTACTTTCACAGTGTAAAAGTGAAAGCTTTTTTGAAAGAAATGGACCTAACCTGAATAAAACACACTTTCCTAGAGCCCACATGATCTGACCCAAATATCTCTATGAAGAAATTATTCTACACATTTTGGGGTGTAAAACTAATGTTCTATTTTAAATACTTTATCCCAATAGTTGACTTCCATTTCTGATACTATCAACATGAATGCATGTCAATATCACCTATTTATATTGCAATTGATTAGTCCAAAACAAGAGTCAAGACAATACAAAGTAAGATATCTAGAAAGCAACTGTAAATTTCATGTCATTCCACAGTGGGAAGTATGTGATATTCTAAGCCTCATCTATCACATCCACTGAAGATCAAATGACCAGTGGAAGTGTGCAAATCTCACAAGTAATCAAAAAGAACCTCCAAACTCACACCGAGGAGATGCTTTCTGCAACAAGACAGGGAAGGAAGAGAAAATGAACCTGCAGGAAACTCCTGGGACAAAGCTCAAGAGAGAACTGAACACACCAATGCCAATTTGAGACGCTTGATAGCAACTCTGTGCTGTGATTTCAAGAGCAACAAAGTATGTCATTCAACAGTATTCTTTTTTCCTACAGTTTCAAGGAAATGTGAACTACTCTTAGGAGATGAAGAGCCAAGGAGTAGGATGCCAATGTCCTATCTTCAAATATCCAATCACACTGGCAGTACAGATTTGCAGTGTCACAAAACTGCATGGGCTTCTACTCAAGTGTGGAGGACTCAAATGCACTGTAACACACTGCCCACTATGTCCCTCTACCTAGAGACGACAGCCATGTTTAAACTAATCTAACTGAACTTAGATACAAGTCTCACCAGGTTTTTTAGATGTATAGTTTGATTTTAAAAATAAAACAGAGATGAGTTTCAAAATAAGCCACAGCATCTTCTACTTACAAATAATGTAACAAAGCCTTCAACAGGTGTCCAGAAACTAACACACACTGGCTTTTGACTTTTGACTATTCCAATGAAATACACTGGTCTTTCATCAGTCTGACTGAATCAAGGCATGGTAAAACAACAATCATCTCAAAAACTCAACAATCCTCCTTGAATGAAGTGGAGGACCCAGAAATTCATTATGCAGTTCTTTAAACAACACCATAGCTAAAATCTCTTTGATTTTAGGTTTAGATTTAAATTCTATTAATCAAACTCCCCCATGTATTATTGAAAATGAGGCAATTGCACAAAAATCATTAATTGAGTGGATAATTATAACTGATATATAAATAAGAATTTACTAAAAAAAAAAAGCTTTCAGGAGGCAACAGTTTAAATCAAAAATTTAAATACAAAAGGTATCTTATGTTGCTTAACTGTCTTAAGTTTCAGATGCTTTTTACTCTACAGTTACAGATTTGGCAAGATTCCGTGGGAAATCAACCTGCAAAAAAGAGAATTATATTAGAAAATATAATCACATAAATGTATCTTGGAAAACAACCAAAAAACAATAGAGGAAGGTGCTAACATATACAGAGAGAGCTACCTCAATTCCTCTATGGAGGTGGACCTCACAAGGAATCCTGGAAATGCATCCGGATATTTTAGTTCCTATAGTAGCAAGAAGACTAAGAATGCTACAAGTCCTGCAGCCCTCATGGTGGGGGAGATCCAAACATAGACTTGTTCCACCCAAAAATGCCAATCACTTCCTAGTAAGAAAACAGCCCCTTCCCCCAGTAAGTCTCAGGCTTAGAATAAACACCAAGGTTTCTTCAAGTCCTAGGGTAAGAAGAAACCAATGTGAACTATGAAGTGGGCTGTGAGACGATACAGGTGTAACACAGATGGGATAGATTTTTCAAGTGCTACTGTTAAAAAGTTGGGAGGGGCTGGTGAGACACAGAAAGCAAAGGTGTTTGCTACCAAACCTGAGTTCAATCTTTAGGACCCACAGACAACCAATTCCTACAAGTTGTCCCCTGACCTCCACCCATGAACATGACACAAGTATACACACAAACAAGACAAATAAATGTTTAAAATAAAGTTGGGACTAAATGTACCAAGATGTACCATAGTCAAAAGCCACCCCATAGTTTTACAGAAGTAGTCACTTACATCGTAGCCTCTCAGCACAGCCAGATGGAAAGCCAGCAACTGTAAGGGGATCACACTGAGAATGCCCTGCAAGCAATCCACTGAGTGGGGAACCTTGATTGTCCTTTTTGTGTTCTTAATGGTTTCAGTATCCTCCTTATCACAGATCACGACAGGGCGCCCCTAGGAAAGAAAACACATGAAGACACAATAACCAGGAAGCCCATGCTGAACAAGTGGGCATGTACTCCAAGCTGCATGACACACAGACATGCTCTAACTGCTCATGTAGACAGGCAGAAACAGGTTTTGCGGAATTCAGTAGATTTTTTTCAAAAAATTTACACAAGAAACACCAAGCTTAGTACTTGAATACAGGTCTGCATTTCTTTGAAGTTCAACTTTATTTCCAGTACATTGTGCTTAGGGAGAAATATCTTCTGAAATTAAAATATAAACCAGCTGATGGAGAGGAGAATATAAGCAATCATAATGTTTGTGTAAACTCTAAACACAAGAGTTTCTTTTAAAAGAAATAATAATGTTAAGGTAAAAAGAAAGAACATTGTGTTAACTGACAGAAGAAAGAATCTGGAGACTAGGTCCTAGCTGGGTTCAGTTCTTATGAGAGCTGATCATGAGAGAAATGATTCAGGTTAGGTTACATCAAATCTGAGCGTCTGGCTCCCTATACATAAATGGCAAAGCAAAGGAGTTGACAAGCTAGCATGTTTTGTGGTCATCTACCAGGCCCTGGTTCATCACTGTTAGCTTAAATTCACCTTTGTTTTGGTAACTCCACTCATAGACCGCTAGGCTATCCTCACAACACTTGACCTACCTGCCGTGCAACCACTTGCTGTAGAGCGTTCTGGCACTTGGCATAAGTGTGGTCTCGCATGATGATCATGATGACAGGCATCAACTTGTCCACCAAGGCCAGAGGACCATGCTTTAGCTCACCAGCAAGGATGCCTTCAGAGTGCATGTAAGTAATCTCCTTGATTTTCTAGTATGAAAGAACCAGGTAAGTCTTTAGTTCATTTTTCAAAATTCTACTTTTAAGGAAGTATTACACAGGTCTACTGAGAAGTATTAGAGAGCTACTGATCTGTTCCTATAGCTAACGAATTAACAAATCATTACTTCCAAAACACCAACAACAAGCAGTGTTGAAGGGTGACAAGAGTATTCTTAAGGATTCCGACTATCAAGAGCAGCCATGCTGTGCCTTATATTTCACTTTAATTTCTTTTTTGTTTGTTTGTTTGTTTGTTTACGAGACAGGGTTTCTCTGTATTGTTTTGGAGGCTGTTGGTCCAGCCTGGCCTCGAACTCACAGAGATCCGCCTGCCTCTGCCTCCCGAGTGCTGGGATTAAAGGCGTGCGCCACCACCGCCCAGCTTCACTTTAATTTCTTATCTGATGAACCTTAAATCTGTCATTAATATTTCAATAGCCCGTACACCCAATTTAAGATTGCTAATCCCAAGTTACCATGTAAACACTCTTCTTGGCTCTCACTTTTGAATTAAGTTCTGTGGCACCTTCTTAAGGTAAACAAACTTCAACGAATACATACGGAGGCATGTTAAACATTCTACAAGTATGTGAGGAATCAGCAAGATAAGGATGCTTGCCACAAAGCCTGACAATCCAAGTTCAATGTCCAGGATTCAAATGGTTGGAAGGAGAAAACTGACTCCAGCCTAAGCTGCCCCCGATTTATACACATGCACTGTATCATGCCATCTCTCCCATGTGTATACACACACACACACTCTCTCTCTCTCTCTCTCACTCTTCCCCCCCCAATGACTGGCAAGGCTCAGTGATATGTTGATTGCCTGGCTCTCTGTGGGTTAAATCTCGACCACTGCAGAATAAATAAAAGTATTTTGTTCCCTGTCCCTAAGTCATTACAGTAAAATGAGCTTGTAAGTAAGAAAACACACCAGGGCTCCTTCAAGACACGTAGCGTAGTGATAGCCTCGCCCCATTATCAGGACTGACTTCTGGTGGTAAAGCTCTGTTGCCAGCTTCTGAATTTCATCATCCATGCTCAGCACTTCCTTAATCAAGTCTGTTAAGATAAAGAATAGCCCAGAGTATGAAAAAGGAGCAATACATTGAACAGATAAAATAACAATGCTATACTGGAAACAAACAACAAAGTGACTAGTATTTCCTCTCTTCTGTGGTATCAGCATGAAATTCTTTTAACACATGGAGGTAAAAGTGGAAAGATCTTTTTAACTATGAAACTACAAACCACAGCCTCAAGAGTAAGATGAAAACTTCATCTATTGTTCACTCCGTTCTATATCAAATGTATAGAAAACAAAATACAGAGCCTTGGTTTTAGGAGGGTGTGCCAGAAGCCGCTTCCTGTGACAATTAAGGAGAAAAGTCAGAATTAAAAAAAAAAACAAACAAAACAAAAAGACTGGCCGGGGAGTGGTGGCACATGCCTTTAATCCCAGCACTCGATGTGAGTTCAAGATCAGTCTGGTCTACAAGAGCTAGATCCAGGACAGCCTCTAAAGCAACAGAGAAACAGTGTCTCGAAAAACAAAAAAAAAACCAAAACACACAAACAAATAAAAACAGACTGAAGGGATCAGAGATGTAGTTAGTTCAATTGGTAGAATGCTTGCCTAGAATGCACCAATGGCTTGGGTTCCATCTCCATAACTGCATAAAATTGGGCACAGTTGGTAACACCTATAATCCAAGCACTCAGGAGATAGAGGCAGGAGAATCAAGAGTTCAAGGTCATCCTCCCCTACATACCAAGTTATAGTCCACCTGGGATACAAGAGACCCACTCTCAAAACCCAGAAACAAAACCAAACATAAAAATGAACAAACAAACAAAAACCCACTTTTTCAAAAAGAGAGATCTTCAAAACACAAACAATCAGAAAAGCCACAAAACAAAAAGTAACCAAATGGAGCATAACTCTAGACCCATGGATCCCTTATTGGGAGAAGGGAATCAGAAGTTTCATCCAAAAGGTAAGCCAGACAGCCCTGAAGAAGAGATGAGAAGTCCTACACACAGGACAAACTACAGTTCTCAAAGCCTCAAGTCAGGTCCTGCCTGGTCTGCAGACAGTGAATCCTCCAGCAATGGGGTTCCATCTGTTACTTTCTATGGCCAGACACCATGTTAGAAAGAAACATATTTCTTAAAATGAGCTGGAGAAATAGCTTATTGGCTAAGGGCACTGACTGCTTTTCCAGAGGATCCAGGTTCAAGTCCCAGTACCCGCACAATAGCTCACAACTATCTACAACTCCAGTTCTAGGGGATTCCATGTCTAAAACTCCAGTTCTAGGGGATTCCATGTCCTCTTCTGGCCTCTATAGGAACCTGCGTGCATGTAGTGCACAGACAAACATGCAGGAAAAATACCTATACACACAAAATAAAATAATTAAATTTAAAAACTACACTACTTTAGACCTTGACACAAGTCAAGGAGCTGGAGTTCAAGGTGCAACACACTGGTGGGAGACAGCTGGAGAGGGAGGGGACAGACTCTGACAAGACAAAAAAGGACAGGCAGCAGAAGGCTCAGCCCCAGAAGTGAAGTATGGGAAGACTGTTCTAGGTACCTAGAAATAATTCTGGAGTGGATAGGCCTGAGCCAGCTCTGAAGTTCTAGCACAGCGGTTCTCACGCTGTGGGTCATGACCCTTTGCGTATCAAAGGACACTTTCACAGGGGTTGTTGCCCTAAGACCATCTGAAAACACAGAGATTTATATTATAATTCATAACAGCAGCAAAATTATAGTTATGAAGTAGAAACAAAAATAATTTTATGATTGAGGCTACCACAACATGATGAACTGTATGAAAGGGTTCTAGCATTAGGAAGGTTGAGAACCACTACTCTAGCAGAACATAAAAATCACAAAAGATTCCAACTTCCCAAAGCCATCCTAAACAGAAAGGGTAATACAGGAGGCTTTACAACACCCAACTTCAGACTACAATACAGGGACAGTGACTGTTAACATGTGGCACTGGCATAAACCCAACAAGTAGACCAACAGAATAGAGGAACCAGGGGTAGACCACATGGTTACAGCCACCATTTCTAACAAAAATGTTGAGAAAAACTGACTTTAAAGAAAAATAACCTCTTCAATATCAAACATGGATATGGACAGATTCATTATTTTTCACCCTGGAGCAAAAACCAAACCCTGAAATTACTGGAGAAAAACATATTGTGAAAATATCTCACAAGAAATTGGCACAAGCAAAGACAAGGACTTCCTCAAAAGGACTCCCACTAATACTGGAAATGATCACAAGAACTGGCAAGTAGGACTGCATGAAATTTAAATCTCCTCAGCTTTGCAAAGTGCAGTATGGCAGCTGATGAGGCTTACCCAGAGTGTGACTATTGCTAATTAAGAAACTTCTGCACAGCAAAAAAACAATTAACAGGGTGAAGAAACAGTCTATGAAATGGAGTCTTTGCCAACTGTGATCCAATAGATTAATATTTATCAGTTTATAAAGCACTCCAGGGCTGGGGATGTGGCTCTGGTGTTAGAATGTTTGTCTAACATGTACATAGCCCTGGGTGCAATCTCTAGCATTGTATAAACCAGGCATGATGACACACCTGTAATTTCAGCACTCAGGAGGTAGAAGCAGAAGGATTAGAAGTTCAAGGTCCCACCAGGCATGGTGACACACACCTTTAATTCCAGCACTGGGGAGGCAGAGGCAGACGGATCTCTGCGAGTTCCAGGACAGCCAGAGCTACACAGGGAAACCCTGTCTCCAAACACACACCAAAAAAAAAAAGGACAAAAAAAGAAGTTCAAGGTCATCCTTGGCTAAATGGTTAAGTTTGAGGCCAATCTCAGCTATGTGACACTGTCTCAAAACAAATAAAAACCATAAAAGAAAGAATAAAAGGAAAGAAAGCTATTATCTGCTATGCTAATAAAAGTTGTTTTTTAAAACATCTCTAAAAATGAGTATCTTCATACCTGGCAGCCGCTTCAATCCAAGCATGATCTCTTTACGCCTCTCTTGCATGGAGATCCTGTCATCACACATCATGAGAGCAAACATCACAAGGGACACAAACTGGCTGGTATAAGCCTAAAACACCAGAGAAAACAAATTAATTCCAGGTGCATCTTAAGAACCTGGAAAAAAAGATGAGAATTAATTCCAATCCTTCACAGTGTACACTGTTCATCTTTTAAAAGCAACACTGTTGACGCTGACCTGGCTCAGTGTCTTAACTCTATTCTTAATTACAGAGCACTTAACTTGTGTCTGAGACTCACACAGCCTCTCATAAAACACCAGCTTATGAGTCTCGAACAGCCCTCAAAAGGAAGGGGAAAGAAAGACTGAAGGAAGGCACAGCTATCTGAATGTGCCTAACCACAGTGAGGAGAAAGGACACTAGAGATCTTTGGATAGCTATAAAATGCCCCACCCCTGCTCCTTAACCTTTGCCTACTGGCTGTTCCTCATTTTCACTTTTTTTTTCCTTTTAAGATAGGTCATACTCCATATGCTGGGTTAGAGTCAAAGTAATCCTCTTGCCTTGGTCTCCCAAGTGCAGAAAGTACAGCTGTGAGCCACACATTTAGCTCATTCTCACTTTGCACTAGAGTTATAGGAAACAGGCACCTTGTTTAGTGGTGTGCATGTGGAAGCCGGAGGTCAACCTTAGATATTCCTCAGGAGCTGCCCACTTTGTTTTTTGTTGAGACAGTCTCTCATTTGGGATCTAAGGCTCACTGATAATGCTACGCTGGAAGGAACATCAAGCCCTAGGAATCCACTCATCTTCATTCCCCAGTACTGAGATGATAAACACACTGCACTGGGCACAACTGCTTACATAGGCGCTGGATCTTAACTCAGATCTTCATGCTTGAGGGTAAAGCATTGTCCAGACAGTTATCCTCTGCACAGGTCCTCATTCTTACTTTTTTAACAAAGAAAAAAACAACTAAAAACTACAGACAAACCAAAACATATGTAAGTAAATAAAAATTAAGCACCTGCAAACCCATTATGACATATTTGTATTTATAATTATGTGTACTTGTGGGGGGCATGCATGCCACAGAGCATATATGGAGGTCAGAGGACAACCTCTAGGAGTCAGTTCTCTCCTTCTACCATGGGGGGGGGGGTCCATACTTAAGTTGTCAGGCTTGGCAATCAAGCACCTTTATTTACTTAGCCACCTTGCTAGCCCTAGATTTTCTTTCTTTATATTAAGTATGAAACAATATATTTTCAATAAAAAAGCTAATTATGAAGCTGGGTATGTTTGCACACATGGTGGTATACATCCATAATACCAAAACTTGGAAGGCAGGACCAGGAGGATTAGGAACCCAAGGCCCTCCTTAGTACAGAACAAGCTCAAGGTTAACCTTACATACATGAAATCCTGTCTCAAAAACATTTAATTAAAAAATACACATTAAGTTACAGAATTTTATAAGGCTCTTTTACACCTAACATCTTAACATTTTCCTTTGTTTAGTGGTCATTTTTTTCCCTATGGCTTCTGATGCCCTATGTGTTACAGGTTCAAGAACCCAAGACTGTCTTGACAATTAGCTCAGGCACAGAAAGCACCCAGAACAATTCCTGACACACAGACAGAACACCCCAAATAGCACTGGCAGCAACTGCACTGAAAGACATTTCTTCTACTATGACACAATGTTACAGGCACTGCAAGCAGCTTTCTCATTAGCTGCCTGTAAATACAAGATGCTCCTATTCTGTAACACTTTGTCAAAAAGTCAGACCTGTCTTATAGACAAATAGCTACCACCGTGACTTTTTTTTTTTAACATTTATTTATTTGCAGTTGGTGGCACACATGCTTGTCCTGACTGGCATGTGAAAGTCAGAGGACAAATTCATGTCAGTTAGTTTTTTCCTCTCATGGTATGGGTCCCAACGTTCCCCTGTCACTAAGGGTTTGCCTTTCAACAAACAGAGAATCGCTAACAGGATCTTGGTCTCCTGAGAAATGAAGCTGTTCCAAATCCAAAATGACCTGGCAACAAGCACTCAGTTTAGTCCCTCCAGACTACCACTAAAACGTACTCCACCACTGAGTGTGTATCCAGACACCACATTTTTCATTTCATCTGTGCATACAAGAAACTCATCATGATAAAAATAAGCTATACCTCATATTTACAGTCTACTAAGGTCTGAAAAAAATTTACCCAGAAACTGGTGATGGAATTTTTCAACTTGACTCTCTTTTTGTTCAATCCAAAACAAAATTACTTGGGTACATTAAAAAAAAAAATCAACCCAAGTCAGAAGTGTGGTAAAATTTTAGACACCTACAATAACAAAAACTGCAAATTCTGTACATTGACACCATCAATTGCTAAAGAAACACCAAATTATCTATGGTCTCACATTATGTAAAATTCAGTGATAGTCTTCTAAACCAACCATTTATCCAGGCAGAGTTGGAAATTTGTACACAGGCTCACCACCGAGTCAGTGATGGGGAGCAATGATTAACTTCTGTGATTACTTAAAACATATACTCATATTTACTATTCAGAAGCTGCTTACAGTTTCCCAATAGAACTCCAAACCAAGAATATCTAAGACAGTTGAAAACGAAATTACTTTGGAATCCAGGAAAAATGAAACTGTTACACTGCCATACTTATTAAGTACAAGTGTGGAGGTTAGAAGACAACTAACAGAGTCATTTCTCTCCTTCCCCTATAGAGGTTCTAGGAATCAAACTCAAGATTATCAGGCTTGGCTGATGTTGGTAGTGGACACCTTTACCTGCTAAGTCATCTTGCCATTACTCACTCTTTTAAAGCTGACAGTCACTTTAAAAAGAAATTACATACTATAAAAGATGCTTGCTTCCTTATCAAGATATAAGCACTGGGGAACTGGGTGAAGAGTATATGGGACTTCTCTGCACTGGGGCTATGACTAGGGTACCAGTTCATGTGTTAAAGGCTTGGTCCCTAAGGTGGTCCTCCTGGAGGATTACAGACCTCCTCCTTATGGTAGTAGCTGATATCTAGTAAGGGGTCCTTTTGTTACCTGGGAAAATCCTTGAAGGACCTTGTAGGACATCTGAGTCTCAGATCATCACTGCTGGCTCATTCCCCCAGAATGATATAACTGCCTTACCAGAGGCACAAAACAACGAGGCTACCTAATTTTAGACAGGAACCTCCAGAGCTATGAATCAAAATAAACCTCTTTCCTTCAAAATTAGTTGGCTCAGCTATTTTGTTATTATAATGTAAAGCTGACCAATATCACAACTTTGCAATTTCCTATAAATCTGTATGTTTCAAATTTTTTAAAAATTTAAATGAAGATTTGCTTTCAAAGAATGCACTACTGATACAACATGATGAACAAGCTTCAAAGGCTTCATGCTAAATGAAAGCCAGTTACAAAAGACTTGTATCATAAAACTCTCATTCATGAGAAAAATCTGGAAAATGACACAATAGTTAGTAAGAGAAAGCAGTAGTTATGACCATGAGGCTAGAGTTAGGAGTGAGCACTTACTGGCAAGGGCACAAAGGAATAAATGTTGTTCTGTGAATAAAGTCTCCTAAAACTATGTGTGGTGACAATTGCACAACCAAATAAGTTTACCACATGACAGTACAAGCTTCACCTTCATCAAACTGCAGAAAAAGATTAACGATGGAAAGTAGGTGGTGGGTAAATGAATGGGTGTTAAATCATTGTAACTGTTACATAAATGAAAAGCTTCATAATAAAATTTTGGAGGAAATTGAAGCTCTCCTAAAGTAAAGAATTAAGATGTTTTTAAAGTATGTCTCTTGCAACTCATCACCCTGTAACCCCACACATGCTAACCTGCAGTGGTTCATGAGGTGCTGTGGGTTAGGAGCCCTGTGTTTCCACACCTGACCAGAGCTGTCTAGACACTACTACAAACAGCTAGTATTCCCCACAGGACGGCCCTAAACACAAGCATCTTACATATTTTAATCACCAGATGGGGAAAATCCACATTTCAACTATGTATAGATTACAGTAATAGGAAGACTCTTAATTAAAACAAAATAAAAAATCAGAGTTTTTAACGTAAAAATCATAAACTTTCCACAAGATTTGGGGATTAAAGCTTAAACCACTGATACATATCAATCAACAAAAAAATATTAAGCAGAAAAACAGGTAAGCTGAAATTTCAAAAATTGTAAAAAGCAACATATTTGTAGAGATAAACCTTCCATATTTAAACAACTTACGAAGAGTTGCAAATCTCAACTTCAGAGAGCAAAGCTGTTTTATACAACTGTAAAACAATTTAAACTTCTGCAGATGCAGTATCTAAAGAGAAACAGATACTGTCCTGTACTATCTACTTTTATTGATCTGACTGTGTGGGGAAGGGAGGTATGTGCACTGTGAGTGTGCAAGCATGTATATCCATGCATAAGCAAAGGCGAGGAGGCCATAGGTACCCTGTTCTACCACTCTGACTTTTTGAGATATTGAACCTGGAGCTAGGTTGGTGGCTAACAAGCTCCAGGATCCTTCTGTCTCCACACAACCACCCCATAATCACAGCAACACATCACAGGCAGACATGATCAGGCTTTTCACATGGGTGCTAGGGATTTGAACTCAGGTCTCAAGATGACACAGCAAGCATTCTTAAATAAGGAACATCTACTCAGTCCCCATCAGCATTTTTTTTTACTGACAATTTTACAATGTATATTCCTTGTTAAGGTTTTTCAAAAGTAACATCATATTCTGACATACTTAAGGAAACCAGGAATACATAAATTAAAAAATAAAAACATCAATAATTATTAGGATTAAACTGCCCACTTCTAATTTACTGCTTTTCTAATTCCAACTACACTAGTACCAGGGTGATGTTATGACTGCTTGGAGCTATTGTGCTTGGAGAGTAGGTTGTGCAGGATGAACAAGAAAAGCTATGGGGATCTTTTCAAAGCCAACCTCTTAAACACCTGTCATCTGTTAGCTTGAAGACTACAATAGGGAAAAGAACACATCAGCTGGCCCACAGACCAGCACCCCTCACCAGCAGTGTGATTAAGTAACTTCTGTGAAAAAACCAAGGATTTACCTTTGTACTGGCCACACCAATCTCAGGACCAGCATTAATGTGAACCCCACAATCGGTCTCCCTTGATATAGAACTGCCAACTGTATTTGTGATCCCCACAGTCAAGGCTCCTCTCTCCTTACAGTAACGAAGACCCATCAGGGTGTCAGCTGTCTCACCTGTGTAAAATGGACAAAAGTAACACACAAAGCAGTTTCAGAGTATGCTGTTTCTTACATGAAAAACTGACTGGTCACACTTTCAATGTTATCATTTGTTTTAAATAAAGCATGAGGCATGTTCTTATTAAACTTATATAAGATATAGCCAGGCAGGGTGACACGATCCTTTAATCCCAGCACTTGGGTGGAAGAGACAAGCAGATCACTGAGTTGGAGGCCAGCCAGGTCTACCTACTGAGTTCAGGCCAGCCAAGGCTACACATTGAGACCATATCTCAAATAACCATACATTTACAAGACAGGGTTTCATCGAATTTAAGTTTCAGTTTTTACAAGATATGCTAGAATTAAGAAAATTGACTTACAATGACTTTTTTCCCCTTTGAGTCTAAAATGAACCTACCTGACTGACTAATGAAAAAGCAAACATCATCTCGAAAGACTGGAGTGTTTCTATCCAAGAAGTCACTAGCAAGCTCCACCATCACCGGCAACTCTGTCAGCTCCTCCAGAACCTGACGGGTCTACAGAAGAAAGAGAACACAATCTGCCTTCAGACATTCTTTTTCATTGAACTTCTTTGGTCTTAATGTACAGTTTGTACTTTTCTGATTATAAAAATAACACACAGACTAGAGGTATAGCTCAGTGGTGAGCACTTGCCTAGCATGCACAAGGCCAACCCCATCACTGGTTCCAACCCCAGCACTGCCAAAAGAAAAACAAGGCATAAATTTGGAAAACATTAAGTAATATAAACTAAAGAATAAAAAACTGAAAGTATTCAATAGCCTACTTAAAACAACTACCAATGTGTATGTCCTATTTTGTATTCAATACTAGAGTCGTCTGGAACTCACTATGTAGTATGGCCTCAAATTTGCAGTAAGGGAAAGGAAGAGAGACAGATTGAAACTAAGACCCTTGCAAAGTTGTCTTTACAGCTCTGGAACTTTTGCTTGCCCATAAACTGAAACAGAATTGTTTTGTTGTACTTGGTTCCACAATGATTCTAATTTGGCAGTTTTTAGCAACATTGCAGCAACATGATGATAACAATATTACAGCAACATGAATGAATGTCAAGTATCTGAAAATTAAATGTTCTTACTTTTAGTTATTTAAAAATTAACATAACTTTCCAGGTGGTGGTGGTTTACACCTTTAATCCCAACACTCAGGAGGCAGAGGCAAGCAGATCTCTGGGAGTTTGAGGCCAGTCTGGTCTACAGAGTGAGTTCTAGGACAACTAGGGCTACATAGAAACCCTGTCTCAAAAAAACAAAATGGAAAAATATTAGATTCCACAAGGTAAGAGATAAAAATTTTTGTTAGAGCAAATAAATTATTATCACGAACTTTGAAAATCAATCTTAAAGCAGAAACTGAGTGCAAGAGATCAGAGTACGCCAGCATGCAATATACTTCCTTATAAGGAAACTACAGCTGGATCCAGTTTACTACGAGGCCATGTTTCTTTACTGACAACCAATATAAGTTCCTAGCACAGAACTTTCAGCTTTTAAACCCTAATTTGACAAAGTCTGGGCTGGAGAGACAGTTTAGAAGTTAAGAGCATCAGCTGCTCTTACAGAGGACTCAGGTCCAGTTTCCAGCTCACAGCCATCAGTAATTCCAGGAGATCCAATGCCCTCTTCTGACCTGCAAGGGCACCAGGCACACACATGGTGCACAGACAAATTTGCAGGAAAACAAATAAATCTAAAAATTCAATAAAAACAAAAAAATAGGTCTGTTAACAAGCAGACTTCCTTTCTTTGCAGAAATGTACCCATGAAGCAAACCCTGCTGAGGTTAACACAAGTCACTGGCCATCTGTCTGAGTCTAGTAGGCAATTCTAAGCAAAATAAGCAAACCTCAAGAGCTATTAAGAGGTTGAAGAAGGAGGATCTTAGACCTGGTCTTAACAAAACACCCAATGACAATAAGAAGGAATGCTCTGTGGGCCACTTAGGACAATGCAAAGCCCCTCCCCTCTCTGTTTATGATGTCAATCAAAGGCAGCCTATATGTATATGTAAAGACTCCATATAACAAATCTTTCATTAAAAATAATTCAAGCAACTAGGACCTCTCTGTCCCTTTCCTGAAATGTCATGTAAAAAATGACACAATAACATGTTTTAACAAAAGATAGTTTTACAAGGCTAAAGCAAGATGGTTCAATAAGTTAAAGCACTTGTCATACAAGCCTGGAGACCTAAATTGAATCCTCAAAACCCACATAAAGGTAGAAGGAGAAAACCTACTCCACAGTTGTTCCCTGACCTTCACATACATGCCTCTCTACACAAAAGGTGCATGCATACAGTAATACTTTTAAAGTTTTAAACGTAAGTCTTACATGGTATGTTACTAGAAACACTACTGATCTACAGATATCCCGATTCCAACACAACATAACTAAAATGTAAAGAGGTCACTTACTGCCATTCCAGCGTGATAACTTGTGCCACAAGCAATAAGAATCAACCGCCGACACCGCTGGATCTCCTTAATGTGATCTTTTAAACCTCCCAAATTCACTGAAATAGAAATTTATGTTTATAATTACTTAGGAAAGAACCATATAAACAAGCAATCCTTTTCCTAAGTATCTACTGTCAATTTGAAAAATCAATACTATTGTTTTAAGCAATTCATATTCCTTTTTGGAAGACTATTTTGCTGTAGTTATGTAAATTAACAGTTCACAGCTTAACTGGCCCCTCACCAAACCTGCACTCACCTCACTAACTACCAAGGAGTACAAACAGGCACTGATTCACTTTAAGTCACTTTCATTCCTCTCTGTAGAGAAAAAGTTACCTCAAAGGAAAAATCATAGGGACAGAACCAGCAGATCAACTGGCAGCAAAAGCTGGATTTGGAGAGAAGATGACAACAGGGGCATAATGAAATTTCCAGAATGACAGAACTGTTCTATGTCTTGATTCTGTTGAAGTCATAAGTATGACTGTTACAAAGTTCTGTCAAAACCAAGAATTTTGCTGGGTGGTGGTGGTGCACGCCTTTAATGCTAGCACGTGGCAGAGGCAGGCGGATCTCTGTGAGCTCAAGACTAGCCTGGTCTACAAGAGCTAGTTCCAGGACAGCCTCCAAAGCCAAAAAGAAATCCTGTCTCGAAAAACAAAACAAAAAACAAACAAAAAAATTCTTGTCTTCAATAAGATTAACTACTGCCAGACCCTACAACCAAATTAATACTATGCATTGAGATCATTTAAGATTATGTACTCAACTTGCTATCCTACTGTATGCTCAGCCTGCTCAACCTCCCTTTAAGAGAACAACATAACCAACTTGACTATGCTTTGGATTTCCCATGCAATCAGCTTTTACAACTTAAGCTAAATGCATAGTTTTAGTCTTAAATTTTATACTTTCCATGCCTCTGACCCAGAATAATGCATGTGTGTTGTGGTAATCATTTGCCAAAAGTAGCAAATAGGTTGAAAGCAACCTTAAACAAAACAAATAACACATAAATGTCAGAAGCAATGTGTGCATATAGGTCTGTTTGTGGTTTTGAGTGCTGTTATGGGTCAGTAAAGTAACTTCTGCCCTTGTAAAACTCAAAGATTTTTATGAAGAATTCGTCATTTCTTTCCCACACCATGTTGTTCAATAGAGAGCAAAGCTCTGTGTTAGGGACAGCACAATACACAGATCAGGCACAACAGAGAGGCAACAGGGACAGACAGATCAGTCATACAGAATAGACATGCTACCAACATGCCAGTAACCACAGATGGAAGACACAGGGAGAGAGGCACAGAAGTCAAAACTGAGCTCTTTCTTGGTCAAACTACTTCAAGAAGAAGTTTCTGTTCTCATTCCTTAATGCAACAGTGATACATTTTGATCCCCCCTCCCAGGGTTTCTTTAATATGGTATCAATGAACTAACACTGCAGTACTGTTTGTATACAAGTCCACTCTTCTCTCAGTTTTTGCCACTGCCATCTATCTAACTGCTCCAGGTCTGATGTTGGCATTACCTGAATTGCTTATACACCCCCCCCCCACATCCCTTTACTGAAATCCCTTTGGACCATCATCTTCCTGAAGATCATGACAGCAACGTTCTCTCAACTCTGTCTCTTTTTAAATTTCCAAAACAGGTTGGAGATAGCTCGATGGGTAGTGTTTGCTGTGCAAGCATGAGGACCTGATTTTGGATCTCTAGGACTCACATAAAAAGCTGGAGGGGGTGGGGAATTCCAGCATTAAGAAGGTAGAGACAGGCAAATTCTAACATTAGGAAGGTAGAGCTCAATAATGAGCCAATCTAGGCAATCAATGAGCTCCAGATTCAGTATAGAGACATTATCTCAAAAAATAAGGTGGAAGGCAACTGAGGAAGACACTTGACATTGACCTCTGACCTCCACATATATTGTGCAATATTAGTTTAAGATGTTTTACATTTGTTTATGCTGTGGCGTATTTGTTTAATGATGCAAAGATGTGTTGCATTCTTTTATGTAGCCTTTGTTACTTTGTGTTACTTTGCCTGCCTAAAACATCTGGTTGGTATAATAAAGAGCTGAACAGCCAACAGCTAGGCAAGAGAAGGATAGGTGGGACTGCCAGGCAGAGAGAATAAATAAGAAGAGAAATATAGAATTGAAAAAAAGAGTGAGCAAGGAGCAACAAAATGAAAAGAGGAGGATGCCAGGGGCCAGCCACACAGCTAACCATGGAGTAAGAAGGAAAGAATGATATATAGGAAAAAGAAAAGTAAAAAGCTCAAAGGCAAAACATAGTTAAAGAGAAATGGAATAATTTAAATTAGAAAAACTGGCTAGAAATAAGTCAAGCTAAGGCTGGACATTCATAAGAATAAATGTTTTTATTTGAGACCTGGGTGGCAGGCCCCCCCCCAAAATATATATGCACGCCAACACACATGCCCACTTTCTTTCATAACTCTTCAAGTACGACATCTGGAACATACCCTAGACTATAGAGTTCTCCATGAGCAATCTCCTGATGGTTTTCCCACCAATGCACTTAGCTAATGCTCTTCCAGCCAGCTGAGCATTCCCATCTGACATCTACTTATTTACATCTTCCAAACCCTTACCTTCTTATTTTATGAGGCCTTCCCTCATCCCAAGATCCCTTTCTACAAACAGACTCATTCTTCGTATTTCCTAAATTCAATATTAAACTACAAGCATTTTCTAGTGCCAGGATCACATTTTCCTTTCCTTGAAATTATTAATTATATATTGATCTCCTTTACAAAGGATTAAAATCTTGAGGACAAGACTACATTAGAAACTTTACTATAGTAGTCTACTCCTATGACATGAGTTGAAGACTAAGAGTCTATGGCCTTAAGATGTCTGTAAGATCCTGTGATGTGTGTTCTAGAATCTAATGTTGCCCTTTAACTTCTACCTTAAACATGGAGTAGGGTACAAGCATCATGAAAGACCTCTGTGGAAGTCCATGCTTTTGCTTGCTTCTGAAAGAAACACAAGGGCTAGAGAGATGACTTGGTGGTTAAGAGCACTGCTGTTCTTGCAGAAGACTTGGATTCTGTTCTCAGGACCCACACGATGGCTCACAGCTATATACAACTCCAGTTCCAAAAGATCCATTGTCTTTTTCTAACCTCCAAGAGCACCAGGCACACATGTGGTACACATACACACAGGCAGTCAAAACTCTCTCACACACAAAACAAATGACTCTGAAAGCACAAATATATCCTGGCTGATTCATGTAACCTGAGCAAGCAGACAGGTAGGTTCTTTCCAGAATCCACAATGCCCAAGACATGCTAAGAACTGCCCCTGACAGCCACAGCAAGAACCCATTATGTGACAGTCACTCCTTTACCATTTTTAAATATGCCATTCAGTGGGGGTGACTCCACCCTGAAGTGCAATCACACTTTGATGTCTGACAATCTCAGCTGTTCCACAGATCTATATAAAGGACAATAAGCTTCAGGTTGCTAATGGCAGTCCTACAAGAGACTGAAATGAAACAACAGTAAATGTCATTACCAGTATAGTCATCAAAATTGACTCTTCCTCTCATTGTGTTCACAACAGATTCTGGCTGCTCAAAAATTTCTTTCTGCATAAATGAGCTAAAGTTACCTACAAAAAATAGAAATTACACAATTAAAACAACAGTAAGTGAGCTAAAGAGTAAGAAATCTGTACACAATGAAGTTATATTTTTTCAACATAATCTTGATACATAAAACAAAAGGTTATGCAATAAAGACATCAGGTTAACATCCTAGAAGCCTCCATGTTTGAAAAATGAACAAGAAAAAAAGTCACTTTTATTTACCTAATAGCTAAAATGCATAGTTACACAAAATCAGAGGCATAAGATAAATTTTTAGTCAAAGTTAAGTTCAGACCCATAAAGCTACCCTTTACTATGTTGACTACAAAAAGTTCCTCATTTATAAATAAAATCAGTGTATACTTCTTATTATGGACTGTAGTATGGCTCATGGGACTTTGCAGACAGTAGTTGTAGAACTACACAAGCCAATCAGAAAGGAGAACAAAAATCCTAACAGTTACTGGCAGTAAACATTATGTAGGGTACACTGATATCAGGTACTGTTTTAAAGTCTTATAGTGATCAGCTTTATTGATCTTCAACACAACCTTAATGAGATGGAGTCTGTTTTTCCCTCTTAAGACATGAGATGGCTGATGCACAGAAAATACAAGAAGTGTGCTGGACGAGCATCTTTAAACATGTGGTACTATCTCCTTACAAAGTTAAAAACAAACCATGAATCAGTTTCAAGAACTATTCTAAGACTAGCAGATAATTTCTCCAGAGTCATTCCTTTCCCTGGATTGACCATCTACTCATCATATGGAAGCTTCATAAGCAGGGTAGGAAACAGAATGATTCCTTTCTTTAAGCATCCTAAGTCCAAACATTGCAAGATACTCACCCTTCATGATCTGCTGGAGTTCCATCTGGAGGGTTTGCACAGCTCGGCCAGGATGGTCTCCTGCAGTTCGTTTAATTCGATGGATAGAAAGACGGCCCTCCACCACTGCTGCAACATCGTCATCTTCAAGAAAGATGACACGATTGGTGTGCTCTATCACTGCACTACAAAATGGTCATGGAGATGTTATCAATAACCAAGATCACTGTCACCAAGAAAGCTATCATTAGAGCACACAGACCATGCTCAAACACCAACTCTCCTTACACCTCATGTTAACTGTCAATGTCCTCACTTCCTACAGGGCCACACTGAAGATGTGGTCATTGTGGAAAAAAATAAAGTGGATATCTGCACAGCAACCTAACCAATCAGACAAAATCAGAAGGGATGGTTATTTCCATCTCACCAAAACCTGTCATTTTAACCCCTATTAGTGAACAGTTCCGTTCACTGGCACTGATGAACACAAGCTGCCTCCAGTTCTTTGGCTGGTTTCTGCAGCACCCTCCTAACTGCCCACTACTTCTCTTACCTCCCTACCCATCCTCCTCTTCTGCTCAAGTCAACATCAAAAGGTAATGCAAATCAAAAATTTTCCTTCACCCAGCAAATCACTTTCAGCTCCCACTGATTCTCAGAAAATCTTCAAATTGCCATGCATATCCCATCAAGCATCCTCTCATTCTACTCAAGCTGTCTAATGCCCTTCCCAAACTCTCACAGGTGGGCCATCTGCACAGAGCAAATCTTCTTCTCCCAACCTTTCCAATTAGCTCCTGACTGTCCCTTAGCTCACTCTGAGCTTCATTCCCTTAATCCTGCTCATGAAGGATTAAATGATCTTGCTATGGGCAAGTGTTATCTCCTCTGTTATAGCAGACCACATAGTATTTTTATCTTACCATTCTCCTGAAGCTAGCATATGGTGTTGCTCAATAAGCATTAAAAATGAATCTGTGGTGATATATTGTTTATGATCTAATAAATGCACTGGAGACAAGTTTGCAAAGCCAGTCACACTAGTTAGCTATAGAAACCAGACAGTGATGGTACACATCTTTAATCCTCGGACTCAGGAGAAAGGTAGATGGCTACTAGAAAGTGAATCAGAGTTCATGCCTTTAATCCCAGGACCCATGAGAAGTATTTAAGACAGGAACAGGGTCTCAGAGTTAGCATTCATTCTCCAGTCACATTGAGGATAGAAAGACATTGAAGTCTCTAGCCACAATGAGGAGAATATAGGAGTCTGAGTGAATCTGAGGAGCAGTCAGGTTGGGAGCAGTTTGAGGATCTCCCCTATGGTCTGTGCTGAGGTAGAGGTAAGAGCTAGAGGCTAACTGCTTTGCTGATTTTCAGCTTGAAACCTGAACTTCAATATCTGTCTCTGGGTCTTTAATTTTTCGTGATGCATGAATCAAAAGCTGATAGGCTTCTGTAATTCCTAGTTTAGGTCATAACTATCAACTGTCTATAGTAAACTCACTTACTGACAGCAAAGACAAGCTTGCAAAATCTAGTAAACAGTAAACCTTATTTCTCACTCAGATAATACATTTCCAGAAGTACTAAATGGTATCATTTTCTCATTCTTATTTCCTCTTATTTATAGTCACAGTGAATGAATCAATCAAGTATCTGAGTGGTTCTATTTTATCCCCACTCCTACAGTATTCGAATTACCAATGCCTCTAAATATTCCACTGCATTTTCTTTTAAAATTTCAGTCTTCCTTTGTAAAAGGATTACGATGTAAATTAACACTAAATATAAAAGCTAAATGTCCACATGAGTTCCAAACTATAGTTTCTCAGCAACTGTAACTGCTTGAAAAACAATCCCTCCTCTCTATAATACTTGGGTACACCTCCTGGAAATAAAACAAAACAAAGAAATAAACAAATACTCCAAAGGAAATGCATTAGAATAGGTCTCTAAGAATATATGAGGCTTGGTAAAGTAACCAACATGCTTTGGAGTGATAGGAAAAGTGTCTTATTGTCCCATGTCAACAAGGTGACCTCTAATTTCTCAATTAGGTTCTGGAGCTGAGACATCACTAGTAATGGATTGCTTGTTAGAGTCAGAGGTTCTGTTCTCAACACCTAGATTTTTGTAAATACCTTCATGGTTTGGGAAGATTTTCCTAAAAATTGTCTTAACTCAATGAAGGGAGCTCACCTTGCATCAGAAGCAAAGTAATATTCAACTGCCTTTTCCTCAACAGGGAAAAGGCATGTTGTGCTGTCCACACGGGAAAGATTACAGCTTCCTTTCTTGTCTTTGCCTAGGGCACAGAGATAACATAAAATCAGCAAGCACAGAAAATCATGCTACAATTTAGAAATAGGCAGTATAACTGTTTATAAAGTCAACAACAAAAAGAAAAAAGAGCAACACAAACAAATTCAGCATTTCTCAAACTTGAGGTAGCTCACTGGATTTCCATGCAGTAAGCCAGTAAGGGCAGACAGGAAGTGCAGTGAAACAACTACAAAGACTGTACACACAACAGTGCTACACTGTAAACTCCACAATGTTACTTCTTTTCAGGTAGAAAACAATCTATTAATAACAACTTTTAAAAATCTACAGGCTGCAAGGCTAGAAAAAGGGCTCAGAGATTGTGGTGGTTTGAACAGATATGGCACCCATAGACTCATGTGTTTGAATGTTTAGTCCATAAGGATGGCACTATTCAGACGTGTGGCCTTGTTGGAGAAGGTGTGGCTTTGTTGGTGAAAGTAAGACACTAGGTTGGTGGGCTTTGATATCTCAGAGGCTCAAGTCAATTCTCTGCCTACGATCCAAATGTAGAACCCTCAGCTTCTTCTCCAATACCATGTCTGCCTGCATGCTGAATGCTCCATGCCATGAAGATAATGGACTAAACCTCTGAACTGTAAGTCAGTTCCAATTAAATGTTTTCCTTTATAAGAGTTGCTATGGTCAATGTGCCTCTTCACAGCAATAAAACCCTACCTAAGACAAAGATAAAAGAGCACTCAATGCTATTGCCAAAGGACCCAGGCTTGGTTCACAGCACCCATATGGTGGCTCACACCCATTCATAACTCCAATTCTAAGGGATCAGACTCATTTTTCTGCCTCCCTAAGTACCAGAAACACTTGTGATACACATACATACATGCAGGCAAAACATTCATCATATAAAACATTTAAATTAAAAAAACCCCAAAACATAATATAGTACAACGAAGGGTAAAGGCAGACTAGTGCCAAGTTAGTTTCTTAAATAAAATTTCTTGAGATTTTAAAAAGCAAATCAGGTCTATAATATTCCATTAAAATCAACGCAAAGGGGACTGATGAGATGGCCCAGCAGGTAAAGGCACTAGCCACTAACCCTGAAAACCTGAGTTCACTTCCCAGGTCTCACATGGTAGAAGAATACTAACTTCCACAATCTATCCCTGACTGCCACACATATGCTGTGGTATGTGCAGTATGTGTACTGTATATATACACATACATGAATAAATAAATGTAATTATAAAGCAAAACACATGCCACTTTAACCATGTAATGCCGATATGGCACATAGTCACAGGTAATGCTATAAGTCAAGAATCTCGCCTGTCTCAGTAGTGCATATCCAGTATCTTTTTAATTCTGGCACTTAATTCTTCATCAGTAATAATTGTTTTTGTTTTTCCTTCTCACAACTAACATAGAAATGAAGAAGTATGCTGGTATGACAAATTCTTTAAATTAAAGCCATGCTTATAGTTCTAGTACCTGGGAGGTCAGAGGCAGGAAGATTACATAGTTTCAGTTACATAGTTTGAGGCCAGACTGGGCTACCAGGAACAGCTATGTCTTTTCTCCAATGCCTGAGCATAGTAGATCTTTATAAATCAAGGGCAGAATATCCACAGAATACCACAAGTTACTTGCAAAAATTCATATCTTATCCTCTAAAATGTATGTACAATGACTAGATAACTATTCTTAGAAATATGCATCCAAGTTCTACCTTTGGCTATCTGGAATGATTTAAGCATGAAACCAAAATATTACTTCCCAGCCAAACCCAAAAGCAGAGATGGCCAGGCGTTGGTGCACGCCTTTAATCCGAGCACTTGGGAGGCAGAGACAGGAGGATGTCTGTGAGTTCAAGGCCACCCTGGTCTCCAGAGTGAGTTCCAGGACAGCATCCAAAGCAATACAGAGAAACCCTGTCTCGAAAAACAAAACAAACAAATAAAAAAAAGCAGAGATGATAGTCAAACTTTAAAACATAACTATGTGGGCTGGAGAGATGGCTCAGAGGTTAAGAGCACCCTCTGTTCTTCCAGAGGACCTAGGTTCAATTCCCAGCACCCATATAGCAGCTCGCAACTGTCTGTGACTCCAGTTCCAGGGGAATCTCACACAGAAAGCAAAACACCAGTTCATATAAAATAGAAATAATTTAAAAAACTGAGTAAAAAAAAAAAAAAACAGACACACACAACTATGCATTGACATACTATAAAAAGGTAGCAACTGCTCACAAAGGCATATGCCAATGAACTCCTATGCAATACTAATTTAACAGCTACTTGCTTTTGGCAAAAATCTTAAAACTGTCCATCAAAAAGTAAATTCCAAACCAAGGAGCTTAGTGGAACACAACTTTTATCCAGCACTGAGTTCAAGGTCAGCCTGTCCTATAGAGTAAGTTCTAGGTTAGTCAGAGCTACATAGTAAGATGTTGGAGAGATATCTCATTGGTTAATAGCACTGGCTACTCTTACAGAGGACCTAGGTTGGATTCCCAATGTCCACATGGTAGCTCACAACTACTTGTAACTCTAGAGTCAGAGGATCAAATACCCTCTCTTCTGGCCTCTGCAGGTAACTGCACACGTGTGGTGCAAATACATGCAGGTGAACACTCATATACAAAAATAAATAAAACCTCAAAAAATTGTTCAGTAACTCTTAAAAAACAAAACAAACAAACAAAAAACACTGAATCGTTTGTTTCTAAAAAGATTACCATCATATGTGCAAGCCAGTACTCTGGAAGTTGATGCAAGAGAATCAACAGTTTGAGGCCAACCTCAACTATATAGTAAGACTTTGTCTCAAAATACACAATCTAAATTGAAAAACAAGTAGAACTAAAGCCCAATACCAACATTTAAAAAATGTAACCAGCTTTGTTTCTAAAATGCCCTAAAGTTGAGTATAACTCCAAATATTTGTAACTTTATTGTTAAGATAACAGAAGTATATCTGATTGAAATATTTGAAAGAATTTGAGGCATCACTGCCTATAAATGTCTATAAAATTCTTTTCCATTTGAGGATTCTTTTGTTCAACTGAAATGAAATACTGTATCACCCATTTTTCAGTGGGAAAAGGTGACTTTAAGTTGGAGACAATGGCAAAAACCTGAAATCAAGCCCAAAGTTCTCTCTACAGCCCTTCCAATAAGGCTGTCTCATGACATCATGGCACTGAGCTCCACAGCATCTAACTACTAGAATTAGAGAAACATGGATATCAAATGTCATTTCCCAGGATAATGTTTCTCCAAACTTTTGAAGACCTTTCCAAAAGCCACCTAAAATAGCCTACAAGATAGCATTTATGACACACAATAAGCAGTACTGTCATAGGAATCTAGAACTGTAGAACCAACTTATGTGTTATCATTGCTAGACTAGTCTTTCTTTGGGAATGGACTGGGAAAAAAGTAATACAGCAGGAAAAAAAAAGTATCATAAAGCATTGAAAGTTGTTTAAAGAAATAATTTTCTTCCCAAGTAAAACATGAAAGCAATCATCCAAAGATGAAAACGCTCAGCATTCTTTGGTGACTGTTATTCAAGAAGCCAAGAATTACATATTCATAACGAAGTTTTCAATTTTCTGAACCCAGCAGTCCCCTACCTTATACATGGAAAGTTCATAGCAGTAAGTAAACTAACAAAAAGTACACTGTTGTTTTTAGTTCTGTGTAATTCAATAAAATGGTTCCGAGTTTGCATAAAGACATACTAAAAAATCCATCATGGCCATGTGTGGGGCACACTGCAGCACTCAAGAGACATGGGCAGGGTTATGAGTTAAAGGTCAGCCTTGGCTACACAGCAAGTTTGAGGTTAGTGTAGGCTATGCAAGATCCTGTTTCAACCTCCTCTCAAAAAATAAAAATAAAGGAAAGAAAGAAATTGGTGCCAGAGAGGTGGCTCACCAGTCACTAATATTTCCTGTTCTTTCAGAGAACCCAGGTTTGGTTTCCTGAACCCCTATCAGGCAGCTCACAACAATATATAACTCCAGCCCCAGGGGATTTGAAGCCTCTGGCCTACCAGGGTACCTTCACTGTCATGCACATATTCACATGCAGACATACATGTCTACATATAATAAGAAAAAGCAAATCCTTAAAAAACAAAACCAGGGAGCCTAGGATACAAGCCAGCAGTAAAACATTTGCCTAGCGTGTTTAAGGCTCTGTGTCTGAATACCACCCCAGAACCAATAAAGAATAATAAACCCCAAACATAAAGACTAAAATATGACTCCAAATTGAAATAAAACCAATCAAGACCTAAAAGTAAAATGTCATGCATCTAAATCTAGCTTAGCTGACAGTGAGGCTAAATCACTTAGGAAGTGATGCTTAGTTCAGTGTTCCTTCCCTAATCAAAGCATGCATCCTTAGTTTTGAAATATTCCTCAAACCTCTCATTTTAAGAAAATAGTTATGATATAATGCAACTTTCAAAATGGCAAAAGCAAACAGACAAAATATATTCTGCAAATTAGAAAAATGTCAAAGCATCTCCCCACAAAATAAGCATTTTTAGAACTTTGTACACTTCAAAAACAAAGAATTAGTAAATGAAGGGGAGCAGGTGAAATCCCTCCATCCATGCAGAGTGCATTCCCACCTCTTTCTGCCTGTGATGCCCACCATGTGAATTTTGATCCAATCTGAGTCCTAGCTAAGGATGCACAACAGAGAAAAATTCTTCTTGTCAGTGTTCACAACAAGTTTTTCATGTCTACATACAACTATGTAATTGTATGCACAGGCACACACAGATCTGACTGAACAGCATTACCACAGCATATAGAACAGGGTTCTCAGCTGCACTGTTCTTACAATGTAATGCAACAGCTTACCTGTTCTGTACAGAATTGGAATGTGATCTGTAGAAAGCTTATGTTCACTCCGCACACCAATCAAGAGGGGGCTACCTCTCCTGAAATGCAAGATGAGTCACAATCAAACCTTTTGCATAAATAACGTACTAACAATACAAAATTCAAAATTCATTTTAATTTGAAATGTAATGCTCTTCAAATGATTTAATTTAGAAATAATCACAATGTTCTTAGACCAATAAGAACATTTAATGTCTGCTAACAGAAAGCTATCTTTAATCTGAAAGCAGGATCCTAAGGATATATTGGTGTCTGTATAAATGAATGAAAAGTTCCACTTCACATTAAAAGAACAATTTAAAATACAATGCTATAAAATATGAGTTACACATATATATTTGTGTATACATTATACAATATAGTTTATATATTACATATATACATGTTTATAACATGTTATCAAAAATGAATTGAACTTCAGGTGTAACAAAATAACTACATTAGAAGACTGAGTCCTTAGGCCACACCTGAGTACTTCTAATAAATAGTTTTCAACTGGCAAACTACAATCGCACTAAGGTTTTACTGAGACAGTAAAGCCCTTCTTCTGCAGCTGCTTCATGCCAGCACTTTAAGAGCTAGCAAGGAGGCCATGTGGCCCAACAAACTCAAATATTTGCTATCTGACCCATTCTGGAAAAAAAAAAAATCACCAACTCATATTTTATAACACTGAATTTTAAATTGTCCTCTGCCCTAAGAACTTCATGGTCATTTATAAAGCATTTTAGCAAAAGCCTAGCAAAATCAGTGGTGGTACAATTACTTAAGAATGTGGCATGTTTCCAAAAAATATGGAGAAAGTTAATGCTTTGGAGCTGAAATTAAAGAATATTCCATATCCAAACTCACCACCATGCTCACCAAAGACAAGTCACAATGCCTAAGTGTATTTGGTTTACTATGAGACTCTGTTAAAGAATGATACAAGGAATGAGTATACAGAAATAAACACAGGCAAACCTCTAAGAAAACAAAAAAGGGTCATTCACAAACTAGTGAGAGTTATCCTGTAGCCCGAATGTTTCAAAGTGCATGTCATGTTAGTCTTAAATCTCTTGTACCTTGTGACAACTGCTTGCCCAGGAAAATGAACACTTTTAAACACAAGTGCAAAAGCACCTTCCTATGGAGGAAAAGGAAACATCAGCAATATTTCTTGGGAATAATTATCAAACAAAAACACATTTAAAACATACTGGCTTCTGCATGGACATTTCTTGTTCACACTAGTGTTCTTTTGAACCAGTTTTTTTTTTTTTAAACAAGCCTCCATTTTAGATGTTGCAGCAAGATCTCTCTAAGATACTGATTCCTGAGCTCTGATCGGAGCAAACTAACTTTTACCATCACGCTTACTTTCAAATACTGCTTCTAAAGGCAGACCACCTGGAAAGTCACCTGTGTGCATAGCACATTTCTCACAGACATGTATCTTTCAGACTATTAATTTGTTCAGGAGGTCAGAATTAGCAAGGATCCCAAACTCCACAACCAAAACCCATCTTTGGCCCTCATCATTGTATTCTACTACTAACCTCTACTCTTTCTGCCCTCAGTTTTGGGCTTAACAAATATACACAATCATAATTATTAAATGAGATGGAGAAGCCAGGCAATGGTGGCACACGACTTTAATCCCAGCACTCAGGAGGCAGAGGCAGGTAGACCTCTGTGAATTTGAAGGCCAGCCGGGTCTACATAGAGAGCTCCAGGATAGACAGGGCTGTTACACAAAAACAAAAACAAAAAACCCAAATAAATAAATAAATAAACGAATGAATGAATGAATGAATGAGAAATGGCTCTCTGTTAAAAGCAATGCTGCTCTTGAAGAGGATTTAAGTTTGTTTCCCAGCACCCACACTGAGCAGCTCACAATCACCTGTACCAATGCTATCTTCTGGCCTCCACAGACACTAATACTGAGATCTGACTCTACACACATACACACACACACACACACACACACACACACACACACACACAGAGAGATACTGACAATAAAATACCTTACAAATAAAGCTGTCTATTGTTAGAGTCCTTTGAATTAAAAAAAAAAATGAATCAGCATAGAATCTGCTCATCAAACCTCATTTTAAGAAAGCTATTCGGAATTAACATTAGCACAACTATTTTGCACATGTGTATGTATTGGACATGCATGTTAGTATGTGTGGACACACATGGTTGTGGTTATAGATGTGGGTGTATAGGCACATGTGTGAATATAGGCAGAGGCCAGAGGTTTGATGCTGGCTATCTTATTCAATTGCTCTGTGCCTTATATACCAAGGTGGGGTCTCTCACATGACCCCACAGATTCAGCTAGTGCAGCCAACCAGACAGCTTGCTCCAGAATCCAGTTGGCACTACAAAGAGGCTTCCATATCTACCCAGCATTTCTGTGGGTGCCGGGAATCTGAACTCTGGTCCTCAAACCTGCATTGCCAGTGCTTAACTGCTGAGTCATTATCTCAGTCCTGACATAGTAATCTTAAAATGTATGGTTTTATACCAGTTGTTGGATAACTCTCTCCACCAAGGTAGTAAAACTGACGTCCTGACTTTCCCAGTTGTCATACATGTACTTGACAAGCTTAGCAATGGTTTCTGTATCTGTTTCAGATTCAAAGTCATAGCCTTTGCTTTCCTGCAAGTAGAAAAAAGAAAAAAGACATTTAAATAAATACAATGTTCAAGTCTTTTCTAACTTAATGGCTCCTTTGTTAGCCTTTTAAAAATTTTTATTAGATTTATTTTGTTTTATATGTGGATGCTTTGCCTGCATATATGCCTGTGCATGTATGTTGATTGGTGCCCTTGGAGATCAAAAGAGGGTATCAGATCCCCTGAAACTGGAGTTACAGACAGCTGTTAAACACCAGATGGGTAATGGGAATCAAATCCAGGTCCTCTGCAAGAGCAACAAATATTCTTAACTCCTGGGCCATCTCTCTAGACCCCACGCAAATATTTTCTAGAATTTTTCACTCAAAAACCAAATGAATTCCTAATTGCATGTGTGCACATAATATATGTGTGCTCATGTATGGTACATGTGTTACAGTGTGTGTTTGGAGGTTAGAGGACAACATTAGGAATTAGTTTTCTGTCTCCACCATGTAGGTTTCAGGTAATAAACTCAATGTTGTCAGGTTTCAGTGGCAAACATTGAGCTATCTCACCAGCCTCTAAAATCTTACTAATCACTAACTTTTTTGGATGTCATACTGAATTTACATAAAATCTAAATTAATATTAATTTAGTTAAAATTAATTTTTCAATTAATTATTCAATTAATTTAAGGTTATTTTGAATCAAAATTAAAGTCTGATTATAGAGAAACAAAATACTACTGAGTACAACTCAATACGTTTAACATATATACTTCATATGAATTAAATCATAAATAATTAAAATATAGTGGGAATATATAATATTCTAAATACTAGATTCATAGTGAGTAACAATTCTTTGGTGATCCTTAACTGTCCAGTAAAGTCATTGGTTATACATGGCCATGTAAACATAAATTTAAAATCTAGTTTCTCTGTCACAGATGTTCAGCAGTACCATATGCACAGCTCCCACTATGTTAGATACAGATAGTTTCCATCACTGTAGAAACTCAACAATGCTGAGGTGGTACTGTCTCAGTACAGCACACAGTTAGCCCTCAAAACGCCCCACAAGAAATCAGAGCTACTCCACTGTCAACAGAGAGAAATACAATAAGCCACACACCCTGTGATTATCTTGGGAATTACTTGAGCAGTCTAAATAACGTTGCACGTCCCTGACTCTCAGAAGTATTCTCAAAGATGGTTGTCTCTCTGAGGTCACTTTACTTACCAAAAACTTTTTCAAGTCTTTGTAGTTGGTGATGATTCCATTATGAATAACAATAAATTCTAGAAGAGATTAAAGTATTGACAGAATATAAGAAGTCTGATAAATGTTATGACTATAGACAGATTTTCCTTCATATTTTCCCTTTTTGTATTTGTGGGTTGAATCTAGGACCTCCTACATGTTAGGCAAGCACTCTGCCACTAAACAACCTCCTGGCCCTGGTATTTCACATTTTTGAGACAAGGTCTGCCCCTATGTAGTCCAGACTAGCTTTGAACTAGTAGAAACCTCCAGTTCTGTCACTCACGTACTAGGGTTACAGGCATGCACCACCACATCAGGTGGTGGATAGATTCTTATCAAGTCAAAAAGTTAGTATACTAGTTAGTGTCCTCCAGGTCATGTGCTTCTTACTGTGCCTTGACATCGGGCAACAGCACTGCTTCTGCACTGATGCACAGTGTTAGAGGGCACGTACATGAGGAAATACACCAGTTCTGATTTCTGCTACACTAAACTACCACTACCCTAACACTAGAGAATGAAAGGAACAGAGCAAGTCTCCTGCACCTGTTTCCTCACTTGCAAAATGCTACTCTACTTGACCACTCTCAGTCTCTGTTCATTTATTTGCTTAAGTTTAAAAAGAAGTCTTTTACAACTAAAACAATCTCAGTGACACTAAATAAAGTTTCAGAACTAATAACTACATAATCACCAAGTTCTATAAATTGATTTGTGTAAGGTCCAGATGACTCCTGGAATGTCACATGAAAATGTCAAAGTAGCATTACAAGAGCAAATAAATATAATGCTGAGAGATCAATTTATCTATTTTTATTAAATAATGACTGAAAAATATTAAAAATAGATAACCAAGAGTTAACAGTATTCTGTGCAGCCATGATAGTATACAGTATGGCTTTAAATTCACAAATCAAAAGAATAATTATGGCTGGGTATGGTGACATATGCCTTCAATTCCAGCACTCAGGAGGCAGAGGAAGGGGGATATCTCAGTTCAAGGCCAGTCTGGCCTTCATAGTGAGTTCCAGACCAGCCAGGGCTTCATAGTGAGACCCTGTCAAAACGACAAAAAAGAATAATTATTAGTAAATACAATAGTTTTGTTACCTTGGCTGGTCTCAATTCCTAGACTTAAGCACTCTTCCTACCTCAGCCTTCTGCATAACCAGAACAACAGGCATGTGTCACTACACCTAATGTAAATCTAATTTTATATTATAGCATTCAAAATGTTCTGTATACCTAAAGATCTCACATTTGTCTAAAAAAAGAAAGTAATCAAGACTACTGAGCCTACTGGGGTCACTTCAAAAAGAAACAGGAACCAACTCAAATAAGCTCCCAGTGTGGCAAAACAAAAAAAGTGCTGCAGCAATACAGAGCACTACCTCAGTACACCGAAATAAATCAAGTATCTACCACAAACTACTTAGAGGTATCTCAATAGTGCAGCACATAGCACTTCGGTCTCATGAACTGTTTGGAGGAAAGGAGAAGAGGAGCAAGAATGGTAAAGACAGAGTGCAGTGTGGGACATGCAATGACATGTGTATGTCATAAGAAAATGCATTCTTTGTGTGCTAACTCGAAAATCAACTTTAAAGACACTCAAAATAATTATCATGAGTTTATAATAATGAAAATAACACATTGCTCAGGATAACATTAAATTCACTTCATGTCTGAAAAATGGTAAATAAAGGAAAATAATCAAGCATTCAGCCTGCCTTTCCTATAGAAGCTATACCTCAGGCTGACCAAGCAGTTGTAGACATATCTGAGCTCTAACTGAAAGAGGACTTGAGGCACTAGACTACTGGCATTTGACAATCCCTACAATCTCAACAGTAATCACCAGTGGCTAACATGACACTGTGACCAGCTGTGGAAATAATCACAATCCTCATTTATGAGAAATACTCAGGGCTGCAGACACAGCTCATGGTGGAGACCTGCTTAGCATCAGTGCTCCCTCGGCTCAATGCCTAGGGCTGGAAAAATAAAATAACAGATCTGTTTACCAGTGCATGATGGCACACAGCTATAATCTCAGTTCTTGGGAGGCAAGGAAAGGAGGATCAATCCAAGTTCAAGGCCAACCAAATCTACAGAGTAAGACCATTTTACAAAACAAAACAGACAAAAAAATCGAAGACATGGGGAAACATTAAATAACATAACAGGAGTAGATATAATTAGCAATACCTAGACTACAGGAAACTTACAGATAAACAACACATTAAATTACAAGAGGTAAAAAGACTGGCATATTGCACCGGGTAGTGGTGGCGGCATACGCCTTTAGTCCCAACATTGGGAGGCAGAGGCAGGCGGATCTCTGTGAGTTCAAGACCAATCTGGTCTACAAGAGCAAGTTCCAGGACAGCCTCCAAAGACACAGAGAAACCCTGTCTCAGGGAAAAAAAAGGCTGGCATATTGAAGTTGTCAATCTTTAGTACTGGAATTCTAAAATAACCTATACAAGGAGGATTGTTGAAGTTTTGTGATGGGATCAAGTTTTATATACACCCTGAATACATTTTGAAATTTCCAGATGAGAATCTAATTAAAATAACAACATAAGCACCTTGATTCTCCTTCCATCACTGGCCCACTAAAATCATTTCCAATTACACATAAGCTATTCATACCATTATTTTTATCAGAGCGTTGGGGGTGACTATTGACAGGACTAGGTTCTCCATGTGTTGCCCAACGGGTATGAGCTATTCCAAGATGTACATCAAATTCTATATCCAAGTCCATATCTTGTTGTTCTGTGAAAGATAAAATTTAAAACTAGTATTTGTTAATGCTATAGATTAAATTATATTAAATATAACCAGTACCCCCTTCCACAAGGTTTGTGTTTCAAGATACTCAGTGGATGCCTACAACTGCAAATGGTATAGAGCTCTACATACAGCATGTGTTTTCCTATACCATGTCATTATGGCCTGTGGCCACAGGGTTTCCTGCTATGAGACGTGACAGCAGAATGCAGAACTAGTACTAACTTGTTTTTCTTCTCAGTTTTAGATAAAAGGTCATTCTTATCATATCTCCTAGCAGACTCAACATTTGATCTTCCTTCTTTCCTTGTTAATTAAGAACTTTCACCTTCACAAGAAGCACCTTCTGGATTTTCTGATAGATCAGCAGACCAGCATCAGCATCTTGCATTTGGGGTCATTATCAAGCAAAGTAAAAACCATGCCAAGTGGAAACATATGAGCAGACTACCTATGCAAGGCCTATTCTCAGGATGGCTTTTCTGAAGCTTCTTCATTAGAAGTCTGAGCTTGCCCTAAATCCACTGCACCTAATTTCCTTCCTAGTTGCTACGATCATGTCTGAAGCTCAGAGACAATTTAAAGCCAAGCAGTTAACAAAATTACTTTTCTTCCTTCTCTTCAACCTTTAAGTCTTCCTCAAAATGGATTCCACAAAAGGAGAAAATGGGAAAAAAATCAAATTAAGTACATTACTGTGAACTTCTTCATCCAGTGCCTTAACTTTTCCCTTCTTCTTAATGAGCTGGATTTTGCCGGCATTGGCTTCCCAGTCTTTGTCATTGCCGCCATCAAGTCCCACACCTAAATTAGTAAGAGGTAGATAAGAAAACAAGACTTAGAAACTGATTGTTAAGAGTACCAATATGAGGCCAATAATAATAATAATAATAATAATAATAATAATAATAATAATGGGAAATTATATATTCATCTAACTAACTAACTTACCAAGTAGATTTTCTGAAAATCTATTATGTGTTAAGTGAAAGCTGCTTAAAACAATAAATGAAAATAAGGCTGCGGGGACAGCTCAGTGGTAAAGAGATTATTTAGCACACATGGGACCTTGGGTTCAAACCCAGCATCAGAAAAGAGGGTAAGAGAAGGGAGGTCAAGAAAGGGGTTAGGAGAGCCCAATTCTTGTTGAGAAAACAGAGAAAGAATAATGATAATCAAAATTATTACTTGTACAAGCAATTGCCTCTAGGCAGTGGTGATTCATGCCTTTAATCCCAGCACTGATCTGAGTTCAAGGCCAGTCTGGTCTACAGAGTAAGTTCTAGGACAGCCAGAGCTACACAGAGAAACCCTGTCCAAAAATACAAAACAAGCAATTGCTATATATAAATTATAAACGGTGAAAAGGTGCCATGGGCACAATGGAGAACTGCAGAAGAGAGGCATGCCCCTCTGAAGGGGAAAACAAGTGATAGTCAGGAAAGCATCTCTTGAAATTTTACTTAAGTTACTAAGGAACTTGAAAAACTTTCTTAGACCCTGAAGGTCATTTCAAACAAAATAATATGGCAAATGCTCTGAAAATGGCAGAGAGGAGGATGAGTTGGCGAGGGAGAAAGAGGATACTACTGCAGCAACAAAGCAAAAATGTAGAAGAACCAACTTAACAGGTGAAGGAGATGAATGAGAGAAACACAAGGGCCTGGATGGGATTTGAGAAGGCAGTAAACAAAGTTGTCTCCTGGGTTCAAAGGATCTGTAGAATGATTACTGATAGAAGGGACACAGAACAGAATGAGGTATGTAGTGAGGGTCACAGTGTCCAATTAAATTATGAACCTGCAAAGTGCACTACATTATGATCTACTCAGGAAGATAATTCTAGAAGGCACTTGGAAACATGGGTCTACAACATAGGAAGCACACTAGGATTAGAAATACATAAGACAAATGTGGTAGCACACACCTGTAATCCTAGCACTCCACATACTGAGGCAGGAGAATGATAAGTTTGAGACCAGGTTGGTTTACAAAGAAAGACTGTCTCAAAAACTTAACAAAATACATGGATTGTTAAGTCCCAATGTAAAGGGTTGATGAAGTCATTTCACCATGAAAACACAAAGACAAGTGAGGTGAGGAAACATTCTGAGACTGGGAATAGTGGTCATGCTTGTAATCTCAGCACTTGGGAGAAAAGGTCTATCTGGGTTATAGAGTAGGACCTAATCTCAATAAATAAATATAAAATGAAAAACTCTTCAAGAGCATTCCTATTTGAGACATAAGAAAAGGAGCCTCCAAAGCTGACAGAAAACATAATCAGCATTCTTATGAGAAGATATATTGTTGGAAAAGCTAAAATTGGAGAATTTGAACAACTAAGGAAGAGGACTGGGTATTAGCATGCCACTAAAACAGGAAATGAGAAGCCAACACTGTTATTCCTAGAAAGACTAAGGTTGGCCCTTGATTGGCATCTAGGATCTTAGATTTCAGAGGGATGCCTGCCACATGAAGGGGTAAGTGTGGTTCCTGTACCTGGACTGTTCATGAACAGTGTGTTCCTCTGGGATGAACTGCTACTAGGTGCTGGGCCCTGAGTCATCAGAGGCTTACCCAGTAGACAACATCCACATGGACCATCTCAACCTGTGGCTAGGGAAGTTAAGTATATCCTGTTAAGAGAGACCTCTTGGAAGCTGTCGCCTGCTTCCTGCAGACTTCATCCTACACACGTTCCTGTTCCTGACAGTGATCTGGATTCTTCTGCTGTAGTGAATCACAGAGCTATGCAATCAACTCTCTGCCAAGGCTCATGAGTCACTCCAGGAACCATGGAATAGGAGCTTCCGGTAGACCCCAACACAGGGAGCTAGAGTGAAACTGACTCTGCCAGAAAGTCAGGTTTTTACTTGGCTTGTCATTTACATAAAACAGAGAATCTTGGCTCTGTATATCACTTAGTAGTAAAGTGATTACCCAGCATGTACAAGACCCTAAACTTGAATCTTCAGCACAAAAAGAAAAAAACATTTCTTCATGTTTAAATGACATAGAATAAGTCCATGGAGAGAAAAAGAAATGAAAGAAAAATGGATTTATAGGGGCTGGAAGAGATGGCTCAGAGGTTAAGAATTGTTTTTGCGCTGGTGTTGGTGGTGCATGTTTTTAATCCCAGCACTTGGGAGGCAGAGGCAGGCAGATCTCTGTGAGTTCGAGGCCAGCCTGGTCTACAGAACGAATGCCAGGACAGGCTCTAAAGCTACACAGAGAAACCCTGTCTTGGGGGAAAATTTTTTTTAAAAATCAATAAACACTTTTAAGAAAACAAAGAATTTATAGGGTAAGGTGTCCTATAACTTATTCCCATAAAAATGTCCTCTGACTTACGTTTTTTTAATTATTATTTTTTTATTTAATGTATATTGGTTTGTCCATATGAGGGTATTGGATCCCTTGGAACTAGGGTTACAGAGATTTGTGAGCTGCCATGTGGATACTGGGAATTGAACTCAGGTCCTTTGGAAGAGCAGCTAGTACTCTTAACCACTGAGCCATCTCTCCAGCCCCCATGATTTATGTTTTTATAGTCAACTTTTGCTTTGTTTTATGAGACAAAGTCTCCTGCAACCCAGGCTGGCCTCAAACTTAATATGTATCTAAGGATAACTTTGAATTTATCTTCTTGACTCTACTTCCTCAGTGCTAGCATTACAGGTATGAACATCAAACCCAGTTTGTGCGTGGTGCTAGGGATGAACGAAGGCTTCAAGTACTCTAACAAGTAAAGCACAGACCCAGTCCTATAGCAACACTCTTTATAAAAGAAACTACTATGAGAACCAATTTCCACATAAATGATAATACTATTGAAATGACATAAGGAAACCCTTTAGACATAACTTGCATTTACAAAACAACAAAGCAAACACAGAGTTAAGTCTCCTAAAAATAATAAAAACACTACTTAAGAGTCCAGAATCAATGCAAACCCCATAGTATATTTTTAAAGAAAATACCAGCAGAATCATATCCTCTGTACTCCAATCTCTGAAGGCCTTTGATTAGGGTCTCCAAGATTTCTCTTCTTGTTCGGGGAACATGGTAATTTAAATAAGCAAATATACCTAAAAAAAAAAAAGAAATATTTAATGGGCAACTCTAATGAACCAAACCTGACATAATTATATTTAGGCTATACAAATATATAAAGCTAGAGTTCATTTTTAGAAAATAAATAAACCCTCATCTCAAATTATTTAGAGTCCACAAAACTTTTTCAAAGAGGATCTTCTTATAAACACAAAAGATTAACAAAAATATGTCCAAATAAATGTCTAGTTATTTTCAACAATGCTTATAAAGCTAATCATGTATTTCCTTAACTGACATTTTGTCAACTAAATTTATTTCTTAAAAATTAAGCAAATCCATGGGCTATCTCTTAAATCCTATTACATTAAATACAGACACACACCTTCTAGTAAGTATTTTAAGCCACTATAGTTCCTATAACTATATAGTTAAAATAACTGTTTACTTCCACTATCAATAATGTTTAGGAATAAACTATTTAAAATTTTTATTTTGGTTTTTCGAGACAGGGTTTCTCTGCTTAACAGCAGCCAGGACTATATAATATAAGATGATGTTTTTGTAAATTTAGTATAAACTGGAATCACCTGGGCAGAGACCCTCAAAGCCTCCATTAGACTGGACTATGGAAATATCTGTGAGACATTTTCATGACTAATGACTGATGTGGGAGAGGCAAACCCACTGTGGACAGTACCACCCCTGAGCAGGCAGTCCAGTGATATATAAGAAAGAAAGCTGAACAAACCATGAAGAGCAAGCCAGTAAGCAGCTGCTTTTTCTCCATCGTCTCTGCTTCAGCTCCTGCCCAAGCTTTCCTTAATGAGACTCTAATGTACAAGATGTAATAAACCCTCTCCTCTTCAAGCTGCTTTTAATCATGATGTCTTATCCCAGTAACAGGAAAACAAACTAGCTTAGGTGTGTGCCTCAAAAATAAAGAAATAAATAAATGAGAAAGGCACAAATCGAGAGTAAAAGACAAAATAACTAAAAATAGGCACCCTATTCTCTGGAAGTATAAAATACTCACATAAGGTATTACTGGGTTAATATATTGCTTCCAAAGTTTGCTTGACTACAGGATCTTGATGGCACAAACATATAGTAAACATTTTGACTGTTTTATTAGAATATTGAATTGAAAAACACAAAGCATGGAATCTTAGTTCTTATTCTTTTGCTTTAACACTTTACAATACTGAAAATCAGTATTTCAAAAAAACTTAATTAGGTAGCTTTTTCATCAATATCTCTGCCTTGTTGGGGAAGTCCTATGCATTTGTCAATAAAGCACTGTCTGGCCAATAGGGAATCTAGATAGGAGGGACTAGGAGTCCAGAAGGACTCTGGGTAAGAGAAACACGAGAGTCAAGATGTAATGCCATGGGGTAGGAGCCCGGAACTATTCTCCGGTAAGAGAAATACTTAGATTAACAATTATGGGGTAATTACTTAAGTCAGAGCTAGCCAGTAAGAAACAAGCAAGGCCAACAGCTTCATAATTAATACAGCGTTATTTGGGGACTACAACGTGGCAGAGCCCAGGCGACTGGCGGGTGATAAACCAAAGTGGCTGGCAAGGAAAAGCCTCTCTTTACACTGCCTAAAAATTGTATTTCAACAATTAGAACATCAAGGTTATGTTACTCTAGTTCTGTCATGGATTGTTCAGGTTTGGTGGTGGGTAAGTGAATAAAAAATATATTCAATAGTGATAGTGTAAAATCTAATATGGAACCTCACAGCTGGAGAATGGCTACTGTAACTACAGAAATTCATTGAGATATATAGGCTTTGGGCAGCGTTAATTTTGATGTGTGATATTTATTTGCAAGTTTTTTATAATAAATTTTATAAGATTAAAATAATTCTAATAAAATTTTTAAAAATTTGAAAGGTTTGGGAGGTAGCCATTCCTATAATCCCAATACTTGAGAAGCTGAGATAGGATATCAGGAGTTGTGGTGGTCTGAATAAAAATGGCCCCCATAGACTCAGAAAGTGGCACTATTAGGAGGTGTGCCTTGTTGGAGTAGGTGTGGCTTTGTTGGAGGAGGTGTGTCACTAGGGGGTGGGCTTTGAGGTCTCAGAAGCTAAAGCTAAGCCCAGTGGCTCACTCTCTTCTCCCCCTGCCTGTAACAGTAGAACTCTCAGCTCCTTCTTCACCTCCATGTCAGCCTGCACACCACCATGTGTCCTGCCATGATGATAATGGGCTGAACCTCTGAAACTGTAATAAGAGTTGTCATGGTCATGATGTCTCTTCACAGCAATAAAACCCTAAGAGGTTCTCAGCCTGAGATACAGGAACAAAATGATACAGAAGAAAAAAGAACTCTCATCTTTTTAAGTTTCAAATTTTAATTTAAAGGAAACGAGCTGAAAGGCATGATCTTAGACTTCAAATACTGTGTGCTAGCATGTTTGTTCTTCATAATCAGTGGAACTCAGTTTAACAGCTGTCCTACACTAGAAGCCACTATAACAATTTCCTCTTACAAAGACTTCCTTCATGAACTAGATCTGATTTCTTTTTTTTTTTTTTCATTTTGTTTTACACTTTTCTTCCTGGAACAAGATGAGGAAATAACCTGCAACCAGAATGTCAGGCACTTCTCCAACACAGTTAATTAGCTGGGAGTGGTGGCAGAGTCCTTTAATTCCAGCACTGAAGGATCAGGAGTTCAAGGTTATACCCTGGCTACATGACTCCCATCTCAAAAGATAAGAGAGAAAATACTTAGCTACCAAATGCAACACACTAGTAGTAATCAACCAGCTTGAAAATTCACTACTTACAACTCCTCCAAACTAATTTGTTTTGCAAAACCAATCTATTAATTCAACAGTAAAAGCTAATTGATTATGAAGTCAATTCTACTCCAATAATTTCAATATTCTATAGGTGTTTCTGTTTTGATGTTTTAGAATCTAGAATCTCTAAACTTACACTCGCTCTTCATTTTCAAAAGGTGAAATGATTAAACACAAGAAAAACCACACTAAAGAGTACAACCCACCTCCTGTTCAATTTTTTTTCATGTAAAAGACTCCAAAGAATGTTTCTCAACAGCTTCAATTCTTACAATAATACGTCTCTTTAAAAAGTGAGCCAGGCATGGTATGGAGGTTCATGCCTAGAATCTCAGCACTCATGAGACTGAAGGAGGAGCTATAATCTAGGCCAGCCTGAGGAGCAACATTAAGACAGTATCTCTCAGAGTGCACTTTCTTCTAGTGGTAACGTCAAAAGGAAAGGTAAGAGTATAACTCTTTTTATGGACTTTTAATGGCTCATCCCATTTTAGAGCATTATTAGTCATGGCACATAATTCTCACAGTAACACTTTCAAATAATAATCTTAAAACATGGAATAAAAGAGCCTGACTTTATTTTTTAATGGTTCCAGTAAAGACATATGTTGAACATTTGTACATGCCTGATGTATCATCTCTGGCCAGGACTCTTGCCCTGTCTCTGAGCCCATTTCATCAAGTAACTGACTTAGTAATGGTTCCTCCTGAGAAACTTAAAGAGTGGCAGGGGGTTAATGTGCATTATCATTGTCAGAGCTCTAACTTGAGATCTATTAGGCCTGCCTAAAAAAAAAAAAAAAGTGACTATAATTAGGTATTTTTTAAAATGCAAGATAAATTCAAGAAATGCTACCAGCAAGTTGTCATTCATATTTGTAATCTCAGCACTTGGGAGACTGAGGCAGGACACTGAATTCCAGGCCAACCTAGACTCAGCTACAGAAAGAAAAAAAGATGGGGGGGGGGGGTGAAGAAAGGCTGGGGGTGTGGCTAGGGACAGGGGACTCTCTTAGCAAGCTGACTTTATGAGTTTAACCCCAGGAGCACATAGTCCGTGCACAGGTTGCCTCACTCTCCCGGTGGACCCTGCTGCGGGCATCCCTCCACACCTCCTCGGTGGGCGCGCTCACCCCGCACTTCCTCTAGAAGGCAGACATTATCTACCCTCTGAGCGCTACTCAAAGGAGCCCCTAGAGCGCCGAGACACGCTCCCAGGAGCCCGCCCCAGCCCCTTCAGTAGCCTCTGACTCCCGAGGGCCCCACAGTCTCCGCGGCGGGCCCCTCATCTGCAGCATACTAACTCCAGCCGCCCCCTCGACCCAGGAATCCCCATCTTGGAGTCCCTACCCCCACGGACGCCCTTCTCCCCAGACACCCTTCTCCAGATGCCGGCTCTCCTCAGGACCCTCGCTCTGCTCAGGACTCCCGCCCCACAGGCCACCTCCCTCCTCAGGACCCCGGCCCCAAGGCCGCTCGTTGACTCGCGCACAGTCCACCTCTGGCTTCGCGGCACGGGCCCTGCGGCCGCCACACGCCCCCGTCGCGGCCCTTACCGCACATGATGCTGGTCGCGGGGCGAGGGCCGAGCGGTCGGGCGCGCGAGAGCTTCGGGAGGGAGGACGAGCTCCGGCCGGGGTGGCGGCGATGAGGCGGACTCCGGGATGCGACAGCTCGGACACGACAGCGGCACTCGCGGCTCGTCCCTCAACTGCCGCCCCGCCCCCCCGGCAACGCGCGCCGCCGCGGCTCTCCCATTGGGTCGCGCCCGCGCCGCTCACGCGCAAGCCTCGCCCCCGAGGCGCGCAGGCGCGGAGCTACGGGCGGCGAAGACGTGGCAGGGGCTCGTCCCGCATCCGGCTCAGGTTCCTGCAGCCGCCCGCCGAGGGCGAGCCGTGTGGTGGAGGCGGAGTGGGAATGTTTACAAAACTATTTGCATCCGGCGAGGAGGAGAAAGAGGGGGTAGAGAGCCGGAGGGCGGAAGGGAGAGCCTGAGACAGACGCGTCAGTGTGCCTCAGCAACGGTGGCCGGAACTGGGCGGTGGCACAGAGGTGTGCGAGCCTCTAGGGCTGCCTTTCCGGTGATGACCTGAGCTGTAGACGAAGGTGCTCGGCGCCCCACCCCCTGCCTTCCTCGCTGTTCTTTGACTTTGGTACCTTGGCTGGGCGGCCCCAGCACTGCGCCTGGACTCAGAAAACTGCGGGCGGCGTCTAACTGCCCACCTGAGAGGACTAGAGGAAGCCCGTGGGCACGGTGCACCCGCGATCGCTCATGCCATAAATGAGCGAAGAGAGGAGACGTGTCCCTGAGAAGTTAGCAGGCGTTTGCTTCTGGAAGGTTTAACTAGTACCTTCGGGCAAATGTAGCTGGTTGATAGCTCTAAAGGAAATAAATGGTGTAGGGCTAACGGGAGCAGGTGTGCTGACCGCTGTTGAGTACTCTCAGCCTGTACCCCCTTCCTACCACACGTTCGAGCCCTGTGTGCTCTCTGACCGCACCGACATTCAAACCTGCACACCTGCATTGCTCTGCAGAGTCCCACATCCCTGCCACTTTTAAAAGCGATCTCTTGTCTTCGCCAGAAGGTTTTAACTTCTCACCCTTTGGTCTGCCTCAAACAATAGCCTTCTGTATTAACGGCTTTTCTTTTCTTCCTCCCCACTAAGTTCTAAGTTCCTATATGAAGTAGTGGGTTTCGAATAAACTAGTATAGACCCTAACAAGAGGTGGTGAATCAACTCTTCTGGTGACTGGAACGATGACTCAGGATAAAGACACTCCCAAGAAGCTTGAGTCCCATCCCTGAACACCACAAAGGTGTCTTCTCGCCATACACACACACACACACACACACACGCACGAACTCACGCACGCACCAGTTTTACACCCAAAACCGAATAAATGTTTATTTTTAATGTGTTGGGTCTTTTTTTAAGCCATAGGCACGAAATTGACTGTCACCTGGTTATAGATGCAAGGAAACAATGGCTTTTTTCAGTTTTTCATTACCTACCTCAAATAGAAGCTAGAAACTGTAGTCAAGGTATTTCTCATCTAAAAGTGCTTCATTATTCCAACTCATTAAACATGTCCCTGGATGATCTTGGCAGAGTTAGCACAGTGGACTGTTGGTTAACGTGCAATGCTTTTCTTAGAAATGGACCCCCCCTGGATAGACACGGTAGCCTAAGGACCAACTGGGAGACGACTAGGATGCTGCCGCCCCAGAGTGCAGGCGTGGTTTAAGTGCCTTGCATCTCTTGTTTGCTGTCAATAAACCTGTTGATGCCACAAAGAAAATGGCGACAGTGCTAGTGAAGTGTTCCAACTATAGTAATACGTCCTGCCGTTTCTGCCTGCTACTGGCTCAGTCTCTGATCCTCTCCATGCGGCTGCTATCTCAGTAGGTGCTGGGCACCAGCTGAAAGGAAACTGTAAAGGCCCAAAATGTTCTCCAACCCAGCCTTGAACAAACTCACTAAACCACCAGGACAAAGAATGCTTTGTCACAATGTGCCAGCTGAGACACTGTCCCTCCTCTATGTAGAGCGCTGCCTTCGCTGCGCCTGTAAAAGTAAAGCCTAGAGGAGAAATTAAATGATGTGTGAAGAGGGCTTCTGAGTCTAACTTGAACATCTGAGCCCATGGAAAGGATTTTTTTTCTCCTAACCCAACAGCGCTGAACAAATTTAAGGAAGGAAGAGGAAGGGAGAAAGGAGGGAGGGTCTTTGTCTAAGGGTTTCTATTGCTGCAGTGAAACACCATGATAAAAAGCAAGTCGTGGGGAGGAAAGGATTTATTTGGCCTACATTCCACATCACGAAAGAAAGCCAGGAGAGGAACTCAAACAGGGCAGGATTCTGGAGACAGGAGCTGATATAGAGTCCATGGCGGGGGTGCTGCTTACTGGCTTGCTCCTCATGGCTTGCTCAGCCTGCTTTCTTATAGAACCCAGGACCAGCAGGCCAGGAGTGGCACCATCAACCATGGGATGGGCCTCTTCTAGCAATCATTAATTTTAAAAATGCCTTACAGCCAGATCTTTTTTTTTTTTTTTTCAGTTTTTCGAGATAGGGTTTCTCTGTGGCTTTGGAGGCTGTCCAGGAACTAGCTCTTGTAGACCAGGCTGGCCTTGAACTCACAGAGATCTGCCTGCCTCTGCCTCCCAAGTGCTGGGATTAAAGGCGTGCACCACCACTGCCTGGCTACAGCCAGATCTTACGGAGACTTTTCTCGATTAAGGTTCCCTCCTTTCAGGTAACATTTCAAGCTGACATAAGATTAGCCAACACAGTTTTATTTGTCCTCTCTTCATGAGAGCCTACTTCACTTAAACCTGGTGGCTCTGTGCTGTGACCCTACTATGCAGTCTGATAAACTGAAGGCCACAAGAGCTCCTGGTCACTGAGTCTAAAGAAAGGGATCCTGTGAGGTGGCTTAGTTGAAAATGGCACTTGCTGCCAAGCCTGATGACCTGAGTTCTACCCCAGAACTCACATGGTAGAAGGAGAAAACTGACTCCCCAAGCTTATCCTTTGTCCTCCACACACCTGTGCATGCAGACAGACAGATATAGAAGTAATGTTTCAAATGAACCATCATATAAATAGCTCTAAGATTTTTAACCTTCCTCATCTTTGTGATTGTTGTTACCCCTTATCCAAATTCCAATAAATACCAATAAAAGTATTATTGTATAAAGTGAAAAGATAGGTGCTAGTATACATGTTTGAAATTTTAGGGAGTTTTGTAGAAAATCGTACCTAGTGGGTACAAAAAGATGGTGGCAGACAGCAAAGGAAAAACATAAACTCAGCCTGAGGCCCGTGAGAAGTAAAACACTAAGACCAGAACTCAGGCTGAGGCAAAGTGTCAAGAGTCTATGATCATCCCTGACTGCAAAGAAAGTTCCAGGCTAGCCTGAGACCCTGTCTCAAAACACACACCAGGCTGCAGAAACAGCTCAGAGATTTGGAGTGCTTGCTGTCCTTCCAAAGGACCAGAGTTTAGTTCCCAGCACCCAAGTAAGGTGGCTCACAATGACTGTAACTCCAGCTCCAGGGGATGCAGTGCCTTCTCCTGGGTTTCACCCTAACACACACGCATGCATACACACACACACACATACACACACACACACACACACACACACACACACACCACCACCACCACCACCACCACCGCCACCACCACCACAGTCAGCTGCAGAAAGACCCCCGGCCTTTGGCTCCACTACTGCCCCAGCTTAATCTTGCAAGAACAGGGGGTAGACTGGGAACAACTGAGGAAGAGAAGACTGGCTTACACATGGTTCTGCCTGACAAGCAAACACCACCCCAACATAGACACCCAGCAAGAAAGACCCTTCCTGATGTGCACCTGAAGAACAGTGGAGAGAGAAATTCTCCCAGGGAGCAAAACTTTTCGTAGCCTGCAGTCGATGGTTTGGCTATATGGCCATGGTCACGGGAGAAACAGGATTGGGAAATTGGAGTCAAGGATGTATGGAGAAGAAACATGTGGGCAAACCTTGCTGATGAGTCACAAGCTGTGAAGATGTGCCCCATGGGGCAGTTCCTGGAGTCGCAGCCTAGGACAAGTTAATAAAGCAGGGTAGATGACTGTCTCTAAGGACAACAGGCAGCCTCTTTCCTATACATGTGTCATCGCCAGATGGGCTCACACACAAAATGACTGCCATGGGTTCAGGAACACAGACACTGCTCTTCATGGGTGACCTGGTTGCAGGGGCTTCTGTGGACCCACTAAACCTGTAAGATGGCACCAGTGCTTTCGTCATGGAAGTCATGGTGTTTTATTACTGAAGTCAACACTCCAGGTAAAGATTTGCCTTCCCTGCATACAACACTTCTGCCAAAACCTACCACCCACAAATTTACAACCACCATATTCACACACAGCAGCTCTTTGATCAGGGAACTCTCCTCACAACAACTGAAGGGCAGCAATGGGCCTGGATCATTGACCTCACTGATCCATGTTCCCACATGAAGCAACTGGCTTGACAGAATGGTGAAATCACTTTTGAAGACTGCTAGGCCAAGGCAAGGGGCCTTGAAGGCTGTGTGACCCTTTCTACCATAGCCAAGGCTCAAAGGTCCAGAGAAGGGGCTCCATTTGGGTGTGACTAGTCACTATTACCCCCAGTGACCCACAAGCAAAATTATTGCTTCCTTATGCTCTGTTGATCTAGAGATCTTAGTCCCAAAGGAAGGAAAAGTTATATGGAGACACACAACAATGACTCTATTGATTCAGGAGGTGACTGCCACCATGCTGCTCGGGGCTACTCATGCCTCCAAATCAGCAGGCAAAGGAGTTACGGGGTCAGGGAGAATAGAAGATCTTATTATGCAGAAATTGAATTACTATCTCACAAAACTAAGAAAGACGGCATCTGGAAGGAGGACATCTCTTTCATTTCCCATCCCCTATGATTAATTGCAACAGGAAATTACAACAATGCAATCCAGACAGAACCGCTAATAGGGCACAGCAGCAAGGAAGAAGGTTGGGGTTGCCTCACCAGATCACGGCCACACCCATCTGAGTTGTTTGCTGAAGGCAAAGGAAATATGATCTATGTAATAACAGGAGTAAATGCCAGCCACAAGCATGTGACCAGTCAGAGAACCGAGATACTCGGTAAGTTTTATTCCCTCATATCTCCTACAGGTAACATAAGGTATGTCTACATTAGTATAAAGCTTTGTTAACTTTACATTATAGCACTCAGGCTACATACTATCAAAGAAGGATTTGGCATCCTGTTCCAGAGCTAGAGTTCCAGCTGTGCATACCAAGTTAAGTGGCAGTATGACTTCGTTGTGGCTCTATTTGAAGATTATGATTTAGAGAGATTCATAAAGATTCAGTGTGGACAAGAGGTAGACTTGAAATGGTTAAATGTGTGTATCAACCTATCTGGACCATTTTATACAGTTGGTTAACCAAATATTCTAGACGACTCTGGAAGCATGCCTTGGACAAAATGGACATTTGATTCAGTGGACCTAGAGCAGACAGCTGGGGGTAGACTTCCTCCAGTCAGCTGAAGGTCCTACTAGAATACGATCTATCTCCCTAAGCTAGACCTTGGGAGCCGCTAGGCTTCAGATCTGAACGTCTGCTCTCCCCCAAGTCTCCAGCTCAACTCCATCCTTCAGGTTTGGAATTTGCCATAGCTGTATGCAACTGTATGTGCACAGGAGCTCTTTCTGCATATTTTACATATGCACACAGCACACTCGGAAAACCAATCACTTTATTGATTTTTCCCAAAATTGAATGCATCATTTTTTAACTTTACAAATGACAACAGAAACCTATGTAAACTGGAGGAAGAGGGTATTTGTTAGTTGACATTAAGTGTAAGAGGCAGGGACACAAACATCTTTGATTGCATCTATATAGAAACCAGTCAGTGCTGTAGAACTCTGTCACCTGTCACCTTGAGGACAGAGAAGAGTGACCTCAGTTCTGGAAACATACCTGCAGCTTCCAAGACTGAGGTTCCTCACTTCCTGCCTTCTAGGTGAGGGTTCTAGGCTAATGTGAGACAGGTGCTCCAGTCCTGTGAAGAAGGAGGGTTGGGAAATAATGATTGACAGCTCAATTTTCCAGAGGAAACAGGGAGATACTGCTAAAAGAATGAGGAAAATAAGAGCAAGAGGCTACAAAGGCTGCCTACTGCCTTAGGTAGACATGGCCTGACTGTGCCTCCTCATTCTAGAACAATGGATGCTCACTCCCAACTACAAGCAGAATTTACCTCCATTTTCTCCTGCAGGAGGCAGATGCTAGAAGAGTTTTCTAGCTTTGCTAAGAAGGAACTTAATACACAGAAAACCACAAAACTAACCTGTCGCTATAACGATAAACGGCACACTTGTTGAGGGGGTGGAATGAGCAACGTCCAAATTCCCAAATATTGTTTATAAATCTTTGTTTTCATTTGAATGGGGTTGTTTATAATTGGTTAATGATCACAACCAATCTCTTTTTAAAGGTAAAAGGGAATTATGGTATGGAAATGAATACTTTGTATTGGTATGGTTTTTCATTTATCGATACAAATTCAAGGTCAATTTTGTGATATACTTCTCCTCTTGTTTAAGCATTGTGTTTATACTGATCTTTTAAAATGTAATGCATAATTAAGTACAGATTATAGAGAGTTACAATAATCAGAATTTATAGTTTTTCTAGATATACAGAGATATATTTTAATAGTCTTCAAACATTTCAAGCCCTTCAGAAAATGGTATTTAAAATGGCCGGGCGTTGGTGGCGCATGCCTTTAATCCCAGCACTCGGGAGGCAGAGGCAGGCGGATCTCTGTGAGTTCGAGGCCAGCCTGGTCTACAAGAGCAAGTTCCAGGACAGCCTCCAAAGCTACAGAGAAACCCTGTCTCGAAAACCCAAAACAAAAAAAATTAAAAAAAAAATGGTTTAGGGTTTTCCTTGACAATGAGAAATGTCTGTTCCTGGCAGCACCAATTAAGTCTGAGAGGAAGATGAGCATCAAAGAAACTCGTTATGGAGTTTGATTTCAACATGGCAAGATTAGGCATTTGGGCAAGAAACTGCTCTTGCCTGGACTGTTTGACTGTTGCTGTATAAAATGGACATGCAGGACCCACAGGAAAGTGACTGCTGAACTTGGACAGTCCTTCAGGGTTCCTGCTTCATGGAAGAGTCTACAAGACTTTCTGTAGGACACAGAAAGATGAGTGACAAACTGCCAATGTAGGACAGTGTTGGGGACTGCTAAGAACCTTGAACAAAATGGAGTCTGTCAGCCATTTCTTGGCCTTCTGCCTACGTGACTGCGGGCACGCATGCCCTTGAGACAAAGGAAAAAGTTAACCACAAAAGTTAAATTTACTCAGGGCAGCCTACCCGCCTAGCCAGGGGGAAGTAACCCTTATAGAACAATTGCCTTTGTTGGCAAAGGGTTAATGTGTTCCTTTGGATGCATTTACCATAATGATAGGCAGAAGTAACCCTTATAGAGCAATTGTCTTTGTTAACAAAAGGTTAATGTGTTCCTTTGAATACATTTTACCCCTCCCTAATTCCTGCACCTGGCTTACACTGACAAGCATTTGTGGAATGCAACTGATGGAAAATTACAACTTCGTCTTTACCTTATTTGGTGTATTGTCGCGTCTGCTGCGAGGCCTGTGTCTGAGAACAAGTGGAGGGTGTCGGGGATTGACAACACAGAGACTCGTTCAACGATGTAAAGAAAACTTTAAGCAGGCTCCAAAAAGGTTTAAGGAAACTTCCTAAGAAAAGCTCCCACCAGAGAAGCTTCTGCTCTCTCCTCTACCCTGGCTGGTTCTGCTCTGACTCCAGAAAACTGATCTGGGCGTGGCAGAAGAGGTGGTTAGTCTTTGGACAAGGTCGAGGTCAGGGTGGTTTCTGCGGGCAGGCCTTTTCCAGGAACTTAATGCCCCCAGGCATTGTATTGTTTTTAGTAAACATGTTTTTAGTAAACATTGTCTTACAGCTGCCTACTCCCAGGCAGAAGGGGAAGTGGGTCTCTGCTCAAGGTCTGGTGTTCCCACAGTGTATATTTGAGTTGAGACTTGATTGGCATGCTTGTACCGTCCCCTGAGATTCTCTTCCTATAAAAACTATCTCACCCCAGTAATAAATGCTCTTGATCAGCAAAAGTTGTCTTGAGCCAGTTTCCTTTAACCTCTTGAAGTTTGCTTTTTAAGATCGGATCTGCTCGTGAAGACCCACCAAATTAGTAGCGACCCTCATCACTTCATCCCCGAGGGTCGGGGGTCCCCTCCGGGGGTTGCAGGACAGTTTAAAATTTCCTGCTTTGCTGAGAAGTCTTCCAGACATACTGTGGCCTATGGGCTGAAGATGGATGCCCCAACGTTACAGAGGAAATTCTGGTGACTGTCCAGGTAGGGAGACGTCTCTGCCAATTCTAGTGTTTATATACTATCCTTCTGTGGTCTTTGATGGAGTTGAAGACAGATAGTTATAATTATAGTTTTCCTTAGTTATGATAAAAGATAAGTTCATATAAGACTTTAGACTCACAGATAGGATAATAAAATATTTTCTTTAAATCTTACTAAATGTTAATGGACAAAATATTGTAACTATAGTTCTTGCTTGATAACTGTTCTGTTATATATAATTTGATTATGTTAAAGTCAAAACCTTTCTTTTTATTAAGACAGAAAAGAGGAGATGACGGGAGATGTCATTCTGTAAATTTGTCTCTCTTATTGGTTGTTGAATAAAGCACTGTTGGTTAATAGGGAAGCAAGAAAAGTGGGACTAGGAGTCAAGGAGGATTCTGGGAAAGAGAGGAAGAGTCAGACACGCTGTAAACTGCCAGAGTAAGAGGTCTGGACCCTTTTCTCCAGTAAGAGAAATACTTAGATTAACAATTATGGGTTAAGTACTTAAGTCAGAGCTAGTCAGTAAGAAACCAAGCAAGGCCAACAGCTTCATAATTAATATAGTGTCCTGTGTGTTATTTGGGGACTACAACTGTGGCAGGGCCCAGGTGACTGGCAAGGAAGACTACACTCTACAGCAGCTGGTCCTACATTTACTCTGCCATTTCTGTCCTGTTGCATGCATTAGAGACAGAATAAGGGGTGGGCTATCCAGGGAATTTCTGAGAGCTGAAAGAACACTAGAAATGTAAGGAGACGAGGATAAAATAACTTCTCTCTGGAACTTTAAAAGGTTGTTTGCAGACAGCTTGTGAGCCCATGAGATATCACAGGTAACTCTGGGTGGAGAAGTGGAACATAAAGTGAGGGTTTCCAACAACAGAGGTAGACTCCCACTGCAGAGTAGGAACCTCACATTTGCTGGTGAAACAGACCCACACGCATGCCCTACTGATCTTGTCTACTTTGAAGACAGGCAGGGATGATCCTTACCCAGCAGGCAGCACTAGTGCCTCCTCCCCCTGGGATGAGGGTCCAGAACCCCGAAAGCAGAAAAAGCAGACCAAAACAGTGGCTATGCATATGGCAATGGAACATGTCTACCTTGTACCTCCACCATCACACCTATTAAAACAGGGGTAACAGTTACCTACCTAATGGGATTTAGTAAGTTTCTAACTGTAAGGAGCTGTTGCATAGTGAACCATCAATGGGAATTTACTACTTTTGTGTAATTACTCCCATATGACCTTATATACAAGCCCTCTACCCAGTATTTCAAGTTAAATGGCTAGTGAAAAATCTGTGAGTGTGAGAATTCTGCAGAGCACTTTACCCCACACCATCAGCAAGGAATCTAAGAACCTATCTTGCTATTAACAAATAATTCTGGTTTCAAATACCTATTAAATTGTCCAACATTTATTGTTTTTCTATTCTGGGCTGGGGAATCAAACCTAGGGCTTTATATATATTAGACAAATATCCTATCAGTACAATATCCTCAGTATTTCATTCTTTCTCTCTCCCATCTTTCCTCTCTTGATTTTTTTTTTTTTGAGACATGATTTTACTAAGTAGCCAACTCTGGTCTTGAACTTGTGATCCTTTTGCCTTCACTGGTCTGAACCTGGTCTTTATAAAGCATTTTCAATAATATTTACATAGTAATAGCTTATACATTTCTGGGAAATTCTTGTTTCTATTTTTATTTTAGCTAAGCACGACTAATGAGTGTTTATTACCAATGTTTTGGTTTCTTTGAGACAGGGTTTCACATAATCCCCATGGACCTGAACACTGACCTTGCTGTCCACCCTGGAATGCTGGGATGACAGGCATGCATCATGCCAGGTACAACAACAAAAACTATTACCTGATTAAATTATACCTTATAAAGCAACCACTAACAGAACAACTGTTTCAACCTATTGATTTTATTTTCTAGATCCAATTAATTGAAAAATACATGTCAATTTGTCTAATTTGAAGGCAGACTTAGCAACCCACCACAAATCATAAACTAGTAAAACTGCTGACCAAGGGCTCAATGATCTGCCTCCACCTGTTAGAGTGAAGTTAATTCAGAATTCCTGGTGAGAGGCTCACAGGGGGAGCCAGGGCCTCAAGAGTTGAGCTGTCCATGGGCTGCTCTGGGCTGGCCTAGGCACTCAGTCGGCTCTCCCTCCCAGAGGCTGTACTCATGAGACTGCTCTCCTGCCCCCAGTGACTGTATTCAGTGCACTGCTCTCCCCACCCCCAGTGACTGTACTCAGGGCACTGCTCTTCCCCCCAGTGACTGTACTCAGGACACTGCTCTCCCCCAGTGACTGTACTCAGGACACTGCTCTCCCCCCATGACTGTACTCAGGACACTGCTCTCCCCCCCCCCAGTGACTGTACTCAGGACACTGCTGTCCCCCCCAGTGACTGTACACAGGACACTGCTTTCCCCCCAGTGACTGTACTCAGGACACAGCTCTCCCCCCAGTGACTGTACTCAGGACACTGCTCTTCCCCCCAGTGACTGTACTCAGGACACAGCTCTCCCCCCAGTGACTGTACTCAGGACACTGCTCTCCCCCCAGTGACTGTACTCAGGGCACTGCTCTCCCCAGTGACTGTACTCAGGACACTGCTCTCCCCCATGACTGTACTCAGGACACTGCTCTCCCCCCAGTGACTGTACTCAGGACACAGCTGTACCCCCAGTGACTGTACACAGGACACTGCTCTCCCCCAGTGACTGTACTCAGGACACAGCTCTCCCCCCAGTGACTGTACTCAGGCCACTGCTCTTCCCCCCAGTGATTGTACTCAGGCCACTGCTCTTCCCCCATGACTGTACTCAGGGCACTGCTCTCCCCCAGTGACTGTACTCAGGACACTGCTCTCCCCCAGTGACTGTACTCAGGACACTGCTCTTCCCCCCAGTGACTGTACTCAGGACACTGCTCTCCCCCAGTGACTGTACTCAGGACACTGCTCTCCCCCCAGTGACTATACTCAGGACACTGCTCTCCCCCAGTGACTGTACTCAGGACACTGCTCTCCCCCATGACTGTACTCAGGACACTGCTCTCCCCCAGTGACTGTACTCAGGACACTGCTCTCCCCCCCAGTGACTATACTCAGGACACTGCTCTCCCCCAGTGACTGTACTCAGGACACTGCTCTCCCCCATGACTGTACTCAGGACACAGCTCTCCCCCCCAGTGACTGTACTCAGGACACTGCTCTCCCCCCAGTGACTGTACTCAGGGCACTGCTCTCCCCCCCCAGTGACTGTACTCAGGGCACTGCTCTCCCCCTCCCAGTGACTGTACTCAGGGCACTGCTCTCCCCCAGTGACTGTACTCAGGACACTGCTCTCCCCCCCAGTGACTGTACTCAGGACACTGCTCTCCCCCCAGTGACTGTACTCAGGGGACTGCTCCCCCCCCAGTGACTGTACTCAGGGCACTGCTCTCCCCCCAGTGACTGTACTCAGGACACTGCTCTCCCCCCCAGTAACTGTACTCAGGACACTGCTCTCCCCCTCCCAGTGACTGTACTCAGGACACTGCTCTCCCCCCCAGTGACTGTACCCTGGACACTGCTCTCCCCCCAGTGACTGTACTCAGGGCACTGCTCTCCCCCAGTGACTGTACTCAGGGCACTGCTCTCCCCCAGTGACTGTACACAGGACACTGCTCTCCCCCCCCAGTGACTGTACTCAGGGCACTGCTCTCCCCCAGTGACTGTACTCAGGGCACTGCTGTCCCCCCAGTGACTGTACTCAGGGCACTGCTGTCCCCCCAGTGACTGTACTCAGGACACTGCTCTTTGTGTTTCTCATGGTATTATAGACTCCTGCACCTGGGCTACTTATCAGCTGCCATTTTAAACCAGAATTATGTAGGGCTTTTTTTTATTAAATAAACTAAAAACTGCAGTAAAAATAATTTTGTATAGCTCATAGAAAAAACTAAGTCATTTTAGTATATTTTAAAAGCATTCTGTTTATCTCTGTATATTAAAAAAGGCAAATGAGTTAAATAGGAAATGTATCTTAAGCTGTTTCACATAGCATGCAAAGGACGAACCATCAGAAATGAGGAGTTAAAAAAAAAATACCCTGGATAAAATCCACATGTGTGGACAATAACTCAGGATGTTATAAATAACTTGTGATGTGCAACAATTGCATTTATATTATTCTGGAGGAAGGAAACATTTTATTAACCAACTTCCATAGCAGAGATTAATAAGACTCTGTACAGTTAAATCCAAAGGTTGTGGTCAAAGAAAATGCAGATTGTTTAAGGTGAATTTGCTTCTTTTTCATCTGATTCGTCATCCATCACCTAAAGCCAGAAAACAAAGAATTCAAGAGTCAAAAAAATGGTAGAAACTGTAATTTTCCTTAATTTAATGTTCCTTGCCTGCCTGAAATACCTATGACAATGCACAGCACTCCAACAGGAATAAAGCCATCAACAGCCCAAAGCACAAGATTCAGTCAAAACCTGGGACCCTAAGATAATCAAAGTGTTAAATACATATAAAAGAATTAGGCCCTTTGCCTTGTCTCAAAATAGAGGCCTCTGGCAGCAGAGTCTTAGCTGGGCAGACTAAAAGTGACTGGCTCACATTCCTCTTGAAAACCGTAAGGTAACTTATTTTTATCTTTTCATAAAACTGTGTGTGTTTGTGTGATGGATGTGTGTGTGTGTGTGTGATGGATGTGTGTGTGTGTGATGGATGTGTGTGTGTGTTTGTGTGATGGAGGTGTGCGTGTGAGATGAGGTGTGTGTGATATGGATGTGTGTGTGTGATGGATGTGTGTGTGTTTGTGTGATGGAGGTGTGTGTGTGAGATGGAGGTGTGTGTGATGGAGGTGTGTGAGATGGAGGTGTGTGTGTGTGTGAGATGGAGGTGTGTGTGATGGATGTGTGTGTGTTTGTGTGATGGATGTGTGTGTGATGGATGTGTGTGTGTGTTTGTGTGATGGAGGTGTGTGTGTGAGATGAGGTGTGTGTGATATGGATGTGTGTGTGTGTGTGTGATGGATGTGTGTGTGTGTGATGGATGTGTGTGTGTGTTTGTGTGATGGAGGTGTGTGTGAGATGAGGTGTGTGTGATATGGATGTGTGTGTGTGATGGATGTGTGTGTGTGTGAGATGGAGGTGTGTGTGTGATGGAGGTGTGTGTGTGAGATGGAGGTGTGTGTGATGGAGGTGTGTGAGATGGAGGTGTGTAAGTGTGTGTGAGATGGAGGTGTGTGTGTGAGATGGAGGTGTGTAAGTGTGTGTGAGATGGAGGTGTGTGTGTGAGATGGAGGTTTGTGATATGGATGTGTGTGTGTATGATGGAGGTGTGTGTATGTGTGTGTGATGGAGGTGTGTGTGTGTGAGATGGAAGTGTGTGTGTGTGTGATGGAGGTGTGTGTGTGAGATGGAGGTGTGTAAGTGTGTGTGAGATGGAGGTGTGTGTGTGAGATGGAGGTGTGTAAGTGTGTGTGAGATGGAGGTGTGTGTGTGAGATGGAGGTTTGTGATATGGATGTGTGTGTGTATGATGGAGGTGTGTGTATGTGTGTGTGATGGAGGTGTGTGTGTGTGAGATGGAGGTGTGTGTGTGAGATGGAAGTGTGTGTGTGAGATGGAGGTGTGTGTGTGTGAGATGGAGGTGTGTGTGATATGGATGTGTGTGTGTGTATGTGTGTGTGTATGATGGAGGTGTGTGTATGTGTGTGTGTGTGTGAGATGGAGGTGTGTGTGTATGATGGAGGTGTGTGTATGTGTGTGTGATGGAGGTGTGTGTGTGTGAGATGGAGGTGTGTGTGTGAGATGGAGGTGTGTGTGTGTGTGAGATGGAGGTGTGTGTGTGTGAGATGGAGGTGTGTGTGTGTATGATGGAGGTGTGTGTATGTGTGTATGATGGAGGTGTGTGTATGTGTGTGTGATGGAGGTGTGTGTGTGTGAGATGGAGGTGTGTGTGTGTGAGATGGAGGTGTGTGTGTGAGATGGAGGTGTGTGTGTGTGATGGAGGTGTGTGTGTGTGAGATGGAGGTGTGTGTGTGAGATGGAGGTGTGTGTGTGTGAGATGGAGGTGTGTGTATGTGTGTGTGTGTGTGAGATGGAGGTGTGTGTGATGGAGGTGTTTGTGTGTGTGTGTGTGTGTGTGTTTGTGTGTGTATGATGGGGTGCTGTGCATGCCTCGTGCTTGTGGAAGTCAGAGGATGACTTTCTGGAGTCAGATCTTTCCTGACATCTTTAGTGGGTTCAAAGATGGAACCTGGGTTGCCAGGCTTGCATAATGGTACTTTCACCTGTTTAGCTATCTTGCCTTGTTCTTAAAAGCATCTTATTTATTTAAGCATGTTCTCTGAAGTTTAACTAAATTATTCTTGCAAACATACTTAATAAAAAAAATGAATCCTGTCAGGTGTGATAGTGCATGCCTACAATAACAGAATCTAGAGTTCAAGGCCAGCTTCAGTTACACAGCAAGTTCTAGACCAGACTAGACAACTTGACACCTTGCCTTGGAAAACCAACAGGCCCAACAGAAAGATGACTCCAGGATAGAGATTTTTGCTGCTGGGTCTGAGACCTGAGCTGGATCCCCATGATCAACATGGTGAAGAAGAGAACGAACTTCTGCAGGTTGGTGTAATTTCAAGGCTCCTTTTGTGCACTGTGGTATGTATACATACACACATGAACATGATAAATAAGAATAAATATAATTAAAAATTTTAAACAGGGCAAGGGAATACATGCCTTTATTTCTAGCACCTGGGAGACAGAGGTAGACAAATCGCTGAGTTCCAGGCTAATGTACACCACCACCACTTGGAGAAAGAATATTTTTTAAAAAAGGAATTCCAAGGAAACAAACAAAAAACCCACTTAAAACAGAAAAAAATTGCTGGGCGGTGGTGGCGCACGCCTTTAATCCCAGCACTCGGGAGGCAAAGACAGGCGGATCGCTGTGAGTTCGAGGCTGGGCTGGACCGACAGCCTCCAAAACAATACAGAGAAACCCTGTCTTGTAAAAACCAAAAAAAAAAAAAAAAAAAAAAAAGAAAAAAGAAAAAGAAAAAAAAAGAAAAAAATTACTACAAACTATTTTGATTTTATTCAAATAAAAATTATTTTAAATCTAAGGAAGTATGAAGACTTTCAGGGAAGAAAAATGGTAACAAATAATACTTAAAGGAAAAAAAGGAAAGACTAGTCTTTTGGGAATTGACGAATTATTGGATAATAAAGGCCAACACCTCTGAAAAGGAAGAGTTATAGAAAGCTATGAATGTTTCTTTCCTTACCACACCTACTACAATTATGTGGCAATTAAAGTTTCTAACAGTCAATTCTGTACCCACCCAGGATATGTGAATACAAAGCTTCCTCTTGGTTAATCTACTAGCCCACAACTAATGCTATTTTTTTCAAAAGGCATCAGGGACAAGGCGTGTGTTCTGGATAGCTTCTTAAGTGGCGCACGCCTTTAATCCCAGCACTTGGGAGGCAGAGGCAAGCGGATCCCTGTGAGTTCAAGACCAGCCTGGTCTACAAGAGCTAGTTCCAGGACAGACTCCAAAGCCACAGAGAAACCCTGTCAAAAAGCCAAAACAAACAAAAAAACAAAACAAAACAAAAAAAGGAGAGAGAGAGAGAGAGAGAGAGAGAGAGAGAAAGAGAGAGAGATACTTAACAGAGAAATTCTCCCCTCCTACTTTCTCTTTGAGGTTAACTAAAAATGGATATTTTACTTTAAAAGAATAAATGTTTGATCCAATTTCAGCAATATCCAAAGCAAAGCATTCAGTAAATCAAGTTCAATTTAGGCAGAATCATTCTTAAATTTGGAGTAAGTGTCCCAAGAACTTGTTCACTGTCAATGTGCAAATGACACTGGTGACCCAGCCTAGCTGTTCACTGTCAATGTGTAAATGACACTGCTGACCCAGCAGAGCTGCTGCAGAGAAACAGAAGGTACAGACGAGGTTTCTAATCTTTCAGGCGGCCCATGCATACATACAATGTTGACACACACAGAAAGTTTTGCACTAGCAGAGAACTAATGAGAACTTGCACTGGACCAAAAGGCCAGCCTTTAATACTTCTCAGAGATAAGTTAGTCTCTAAGCAACTGGAAGACGACACCTTCTAAAGTCACAGAACCAGAGTTTCAAATTTCTAACCTCCATAACTGTCTTCTCCGTGACAGTCTTTCTGAAAGGCCTTGCTTCTGAGCTAGCATCACTGCAGTCAGTCACTGTGACAATCTTGCACATTTAGAGAAAAAAGATTCCAACATGCTACAGCCGAAGCCCAACTGAGTACTACTTCACTGTACGACAGTATGTTTCCTTGATGGCGCATGCCTATAATTCTAGCTCTCAGGAAGAGAATGAGTTTCAGGCCAACCAACCTGAACTACATAGCAAACTCCAGGCCAGTCTAGATTTTAGAGAGAAATGTGTCTCACTAAACAAAAACTGGGATTAGCAAGACTGCTTAGGGGTAAAGACACTTGCTGATGACCTGAATTCTATCTCTGTAATCCACACAAAGTGGAAAGAGAGAACCAATTCCACAAGCTATCCTCTGATCTGCGCATGCACACCAGTGTGCACAGCCACATACGTAAGCATGCATGTGCACACACATACATAATACAATTTTTAGATAAAGGTTAGGTATGGTGGCACATAATCTGCAATCCCAGCACTTGGGAGGCAGGAGTTCAAGGTCATCCTCAGCTACATAGGAAGTCCAAAGTCACTTCGTGTAGCACAAGACCTATCTTAAAAAAAAATAGGGTGTTGGGGGGGTGGAGTAAGGGACGAATAAGAGGTTGATAAATTATGTGAGTTCCTCTACTCTTACTTTCTTCTATATAAAACTGCACGGTGTTTTGAATCCCTTCATAACATCTGCAATCAGAACAGAACCACCTATGGGGCTTTCCCAAGGAAAGACAGGTAGATTACAGGCTTGGTCCCCCCTTTACTATTAAAACCAAACTGCCACAATGTTGCCTACCTGCTCTACACCTTCCACTTCTGGAATATAAAACTGCAACATGTTCTGAATCCCGCTTTTCAGGGTGATGATGGAGCTGGGGCAGCTGGTGCAGGAGCCCTGGAGTTTCAGCCGCACGATGCCATCTTCAAAGCCTCTGTAGATCACGTCACCCCCATCCTCCTGCACAGTAGGCCTGTGGCCACAGAACATTCAGAACACATTTAAAACAACAGATGCATGCCTTCAATGAAAAAGATTACGACAGTTCATTGTTTTGTGTGTGCATGCGTGTGGTTCATGGATCAGGGTTCATGAATATGTGTAATACAGAGGTCAGAAGCCAACTTTGAGTGCTGTTCCTTAGGCTCTGTCCACCTTCGTTTTTGGGGAAGGGTCTCTTGCTGAACAGGACTCCATTTGTTTGGCTAAATTATTTCTGCCCCAAGCACTGGATTACAAACACATAGCCCATGCTCAACTTTCTTAATGTGGGTCTTGGGGACTGAACTCAGGTCATCATGTTTACATGACAAATACTTTACCATCTTGGCCATCTCCCCAGGCCCATAACTTTGATTAAATTTGTATTAAACTCTGTGCATGTGCATGGTGTATGTGTGGTCAGGTGAAGCCATCCAGAGTCACCTCCTTCTCCACATAGGCTCTGGGAATGGAATTCAGGGCAGGAGGCTTGACAGCAAATGACTTTCCCTGCTGGGCATCCTCACTGGCCCTGAATTCTAATTTTAAACCCCTCTGTAGGGTTTCTTTTCCTCTCTGTAGGACTTGTTCTTGTTGAGTATGATAAGAGTCTGTCCATCTCATGGCTACATTAATATGTCAGCATTGATTACCCATCCTGTTGCAGATAAGTGTTTGACTTGTACGAATAATGTGGCTCTAGAGATCCACCTGTGTGTCTTTTGGTGTGGATAGGTATTATGACTGGGTATATACATGAGGGTAAAACTCCTGGAGCAGGATTCTGAATGTAAACCAGGGGTGGAGGCTCATGTCTGTAATCCTAGAACTGGAAGGCTGAAGCAGGAGGACTGGGCTACAAACTCATTCTAATCTAGTCTGAATTACAGAGTGAGAACCTGTCTCAACAAAAGTGCAATGATTTAAACAGTGCCAAATGTTTTCCTAGAATTACCCACCCTTACACGCCCCCAGAACAGGCAAGCACTACACCGCTTCCTGCTCTCTCCAGCCACTGGGATCACCAGAATGGCCGAGTCTGTCTGCTGGCTTTGAGTGACCGTTTATGGAGTTTAACTTGAATACACATAATGAGTAAGAAGGGTGTGCACACTTCACTCTTCCACATTCAGTGGCTGTCTGGTTACTGTCTTCTGCATGTTCTTGTTCCAGCCTCTACTTTTTCTTTGTCAATTTGTAGTTCTTATACACTCTGCCATACATACACTACAAAGTCTTCTAAAACCTTGAACAAAGATACTTATGTGTAAATCGATGTGCCTGAGTATTATGTATGTGCTCCACATAGAAGCAGGAGCCTTTGGAGGACAGAAGAGGGCATCAGATCTCCCGGGATTAGTACTACAGGTGGTTGTAAGCCACCACATGGATGCTGGGAACTGAACCTGGTTCATTAGGAGAGCAGTAAGTGCTCTTCACCACTGGGCCATCTCTCCAGCCCTCTTAATTTTGTTTTACGTTTGTTTTGTATGTGTGTGTGCTTGCACACATGTTGGCTCTCTCCTTCTACCATGTGGGATCTGGGATACAACCTCGGTTGCCACACTTAGCAGCAGCTACTTTACCCACTAAGCCATCTTGTCAGCACTATACACGATAAGATCTTCTATTTTGGCCCGGAAATGGTGGCACACACCTTTAATCCTAGCACTCAAAAGGCAGAGGCAGGCAGATCTCTGTGAGTTTGAGGTCAGCCTGATCTAAAGATCAAGTTTCAGGACAGGATTCAAAGCTACACAGAGACACCCTGTCTCAAACGAAACAAATAAAAAAAACCCTTCTACTTTGCCTTTTCATGAGAAAGACAGAATTTTACTATTGTCTAATTTGTCTTTTCCTTGATTTTTCCGATTTTCTTGTATCTTCATGAATAAAAATCAAACCTGCCTAGCAAAGGTCATACAGATATTAACTTAATATAGTGTATTTATTATTGTATTTTTTGTTTGGGGATATACATATGCTGCTGTGTGCATATAAAGACCATAGGTCAACTTTCAGGAGTTAGGGTTCTCCTTCTATCATGTGGGTCTCACATATGAAACTCAGGTCACCTGGCTTGGCAACAAGTAACTTAACCCAGTGAACCATCCCACTGACCCCATATTATCCCATTTTATGTCCACCGTGATTTCTCTGTTGACCTAGAATGATGCTGATATTGATACCCCACCCTGGACGTTGGTATTCTCAGTACTCTACCACTGAACTACATTCCCAGCCTAACCATAAGCCAGTCTGAAGAGCACTCAGTCCCACTGTGGTCAGGAAACGGTATTCCCAGGCTGGGGATGTAGCTAAGTAGGACAGCTAGGACCAAATAACAAAACCTGACACTCTCAGTGAATTTGACTCTGAAACTAGGTAAGGGCTGCCTTGTGAACACCATGTAGGCTGCTTTAGTGCTTGCTAAAGGTACCCATGAAAATATTTCATTCTTGCTGAGTGCATTACATATATGCCAACAGCTAGTCAATTGTTAACCACATGTTCCCTTAGACTGGGAATGGTAGTTTATGCCTTTAGTTCCAGCAATCAGAAGGCAGAGGCAAATGGGACTCTGTGAGCTAGAGATCTTTTTCTGGTGCATATATAGCAAGTTTCAGGCCAGCCAGGGATACATAGTGAGACTTCGTCTAGAAAATAAATAAATAAAAATAGTAAGTTGTAAAACTCTCTTGCCCAATTACTTTTTTACTTTGTTAGATAGAGGTGTTAATTACCTCACTTAACTGTGGATTATTTGTCTCTTTTTATCTCTGTCAGATATTCATTTATTTTGAATCTGTGTTGTGTTATTATATGGTTAGCAAATATTCTCATCATTGTGTGGTGGCATCTACAGCGTTGGGCACACTGTATTCGGGTGTCTGTGTAACTTCCATAGCTCTCCTGTTCTCACTGCCTGAGTGCTCTGCATTTCTCCAGCTTCTTTTTTGTTGTTGTTGGTTTTTGGTTTTTGGTTTGTTTTTCAAGGCAGGGTTTCTCTGTGGCTTTGGAGGCTGTCCTGGAACTAGCGCTTGTAGACCAACCTGGTCTCGAACTCACAGAGATGCACCTGCTCTTCTTCCCAAGTGTGCGCCACCACTGCCTGGCTTCTAGCTTCTTTTATACTTAAGCAGTACAACCCTTGTAAGGAACATGTAGTTGGTTTTCTCACATTTTGACAACTCCATCCTCTGTTAGCCATTCTATGTACCTTTAAATGTATCTGCCAAATCCTCAGACATATCCTGTCATTTGTTTCCAATCTGCATTCTTTTGCACTAACCAAGTACTTTTTTGTCTGTTACTTTTCTACACAGCTGTCTGTTATGTTTCACTGCTTGTGGTCACCTCCAACATACCTACTACATATTTTTCATTCTACTATGAATGATTACTTTTACCATGTCTCAAATAATGCCAAGACCCAGAACACTTCTGTACACACTCACCTTCAATTTAGGTCATTTATCTTGCTTGTATGCAATTAACTCTTGGACACTATACTATATTTGCTTTTCTGCATGCACAATGCCTTGTGCTTTTTTTTTCTTTCCCTAAATTCCTCCTTTCTGTGTGCTTCAACCTGGGTCCTTACTGCTGTTCTATATTCTAACACGAGTCCACTCTTCAGCTATGTCACATTTCACATGAAAGTAATCTACCGGGTTTTCATTTCACTGTATTTTTAGTTCTATCAATAGTCTTCTTTCTTACACACCTCACTTCCCACTTAGTTTCTTTTGTTTGTTTTTTGAGACAAGGCTTCTCTGTGGCTTTAGCTCTTGTAGATCAGGCTGGTCTTGAACTCAGAGATCTGGCTGCCTCTGCCTCCTGAGTGCTGGGATTAAATGTGTGTGCCACCACAGCCCGGCCCCACTTAGTTTCTTTAACAGTTTAATCACCTATCTTAACAGTAGTTGCAACTTTACATCTTCAGTATTAAGGATCTTCTTCAGTTTCTCTTTGTTCAGTTTCAAGGTAAGACCAGTAGGTTTTCTGGTTTTTGTTTTTTTGTTTTGTTTTGCTTTGCTTGTTTGTTTGTCTTTTGAGACAGGGTTTTCTGTGTAGCTCTGACTGTGCTGGAACTTGCTCTGTAGACCAGGCTGGCCTTGAACTCAGAGATCCACCTGAGTCTGCCTTCCTAATCCTGGGATTAAAGACATGTGCTACTACATCGTGCCGCTTAGCCAGCCTCTTATTAAATATCTAAATTTTTTCTTAAAATGCCTAAAGAAGGAAACACTTTCTTAAAAGTCCAGACTTAGTGGCCTGCTATGAGAAAAGTAGAGACAGGCTGTACACTAGTCTTGTCTTTATCTTTGGGTTTCTTTCTTTTCTTTTCTTTTTTTGTTTAAGACAAAGTCTCACTGTGTGTACCAAGCTGACCTAAAACTTCCCTAGGGACTACAGTGAGGGTCACCATGCCTGGCTTGTCTTTATTCTTTTTTGGGCAGTTGCTAATATGTGTGCTATTCTCTTACAGTGTTCACAGATATGAAGTCCACTTTCTTTCCACACACTGACTATGAGGGAAAATTCCTTTACCCATGTCCATACAGAGTATACAGACTATATTGTTGTTGTTTTCTTTTAAAATTTATTTATTATGCATAGAGTGTTCTGCCAGCATGTATGCCTGCACACAAGAAGAGGACACCAGATCTCATTATAGATAGTTGTGAGTCACCAGGTGGTTGCTCTTAACTCCTGAGCCATCTCTCCAGTCCTCCAGACTATAGTTTTAACAATGTGACTGAATAGCCAGGCACAGGCTTTAAGTGCAACTGCAGTAATGGCCTGTGTTGGTTTGCACTGACTATTGACCTGTCGCCCTGCTCCAATCTCCTGTGAAAGCGTGCTCCTTTAATGAGGGCAGAGGGGATGGAGGGTTAACACATACCGTATTCTAGTATCCAACAGTTCTTTAATCATTGCCACCACTTCATCATCTTCTTCAGAACCTAGACAAAATTATAGATAAGACTCAAGAGCAACCATTCTGTAGTTACACAAGCATTAAAACAGGAGGGTTTTCACATAAAAGCACAGCCAGGCATAGTCACACTCAAGCACATACAGAAGATGAGATAAATTCAAGGCCAGCCTGGTCTACACAGTGAGCTCCAGGCTGGCTAGATTGGGTAAGACCTTATCTCAAAATCCAAAACATAACAAAAGAAAAAAAAATAGAACACATAACTTGGTAAAGTGACTCAAAATCCAAAACACAACAAAAGAAAAAAAACAAACAAAATCATAGAACACATTACTTGGTAAAGTGACACAGCTCATGTGATTCACAAAAGAAAAACCAAGGAAAAATGGTCACCCAGTATTCAGTAATGCAGGGGAGTACATCCTACACCAAAGCCTGATGGTGCTGGGGCTGAAATAAAGGAGGGGCCTGTGAGGAGCAAACTAACACTCTCAGGGACCAAAGAGTAGACAGAAATTCTCCACCTGATATCACTGTAAGTGTGAGATAGAATGGCCCAGCTACTTATGAAGTATCTTTCTCATCTTCAGCTTCTCCAGTTAGTGACTTTTCAAGATAACTATACCAAACACAGATGTAGGCCTTCTGCAAAGTTCTGAATTCTTTACAAAGCTGAGCCAAGAATCTGTTTCATTTTGGCTTTGCTTTATCATATGCGTGCATGTCTGGGTACATGTGTACATGTACACATATGTACATGTCTGAATGTGTGCATGCATGTGTAGGTCTGCGTGTGTATGCATGTGCATGTGTGTGAGTGCATATGTGTGTAATGCTGGGAGGAATCCATGATGGCCTTGCACATGGAGCACATACTCTACCACTGAGCTATTCCCTTGGCCATTACTTGAATTTTGTAAAGCTATATGTAAGTTTTAATGATGCCTGCATTAAAAATGTAAATTTTTTCAAGAAATATATTTATCTGTGAGAAAATACAGGGAATCCACGCTGTACTGCAATAAATATTAGAATCCTGGCAACCCCACAAGTAATTTATATTAAACTGTACTAACCTTGAGTTCAAATCTCTTAGAGCAGCAATCCTAAGCTGCCTCCCTTCTGCATTACTCCCAAGTGCAGGGATTCCTCTGAGCACGTCTACATTTCCACGTGTGCATTTACACGGGTGTGGTCAGACTGCACCTGATCCACACGTCACTCCTGGAGCCCTTCACAATCTCGATCAGCACACGAAAATAGGCTCATTATAAAGTGATTCTGGTAGAGCTTTGCCTCACTGACTTTTTGACCATTTCATTCTCTAACCCTGAGTAATGCCTTTGCTTCTAGGAACATATGTTAGCACACTTAAGACACACTTATGGGATAAATTCCTTTGATGGGGTATCTGAGCCAGTGAGCCTGTGGTTTCTTTCTTTCTGAGGCACTGGGGACTGAACACAGGGTTTTGTGTTTGCTATGCAAAGGCTTTACCTCTGAGCTAAACCCCAAGTCAAATTTTGCATATTTTTATTTTTGGTAGGCATAGTTAAATTGTTCTTTGTTTCATTTTAGTTTTTTTGAGATACTGTAGCAGTACTTGCTGTCCCAGAACTCACTTTGTAGACCAGGCTGGCCTCGAACTCTGCCTGCTTCTGCCTCCCAAATGCTGGTATTAAATACGACTTTTGATTTTCACTTTGGGGAGAGAGAGAGAGAGAGAGAGAGAGAGAGAGAGAGAGAGAGAGAGAGAGAGAGAGAGAGAGAGAGAGAGTGTGTGTGTGTGTGTGCGCGCGTACACGAAACACTGAGGAACAACTGCGTTTGTGCACAGGCTAAGGATGTACTCCACCACTGAGCTACCTCTGGCCTCTAGTCATGATTAGGGAGAATTAGTAATAACTATTTCACAGCCCAGAAAACACACACACACACACACACACACACACACACACACACACACACACACACACACAGAGCATTTCTACAGGTACATGTGAGCCAAGTAGGCTAAGATGGATGGCTAGATAGCCCCAGGGATCCGCCTGTTTCCACCTCCCCAGTGCTGAGCTTATGTACATAAGCTACATGCCCAACTTTATGATGTACGATCTGGGGACTGAACTCAGTCAGATTCTTGACTAAGCTATCTCCCCAATCCACCTAGACTATTTAAAAAAAAAACCTACTTAAATCAATATTTTAAAAAGGCATATGACTCACTTTTTAAAAATTAGCAAAGACAAGGTTTTGGTGGTGCACGCCTTTCATCCCAGCACTCAAGAGGCAGTGGCAGGAGGATATCTGTGAATTCTAGGCCAGCTTGGTCTACAGAGCGAGTTCCAGGACAGCCTACAAAGCAATATAGAGAAACCCTGCCTCGAAAAAAACCAAAACTAAACAAAACAAAAATTAGCAAAGAAAACGAATAAGTAATTTACTGACATGGAAACTTTATAAAATGATACAAGACACAAAAAAACAACACAAGAATGAAACTAAAACAAGATGTTGCCAGTCTGGTGACACAGATCTGTGATTTCAGCTTCCAAGGAGGCAAAGGCAGGATGACAGTAAGTTAGACCTGCCTGGACTATAGTTAACTATAAAGTTGTTGGCCTGGGCAGCCTAAAGACACAGCCCCAAAAGTAAAAGGACTCAATGGTAGAGCAAATGAGTTCAATCCCTGAACTGCAAAACCAAACAAACAAACAAACAATAAATAAAATACCATTTTAGACCTAACATACTGTATGGTGGTTTGAAAGAAAATGGCCCCCAGAGACTCACAGAGTAGCACAATTAGGAGGGGTGGCCTTGTTGGATGAAGTGTGTCACTGGGGGGTGGGTTTTGAGGTTTCAAATGCCAAAGGCACATCTGGTATCTCTCTTCCTGCTGCCTGCTGATCCAGATGTAGAACTCTAAGTTACCTCTCCTGTACCATGTTTGCCTGAATGCCACCATGCTCTGAACTGTGCGTCAGCCCCAATTAAATACTTCCTTTTATAAGAGTTGCTGTGATCATGGTGTCTCTTCACAGCAAGAGAAACCCTGACTAAGACATACCGGTTTAAATAAATGTAGCTGGCTGGAGGACCACACTCATTTAAACCTAGCACTTAATGGGCTGAGACAAGAGGATTCAAAATTCAAGGCCAGTCTGCCTTATACAGCAAGTTTGAGACAAACCTGGAATACAAACTGAGACCCTGGTTCAAAAAACAAAGCAAAATGCAGGCAGTGATGGAATATGACTTTAATCCCAGCACTCAGGAGGCAGAGGCAGGCCGATCTCTGTGAGTTCAAGGCCATCCTGGTCTACACAGTGAGTTCCAGGACAGCGAGGGCTACACAGAGAGACCCTGTCTTGGGGGTGGAGGGTGGGGTAGGGGAGCAAAAGGACTGGGAAGTTGGTTTGGCAGTGGAACGCAGGTCAAGCTTTCTTAGAGTCTCTCAGCTCCGAAGGAGAAAAGAAAGAAGACATGAAGTGAGACCACAAGTATAAGAAAACAGAAACTCTTAACACTGCTAATGAGCACAGTAATATGCTGTTTCCCCACAGGAAAACTCGACGCCCTGCACCCTCCCCACCACACACACACAGAAGCCGTGTGTCCACAGCAGCCGTGTTTGTAACACACATCAGCACAAAAGTCGACATAGTAAAGAACAGCACACAGAAGCCTGCACCAGATGTTCACAGCAGCATTTGTTAACACATCAGCACCGGCAGTGACACAGTAAAGGGACAAATTAACTGTACTTTATTCATTCCAAAATGGACTAACACCAGGCTTAAAATGAATAACTCAGATCTTCAAATAAGATTATACTCAGTGAAAAGGCAAGCTGTGGGCTGGAGAGATGGCTCAGCGGTTAAGAGCACTGACTGTTCTTCCAGAGGTCCTGAGTTCAATTCCCAGCAACCACACAACCACCTTGAATGAGATCTGGTGCCCTCTGCTGGCATGCAGGCAGAAGATTGTATACATAATAAATAAATAAAATTTTAAAAAAAGAAAAAGAAAAAAGAAAAGGCAAGCTGTGATAGAACACAAGTTACTTGAAGTTTAAGAATAAAAACCAGAAACTGGGTATGGAGGTTCATACCCATAATCTCAGCATGGAGAAGGAGGCAGGATTGTAAATTTCAGGCCAACCTGGACTACAGGGCAAGATTCTGTCTCAGAACCACTAAAACAAGAAAAAGAATGGAAACCTGTTGTGGAAATTCCTTTACACTATGTGAAGATAGGTCCCTTTTAATAAAAAGCTAAATGGCCAATAGCTAGGCAATATTTTGGGGGCAGAGAGAATGCTGGGAAGAAGAAGGTGGAGCATGGACAGAGTAAAGGTAATAAAGCCATGAAACAGAAAATAAATTAATAGAAATGAGTAGTTTAAGTTATAAGAGCTAGTTAGAAATAAGTCTAAGCTATCAGCCAAGCTTTCATAATTAATAATAAGTTTCCAAGTTGTGGCTTCCTAATCCTTCAGTTCATACAGGCTGTAGTACAGAGAAAACCCAGGCTTGAGAAACCAAAAACAATTTGAGAAAAAGTATAACAGTATATACAAAGCTTTGTTCCATCTAGCATTGGTTCCAGATGTGCCCACTGGTGAAACAGTGGTAAGCCTGCTTTGGGAAACCAACTGCTCTGCTGGGAACCGAGGCCAACTCTACAGGAGGAAGTCAGACCTGCTGCTGTAACCTGGTCAAAAATCTGTAACCAGGGCCAGAGGCTCCTGCAGGGAATCCTGCTTCTGCCCACAGGTTAGTACTGCTATCTTTGTCAAAGAAGCTTCTTCACACAGTAGGTAGAAGCTACTGCAGACTCATAACTTGTCAGTGCCGAGACTAAGTGACTGTTGAATGCTCAGTCCTAAACGGGATGTCTTTACCAGCAGGATTCAGCGAGCATCATGGAGACCTGTAGAATGCCATCTGGCTGTTCTTCCAGATGACCTAAGTTCCCAGCACCCACGTGGTGGCTCACAACTGTCTGTAACTCTAGGTCTGGGGGATCTGATGTCCTCTCCTGGCCTCCTCTGGCACCAGGCACACACATGGTAGTACACAGGCAAAACACATACATGTCAAATAAAAAATAATTTTTATCTCATATCATGGAAGGAAGTAGGTCCCATGAGGCTCCACCCTCCCTGAGGACCTCCACAGAGTTAATGGTTGCTGGGGAAGAAGGATATCATCTGCAGTGTGTAAGCACTGGGAAGGTGTCCATGCTCCAGCAGTAATATCACCTGTGCTCCTGGAAGCAACCCTGCCAGGCCGCAATGACTCACTCACTCACACAAGGGCATGAGAGCAGAAGTGGAGCTAGGCGGAAGAGGAAGAGGATCGTTGAGAGAGAGGGAGACAAGGAAAGAGTAATGGAGGGTGACTGTGATCAAAACACAGTACACACATGTAGAAAATGCCACCCACAATCATGTATAATTAGTATATTCCAATAAAAACATTTAAAATCTGTATTCTGGCCACTTCTGAAATCAAGGCAAATGTGAATGAAGTAGGAAATCCAATAAAAAATAGGTAAGCAGTGATTACCCAACATAACACTACCTGCTTCTCCTGGAGGTGTTTCCTCAGTCACTAGAGGTAAGCCAGACGCAAAGAAGTCCATAATTGTTGCATAAATATCTGGTTTCAGCAAATTCCAGTCTAATTCTTCATTCTCCTACAATCATGTTGAAGAAACATGTTGCATTTCCAGTCAAGTGCAAAACAAATCCAGACTACCATCTCAGATCTTTCAAGAATCTTTTCTTTTTTCTAGTGAGACAGAGTCTCATCATGGATCTCTGACTGTAGACCAGACTGACATTGGAGTCACAGAGATCCCCCTGCCTCTGCCTCTTGAGCATGTGCGACCATGGCCCAGCTCACAGCATTGCTGTAGGACAGTGAACTATGCAAATAACACACATGTATCTGAACTTGGTCTTGTGTGCATATTTGTCAAAAGAACGAGCAAGTACATCCCCTTCAGAGAGGACATGTACTTGTGTACTATGGCATCTGACAGATGCGTACGTAATTTGTTCATAACATGGACTTGATCCCCTTTTTACTCCATCAACTCACACAAAGAATTAGTAAAAACAGGACTTAGGGGCAGGCAGGTCAGATTGCACAGTGGGTAAAGCACTTGTCACCAAGCCTGGCAGCCTGTGTTCAGTCCCTGGGAGCCACGTGGTGGAAGGAGAGAACTGGCTCCTGTGAGCTCTCCTCTCGTCTCCATGTACATGACTGAACACAAACACACACATAAAGTAAGACACATAATTCAAAATTTAATTCCCTTAAATTTTATAAAAAATAAAACGAATTTTATTCTAGTGGCCTGGAAGCTGAAATCCTAGTCCTACCAAGGTCTCATCATACTGGGGGCTAAGGTCTCACCCTGCTGGGGGCTAAAGTCTCTCCTGATGGTGGCTAGCCCTATGACACTGGGCACTGCACTGAGTCCGCTGAGGTTCAAGTGTTTTATCTGAGTAGACAAGGCTACTGCATTATAGTTATACCTGAGTCATAATTAACTGCAGCTAGGAAATGCCCTTCATTAACTTGACAAATCTAAGATGCAAGCATCACCTGAGCTTTTTAAATGTATTTACTTATTTTATTTTATGTGCATGAATGTTTTGCCTGTATGTGTGTCTATGTACCAAGTGTGTGGCCGGTGCCCACTGAGGTTGGAAGAGAGTACTAGGTCCCTGGAACTGGAGTTATAAAGGGTTATAAGTGGCCATGTGGGTGCTGGGAATCTAAACTGGGTTCTCTGCAAGGGTAGCCAGTGCTCTTAACTGTGGAGCTATTTTTCCAGCCCCTCACCTGAGATTTTAATATTAAATATTAAAAGCCACAGTACATTAAGAATGAAAATTCTAGGGTAGCATGGTGGTACTTGTTAGGAAGGAAGGAAGGCCAAGGTGTCAGGTCAGCCTGGACTACACAGCAAGACTGACTATCTATGAAAAACCATACAAGTGAAAACTGAAAACCAACATAGCAATGAAAATTCTGGAGATGGGTACTGGACTCAGAAAAAGCTGAAAGCCAGCTAATCTAGCTTTATACTTATAACTGTACCTTTGTGACTGTGATGAAATCTGGTCCAAAGAAAACACTTTTCACACCTTCAATCCTGAATAACTGCCTGTGAATACAGAAAAAGAAAAAAATGTCATGAAAGAAGATAAATATATGCAGACTGTCCCTGGCTAGAATGACTCAAGATGGCTTTGTTTCTTCTCGCCCTACAGTCACCTGCCTCATTCTAGGTAGCAGCAGAGAGCCAGCTGCTAAGTAGGAGAGCCATAGCTTAAAAGGCAGCTACAATCAGAAAAGAAAAACAACATAGCATAGCCTATAATCCCAGAACTCAAGAAATGGAGGCAAAAGGATCAGTAGTGCAAGGCCAGCCTGAGCTAGTGAGAACCCATCTCAAAAGAGCAAAAACACCAAAAAGTTAAAATCAAATTAATCAAGAAATCAAAATCCTAGGTTGTCTTTCTGGTGTGCATTTCTCCAGGAACTTTCATGGAGTCATGTGCTATTCTTATTTAGGAGGAGGGTTTCTTCACTTAACACCATGTTATGTCTTGGGCTAGGACTGTAAACCAGTGGTAGAGCTCCTGCCTGGCATGCCCAAGGCCCTAGATCCAACCTCCAGTATTGTAAAACACAGAGAGAGACACAGAGGATGTATGTCTTTTTGTAAATGTTAGTGTTTAGACTTATTTATATGTGTGAGTGTTTTGATTGCTTGAATAAATGTGTGTACAACTAGACTAATGTAACTAGACTAATAAACTCCCATAGGCAAACATTGTATGCTTGTATGTTTCCTGAAGTTATGTTCTTTAAAAAAAACAAAAACAAAGTATGGAGCTGTGAAATCAAATAGTGATGAGGACTTCACTATATTTAACAAAATAAAACTAAACGAAGTAACAAAAAGAAACGAAAAATATGAGAATGCCTATTACCTACTGTTACTTTTTAAAGAAGTATTTATTTTATTTTAATTTATGTGGACACATGTGTATCTATGTGTATGCACATGAATGCAAAGTCTGAAGAGGGTATTGGATCCCCTCAAAGCTGGAGTTACAGGAAGTTGTGAGCTGCCAAGTACTGGAAACTTGAACTTGAATCCTCTGCAAGAGTAGCAAGTGCTGTTAACCACCTCACCTTTTACCTATTGTACAAATGCAAAGGATGGAAATACCTTGTTTTACACGTACATACACACAGGTATGTGCATTAAATTACAATATATACATTTCTTACTGTTGTTTGTATCAAAAGCATGAAAAATAAATGTTCTACCCATGCATTCTGAGAAATGGCATGTTTAAGTTAGAAAACTTATATATATTTATCAACTAGAAATTTGAAAAATTATTTCTGGGCTTCACTTTTGCCTGCCCTCAATGAGGTACACAGAATGCTGGCCATGCACAAGAAGTTATCTATGCTGATTTCTAAATGTGCTCGGCAAGCAGTATGAGGACAGAAATTTAATTTGGTGTTAAGGTGCAACTAAGTGGCAAACACACATTTAGCATGTAAAAGGCCCAGGAGTCAGTCACTTTCTGGCACACAACAAGGAGGAAGAAAGGAAGGAAAGAAGGGAGGGAGGGAGGACGGATGACGGACAGACAGACGGCAGGGAGAAAAAGCAAGCAGGAATTTAACTAGCATTTCTCAGTATAAATGACTGCTCTGGCCCTAGGTTCAGAAGAGGCTTGGTGTACTTCCTTTATTCCTCTGACACACATTTAACATTTTCTCGTGAACTGTCCTCAAGGATTTTAAAAGGTCACGCCACATCTGAAAACTGTCATCATTTACGGTTCTGAATGAAAACCTAGAAACTTAATTACTCTTTCTTAAGAAATTAAAGGAGCACCTTCGCATAGTTCTTGAAAATCAGAGTTTTCAGCTGGGCACAGTGGCAGCCATCTGTAATCCCACACCTAGAAAGTGGAGGTACCAGGAGTTCAAGGCCAACTTCAGTTACATGGTGAGCTTGTGACCAGCCTAGACTACAAGAGACACCCACCTCCCATCTCAAAGCATTGAAAAGTGATGGAGAAAATGGCTCAGTGGATAAAGTACACAGCGCATGCCCAGGAGGATCCAAGCTCAAATCCCTAGCAGACATGGCAGTGGGCATGGCAGTGAACACCGTTAACCCAAGTGCTTGAGAGGCAAACCTCTGGTCACCAGTCTAGCTGTGTAAGTGAGCAGCAGGTTCTGAGAAGGACCCTGTCTAAAAACTAAGATGGAGAGTGACAGAGGACACTCAAGAACAGTCTCTGGACTTTGTGTGTATGCACATTCACACATCCACACAATCTAAAATACCTCCCACCTCCTCAACACACACACACACACACACACACACACACAATCACACACTTTTTTTGTAGCTTTGGAGCCTGTCCTGGAACTCACTCTGAAGACCAGGCTGGTCTCAAACTCACTGAGATCTACTTGTCTCTGCTTCCCAAGTGCTGGGATTAAAGGTGTTCACCACCACCGCCTGGTCATACACAAATTTTTAACATTTAGAGTTCTAAAGGTTTGGATTAGAAATTAATCATAATTGCCCAATTGGTGAACTTCTTTCTTAAGAAAAAAAACTTTAAAAATTAAGTATTCATGCTATCGATCTATCAAATACACTCTCAGGAAGGAAGTTGTTGCAATTTCAACTCAACTCTTCTAAATCCAGCCTGCAAACAAATGTCCCAGCTCTTTGCAGCTGTCTAAACCACAGAGGGCCACTGCGCTTCTAGCCAGCACAAACAATACCTGGCCAGAGGGGAGCGGAAAGCTGCAGCTGGCGTGGGGAAGTCCATGGTCCTCGTCTCAAGAACCGGCTTTCCTGGTATAAACTTTAAGCTGTTGGGATTTGGGGTGTCTTGTGTTTGAATAAACATGAACCGTACTGAAAAAGAGAAAGAGTGTTATGCTAGAAAAAAACAGTTTAAGTTATGGACAAAAAAGTGCTTTTTTAAAGATTTGTTTTTTATTTTAAATGTGTAAATGCTTTGCTTGCATGTATGTATGTGTAGCATGTGTCTACAGTGCTGTGGAGGCCAGAGGAGGCCATCAAACCCTCTAGGATGGAATCATGGATAGCTGTAAGCTACCATATGGAATCAAACCTCACCTTTTCCAACAGTAGCAAGTGCTCTAACCTCTGGGCCATCTCTCTAGTCCCTCAAAGTGTTCATTTTTAGATAAATAGAAGAAAAATTAGGGGAAAAAAGACCCCACAAACTTTATTTCCCGAGTTTCTGAGAGAAATACTAAGAAGTTAAAACGCCTGAATGCTGACGCTCAAGCATGCCATTAAAAGGCCTGTGCCTCCAGTCAAGAAATCTGCTTTTACAGTGAACAGTTTCTGAAATAAAACTCTAAAGAAAGGCTGCCACTGCTTTCTGTTCTGAACAAGTCATCTTCTGTAGGTTTGTTTGATGTTTGTTTGAGATAGAGTCTCACTACGCACATCAGGCTGTCCTTGAACTCATAGAGGTCTGTCTGCCTTGGGCTACAGAGTGCTGGGATAAAAAGTGGGGGCCAGCAAGCCTGGCTTTTCTTTTTGTTGTTTGAGTAATTTACTGGTACTCATTAGGCACTCTACTGAATATGAAGGGTTAAATGTGGCTTTTTCCTACCTAATACACTGGAGTAATCATGTCTACAGAAAAGAAGGTTTAAGAAATACCCAAAGATGAAACTATGCATTTAAAACAAAGACCAAACAAAATTTTATTTGAAAGGTAGACGCAGATCAAAGTAGTTGCCTAGTGCCTGCAGCCACAGCTTGGGAGGCTGAGCAAGAGGACCCTGAGTTCATGCTGGTCTCAGCTACACAGCAAATTCCAGGCTAGTCTTGGAACCTTAACAAGATCCTCTCAAAAAACCAAACCAAACAGAACAACCCATACAATCTATATACACCAGGGGATTAAAGATTAAGAAAACCAGAGTATCCACATACAGCTTTTCTCTTTTAAGTGAGCTGCCTCAATATTAATCTGAATAGATATTCAAGAAAATCATTCCAATTGTATTTTAAATTTGGCTTAATTAGATATTTTAAGAACAACTCCACATATATACAAATATGGACTCAACAGGTTATATTTAAGAATATACATGTATGTACAAATACATATATTCATGCAATTAACTGATGAAAAAAGAGATCATGAATTTGAAGGAGAGTAGAAAGAGGTATATGGAAGGTTTGTAGGGAAGGGAGAAACACTGTAACAATCTCAAAAGTAAATAACAAATAAATAAGTCTACTCCTAGCTCTAACATCCAATGGACACTCCTAACAGTGTCCTGAGTTAGGACAAGATAAAGACTCAAGTGATACACTTCTTTTCCTATGAGGAGTGATGTTACACAGATCCCTAAAAAGGCAGACACCCGCTCCTGCACAACATAGACAGAAACTGTCAAAGACCGAAATCACTGGTGTCCAAATGGAAAAGACCAGAAAACCACAAACTGCAGCCCCACAAAATTTAACCAATTAAAGTAGCCTGACCTGCTGAGTTACTCAGTATTTACATCTAAGGCATTTTGAGATTCAAGGAAACACACAGGCCATAGACAACCCTAACTCATCTCCAGTCAACATAAAGAGGCAAGAGCTCTTCCTGACTCAAGTCATGCTCTCAGCCGCCCTCAGCCTCACCACAGAACATGGCCACAGGTGTGCAAGGTAGCATGAAGAGAGAGAGGCTAATCTGTGACCACGCCAAGCCACGCACACCCACCTCTCTGCAAGCTTCCCCAATTACACTGCAGTGTTCACATTTCAGATTACATTCAAAATCAGATGCTAGGTTTCAATAAAAGGCAGGAATTTACAGCTGTACAGATATCCCTATAGAAATAGAAAAAGAAAGTAATAGCTTAAAATGCACTTTTTTTGTTGTTGTTGCTGTTTTTTGAGACAGGGTTTCTCTGTGATAGAACTCACTCTGTAAACTAGGCTGGCCTCAAACTCACAGAGATGCACCTGCCTCTGCCTCCCAAGTGCTGGAATAAAAGGCGTGCGCCACCACAGCCTGGACACATGATTCTTTCAAACACAAATTCACTTGTAACTTCTTTTTTTCATAATATTTCATTTTAGAAATCATTTACTGAGCAACCCATGCTCTAAAAAATGTATTTGCAAGACTTAGAGATTACACAAGTCTACAGAGAACATCCTCTGACTAATTATAGTGAAATACGGTTTTACCATGGAATCACTGGAATTTTTAATAAGCCTCTGAATAGAAGACTGACAAATTCTTGAGCTGGTGAGATGGCTCAGGTAAAGGTGCTTGCTACGAAGGCTAACATCCTGCGCTCAATCCCCAGAATCCACATGGCAGAAGGAGAGATCTGCCTCAAGCGGTCCTCTCACCTCCACACAGGCAATGTGGCATACTCTCACATGTACAAACGAATATAATAAACAACTTTTAAAGAAACCTTTAACGTTTGTCTTTTACGACCTTTAGCTCTAGCACTGTTCCATTGGTTTCTGTAACACAATGTTCTCTGAGGTTAAACTGTACCTGTGTTAAACAAGGGTGCACGCATCGGGAAAGGTGGTCTTCGGACATATTGGTGCAGAGGTTGTTTCTGAAAGGTGTACGGAGTCACATGACAGAACCTACATTTAAAACAAACAATGAATGACTAGGTAAGCAATCGAGAATCTGTTTTGTTGTTGTTTTGAAACAAGGTATCACTGTGTAGCTAAGGTGACTTCATGAACATCTGTGACATTCTTGCCTCTGCTTCCCTACTTCTGGAATCACAGACATGAGTGCCACACCCAGCAAGCAACCTGACCTTTTAAAGTCAATCTATACTTCTCTTGTATATATAAAACAGCTAAGATTTAAACATAAGCAGCAATAAAAATAGAGAATTAACTTTCTATTTCCTATCTGCAACATTGTTTCTACTTCAGCAAATTATACAACATGTAAAAACAGAGGTAAAGGGCATGGAGAGTGTCTCAGCAATTAAGAGCACTTGGTGCTCTGTAAAGGGTCTGGCTTGGTTTCCAGCATCTGCATGGTAGCTCATCATGTCCACAGCTCCAGTTTCAAAGGATCCAAAGCCCTCTTTTGACCAGGCATGCATGTGACACACATACATATGTGCAGGCAAACACTCACACACACAAAATAAAAACGCTGGGAAAACCACATGGAAAACCGTTTGGTAGGTAACTGGAAATACACATTAACATCTGGGCATCAGAAACAGAAATAATGTACTGACAAAGCAATTTAAATTTGCAGCCCCAGACCCTCAGCCTCTCTGTGAGTTCGAGGCCATCCTGGTCTACAGAGTGAGTTCCAGGACAGCCTCCAAAACAATACAGAGAAACCCTGTCTTGGGGAAAAAATGTTTAAAAACTAGGCAGCAGAGTTTCGTGACTAAAAACAGGTAAGGGCTTCGCGCTTTTCTGTCTTTATTCCACTGTCATCTGGAGAGAACGGGGCCACCAGTTAAAAAGCAATGGCTGGGAATGCAACTCGGCAGCATAGGGCTTGCCTAGCTTTTGCAAAGGCCTTGGTTTGAGGGTCCCAGCTTTGGGAAGAAAAAGAAAAAAGAAAAATGAAAGGAAGGAAGGAAGGAAGGAAGGAAGGAAGGAAGGAAGGAAGGAGGGAAGGAGAGAACAAGCAACCCTGAGCAAAACTCTGAAGTAGTCTAAGCTTTGACCCATCCCAAACCTGACCTCATGTAAGGGTTCTATTCCATGGTATCTCATGAAACAGAAATGTCCTAAAATCTAAAGTTAGGAACTGTCCTGGAGGAAATACTTAAGATTAAGGACAGTTACTTCTATTGTAACATTTCAGAGTCTAAAGTCTGATGACAGAACACAAACCATTGCCTCTACACTGCAAGGGCAGTCAACAATCTACATGCTTTTTTTTTTTTTGTAATGTTTTTATTTAAATTAGAAACATGAATGCTTCACATGTCAATCCCAGCTCCCTCTCCCACCCCTCCTCCCTTGTCCCTCCACCAGCCCCCCCAGTCCCCCACCCAATCCCCACATCATTCCCCAGGGAGGGTGAGGCCCTCCTTGGGGGGGATCTCTAAAGTCTGTCATTTCATCCAGGGCAGGATCTAGGCCCTTCCCCATGTGTCCAGGCTGAGAGAGCATCCCTCTATGTGGAATGAGCTCCCAAAGTTCATTCATACTCCATGGTAAACACTGACCTACTACCCAATGCTTAATGGGAAACATTAACCCAGTAGTGGAACTTCATTTCTCTCTGTGAGGGAGCATTGACTGGGCACTTTCAAAGCGTCATTAAAGTAAAAACAAAGAGAGCTTTGAAAATAATGACTGCTAGAAAAGGAAATAAAAGAGCATTTTGGTAGTGAAAAATGTTCCAGCTTTGACTTCAGTTACTTTTTTTTTTTTTTAATTTTGAGACAGGGTCCCACTGTGTAAGCCTGGCTGCCTGGAATTTGCAGGCTGGCTTTGAACACAGGGATCCACCTGCCTTAAGTGTATACTTAAATTGTCCTCCAAGACTCCCTGTTGGGGAAAGAACAACAGAAGAGCAAAATAGCCCAAGAGTGAAAACATCATGTCTTTGAAACCAGAAGAGTAAACTGTAGGAGTAAAAAGTGTCCCTTGAACGGAGCTTCGAAGTAAATCTCTCCCAGGCACCTTCCAAAATACAAGACTCAGCTACTGTTTAATCAGATGATATAAAAATGCCTAAGAGCCAGGCAGTGGTGGCACATGCCTTTAATCCCAGCACTTGGGAGGCAGAGGCAGAGGCAGAGGCAGAATTACAAAGAGCTAGTTCCAAGACAGACTCCAAAGCCACAGAGAAACCCTGTCATGAAAAACCAAAAGAAAAAAAAAAAAAGAAGCCTAAGATAGAAATGACTAATTAAAAGTCTTACCCAGGAGAAGATACTCTCTGCCTTGGACCTCCTTTGTCCACTAGAGTCCCCAGGTAACTGTTGTTTCCCAGGGTTTCCCCAGTCTGTTCTACTGGATGGTGTGTCTGCCGTAACTATGTCTTCTTGCTGCTAGCCGTCTTACTCATTTACTGTTTGCTGTACACTTAATAAACACACTCAAAACAAAAGGCATGTGGGGCATTGCAGACAATTCTCCCTAAGGAGCACTAACAATCCAGGGACACAGCAGGCCGCACAGCAAGTGCTCAGTTATCACTATGCAGTAACCAGTAACTACCCATTAAGTGAGCGGAGTAAATGTTCCAGAATTTGGAAACACCCAGGCATTCCAGTACTACTACTGTTCCTTCAACCCTGGGAAAAGCAGTGGAGTGGATAACTCAGAAGTGTACTCTGGCAGGAAGATTTGAATTCTAAAAGACCTAGAGCAAAGTAATTCAAGGAAAGTAATCGAAAACAGGGGTAGGGGGCAACCACAAAATCCTTTTGTGAATCTGCTACTTTTATGAGATGCTTTTAGGAGTTTTAAAGCAGGGGTCTCATATAGTCCAGGCTGGCATTGAACTCCTGGTCTTCCTGCCTTCAGCTTTCAAGTGCTAGGATGACAGGGGTGGGTCCATATGCCCAGCTCATGAAATGCATTTGAAACTTCAAGGTAGCCATCAGCATTCTGTTAGGTCCTTTGCTACAGGAGTCACATTTGGGTCTGACAGGTATCTGAGGAAGTCAGAATCAGGGTGGCTCTAAAACAGGACTAGGACACGGCCGGCATAGGCCTGGGCGTTGGGTTCGCCCGAGTCGCTTCCCTCCGGGCCGTGACCTTGCATGTGCCTCCCGGGAAAGGGTAGGGGACGACCCCGGGACGTTCTTCCCTTCGGGGCCACATCCCCGCGGGGTTTACAAGGGGACCGGACGTCGGTGGAGGGTGGCCCGACCTCGGGCTCCGGAGTCAGGACAAGACTCTGTAAGACACCAGTCCCCTCCCCGTGAGAAGGCGGCGACAGGGAACTTCTGGCCCAGGCGCCAACACCTACCGCCTGCACAGACGAGCTACACCAGCTACAGCTCCCCACGCCCGCTCAGCCGCCGCCATGTTTCCAGGGCCAGTGCGCCTGCGCGGATACGCCTCCTTGGTCTCCAAGTCCTGTGCAGGCTCAGGCCTTGGGAAGAGGGAAGTCACAGGGAGTGCGCCCCCTACACGTGGAAGGCGGTGCTGCGAGTGAACCAAGGAAGGGCAGGGAGAACAGGCTGTCTGTTTATTTCCTTCTTTTCCCGAAAATAGACATTTTTCTTCTCACATAATATATCCTGATTACAGTTTCCCCTCCCGCTACTCTCAGTTTCCCCACCTCCCATGTAGCTCTCACATCCTCAGGTTTTAAGGATTAGGACACTCATATGTGGGTAAACTATGAAGTAACTCCATTAAGCCAATTTAAATCTTAATCAATTGCCCATAGAATGCATGTTTGGCTATCATCATCCTTTTCTTTGAGACATATTCTTTCCTAGATGCAATGCAGACTTATTAGTCAACTTTTGGTTCATTGCAAATTTTACAAACGATGTGGTGCCACACATTCCTAATCCTAGCACAAAGTAGGCTGATGCAGGAGGATCACCCATGAATTTGATGTCAATCAGGTGAGATCCTGTTTCAAAAAAATTTTTTTTGTTTTAATACTTCTTTGTGTGTGTGTGTGTGTGTGTGCGTGTGTGTTTTCTTCGAGACAGGGTTTCTCTGTGACTTTGGAGGCTGTCCTAGAACTAGGTCTTGTAGACCAGGGTGGTCTTAAACTCACAGAGATCTGCCTGCCTCTGCCTCCCGAGTGCTGAGATTAAAGGTGTGCACAACCATGCTCTGTATTTACTCTCCATACTTAATAAATTCAAAACTCCCAAGTCAAAATTTGTATTTAAATTTTGTCAAGGAAAAAGTATGGGTTCACCAGCTCTGACTTTAGGAGTGGTCCACTAGAGCCTGGAACAGTGTGCTGGAGAGACTGTGGACGACCTCTGGGACAGGCTTACATGTGGGCACATCAAGGAGACACGTCTCCTTACACATGATACACTTGAGCTTCACCCCGGGCCTCACTACTCCAATCTAAGGTGAACTCAAGGAAAAACACAAGGAAAGACAAGTCTAGAGTCACAGGCTTTTACTTGGCTTCCCCCTGTCCTGTCCTACTCCTTGGTAGAAAGCTCAGTGGGAGTCTGTCTTCCCCTGCAGTCTTAGGTAAGAAACAAAGCAGCTTTGGCGGCTGCTGCAACCTTAAAACAGTTGAGTTTTTGTCTTGAGTTTTCATGACAAGGTCTGTGTCTGTGTAGCCCTAGCTGTCCTGGAACTTGCTCTGTAGGCTAGGTTGGCATTAACTCACAGAGATCCACCCACCTGCCTCTGCCCCCAAAGCGGTGGGGTTAAAGGTGTGTGCCACCACCACCTGGCAACACTTAAGAACTTTAGATCATAAAACTAGCCAGATGTGGTGGTTCATGACTTTAATCATTGCACGCAGGAGACAGAAGCAGGCAGATCTCTGTGAGTCTACATAGTGAGACCCTGTCTCCAGAAACTAAAAAAGAAATCTTAGAAGAAGTTAGAGGTTTGGATTTAGATAAGTAAGTTCTCAGGAAATTTGGTTTCACTCATGTATTACAGCAGGGCTCTGGGGCCCTGGATTGTGAACACTGGTTCTGGACACAGCATATCGCCAGTTCTTGAATCCTGTTAAGTCAAGCTCAGTTAAGTTCAGTCAAATACCATCCTGGTTGTTTTCTTCACAGTTGGAAATAAGTAGGCAGGCTCTCCCTCGTGACAGGGAGCTTGGAGAGAATATCCTAGGTTCATTTCCTGTAGGTTTCTCTGTGCCAACACTGGCTTCTGTTCAGGAATATTAGAACCTACCCCAGGCTCTGTGCTGGTGAAAGGTGCCTAGGACACTGTCATCCATAGAAGAGCCCACAAAAGGAAAAAAAACACCACTTAGTCACTTAATTAGGTTCATTTTAATAAAGAGTATAGGAGTTTACAACCCAAACAATTATCCATAAAAACTATCAGATACTTAAGATAGATCACATCCAGAATCAACAACATAAATCCAACAGCCTGCAATGAAAGGTATCGCAAAACTGGTAGGAGTGACCTTCTGGCTTCCCCAAGATTGTTTGCATGTTAAGGAGTCCCGAGGCCTGCTGACCTCAGCACTCCTCCCAGGCTGTGCACAGATCCTCACTCAGTCAACTCCAAACACTGCCAGCAGAGGGTGCTCACCTTCCCTCCTGGAAATATGCATGGTCCTTGGCCTCTGTTATTTGGTTTCTGTTCCCTAAAAAATGACATCAAATGCTCCACTCAAAACAGTATCTTCAGGCCCTGTGGTGCCAGTCACCACTGTCCTCCCAGTGCCACCCACAGGAAGGCGCTTACGTGGGAAGGCGGCAGAAGCAATGGCTAGTCAAGTCCCTCACCACAGATGCAAGCAACTCTGATGCTAAATTCAGAGGTTTGGGCAAAGGGGAGTGAGTTACTGGTGCCAGCTGCCTGTGGCCCCTCCCAGGCCTCTTTATGTGACTAACCGGAAGGGCTAGAGTTAACACAAGGAAGCAGGGGGATGCATGTACACGCACACGGACGCTAACACTCTTCACACAAGAATCTTTGGTAGACTTGCAGAACACAGCAGGCTCATGATTTCTGAAGGGAAAGATTTTACTGTCTCCCATTACCTCAGCGTGAAGGTACTAGAGACAGTATGTGGGTCCTCACACAGCCAACCCTGACCTATCCTTACGGCTGTTGAAAACTCCGTTCTGAAATTCCTTGCCAAGGGAATCTGATCTCCTTGGTTCTTCTTACCACAAGGCAGCACAGGTAATGTTTACAATGTACTCACAACTGTGTAACACTTTCCTAAGTTAGAGGTTGCTGAAATACAGCTGACAAAACGCATGGAATTACAAGTTACAGAAACTTTGGCCTAAGCCATATGTAGCTAATATTTAGCATTTTGTGTGTGCGCGTGTGTGTGTGCGTGTGTGTGGAGACAAGATCTTGTTATGTAGCTAATATTTAGCATTTTGTGTGTGTGCGTGGGCGTGTGTGTGTGTGTGTGTGTGTGCATGCGTGCGTGTGTGGAGACAAGGTCTTGTTATGTAGCCCAAGCAGGCCCTGAACTTCCAGAGAACCTCTTGCTTCATTACAGGAAGGGCCTCCCTGGCCAGCACTTAGCTATTTTTGCTGTTCTAGAGTCCTCAAACATATATACTCATTCTAGAGCCATGTAGGGATCAGGGTGGAGAGTGCCCTCTGGGTTACACCCCCAAAGAGGAAAGCTGGGTCCTGCCCACCCTCTTCTGTCCTTTATTCTAGGGGAATTGTTAGATTGTCAAGGCTGGCCTGAATCCTAAAATGAAATTTTACAGTAGCAAGGGAAACAATTTAGTACGACAGTTCACTACCCACTTATTGGTGTGGACAAAACAGGAGAATGTTGAGGGAGGAAATTAAGGGGGAGCAGGAATGAGGGAGGGGTCACAAAGACCTCTGGGGACAAAACAAAAACAATTTACAACTAGACACTACATTTTATTTTTAAACATTTTGAAACCTTTTGTGAAATTTTTATTAAGTTTTCAAATGTTCTGGTGGTTACAACAAAACGAAGATTGATTGACAAAGACATAATTTCACTGACAATCCAGTTTACTCTCTTAGGCAAGCACCACAGGACTAGGAAGCAGGGTGGCCTCGGAAAGTGGCAAGATGCTCCTGCCTTCTACCACTGCACCCCTGCAAACTACCTCTCATCAAAGTTTGTTTGCCTCTGATAAAAATACCATGACCAGCAGCTGTTTTGAACTTCACTGGGATGTGTTCTCAAGTTTGAAATCCAAAGACACAGCAGGGAGCAACATCTTTTTACATTTGAGGGACCCAAATGGCCTCCACAGAAGTTGCCTTGTTCCTGCTGGAGAGCTTTCCACTTAAGTTTCCTATTTAAGTAAGGTATACATATCATACAATTTGATACATGTTTTGATTATTTTCATTTACAGAGCAATTCTTATCATCAGACCACCCTAATACTTTATGCACCAGTGAAGAGAAGCCGACAACACTGACAAGCACATGGTCCAACATGGAAGAAATACACAACAGGTCAGTAAGACAGCATTGTTTGAACGTCTAGAAGATCTCAGTTGCCACATGAAACGGAGACACAACATGGGTTAGTGAGTAGGAGACTCTGTGTGTGTGTATCACGCGCGCACACACACACACACACACACACACACACACACACACACACACACGCTGGGACATGCAACGGTACCTAGGCCTTCAATCCCACAAGTGAACCAAGACAGCCTGTATGAACTAAAATCTGCATTTCAGCACCAACTTCTGTTCACTTTCTTGACTACATTGCTCGTGATGGAACCATCTGTCTCCCAGTACCAGAGTTAATTAAATCCAGTGGTTGCATATGCTAGGTAAGCATTCTACCACCTAAATACAAAACCAACCTTCTTGAAATTTCAATATTAAGAGCTTGCTAAGCTGCCCAGGCTGGTCTTGAACTCATAATGCTTTTGCCTCAGCCTCCCAAGTATTGGGTTCTTAGGTGTTCCTGCCACAGATATTCATTTCATTATTTTATTTCATTTGTTTTGGTGCTAAAGAGCTGCATTGTAAGCCTAAGAAATTGGTGAGACGTTTTCCATCACACAGAAGTTAATTCTGTTAACAGTGCTCATTAGTCAGCTAACATGGAAGAACTCAGGCCTCACTTATGCCAAGTTCCCTCTCTGAGCTACGCCCCCAGCCTAGCACATCACTTAGGAGTTCATTAGTACATGATAGGCTTAAGGCTTTGTCTAAGGATATTCCAACTTACCTCTTTCTACAGAGTCAAAAGTTCAGTTTCCTGTGTTTCCTATGAAATATACAAAGCGACTAACACATAGCAGAAATGAAAACAAAGCACAGCACTTTGTTGACAATGCTCCCTCTTCCTTATTATTAAGCTATTAGAGTATGGTCACTGGGAACCTGCATTTGATTCATAGACTTTCAGCACTCTTAATTCCCCATAAAACAACTTTTCCGTATGTCCACGCAGGATGGCATCCAACCAGGACCCCGGATCTTAAATCACCCACTGATCCTGTCACCCACACTCTTCCACAGCACCTCCTTCAGAGCTCATCTGTCGGCTAGTCTCTTGTCAGATTTCCTTCACAAACTGCTACGTTAAAAAAAATCTGCATGTGGCCACATTCATTCCTATTCAAAGATGGTAGGTAGACTTTCCACTCAGTAGATTAAAAAAAGGCCCTAAAGCCCAAATGATTCAACTATATAAAATAACGAGTCCACGATTTTATCCTCATTTGAACCTTGTGAATTAAAATGACTGTTTGATTAGATGGAGTGATACAGTGATCAAAGTTAGAGCATTTTGCAGCGCTGTTACATAGCTGATGTTGACCTTGCATTCTCAAATTTCTATTCAGGAGATAGGTTCTTGTATGTTGCCAAAGCTGGCCTTGAGATCCTGGGCTCAAGCTGTCCTTCTGCCCAGCCTTCTAAGAAGCTGGGACTACAGGTATATGCGGCAATCTGGCAAGAGCTTGTGACCTCAAGGGAGGACTCTGAACATTCCCATCCTTTCTGCATGACTTGGAGGACTTCACCTGACAACAAGCATGGGAAGTTTGGTTGCGAAGTTCCAAACTACTCATTTAACAGAAAGACCAGTTTGTATCCACTAGTATAAAAGAATTCAAAAATAATAACTGTGAGAAATCAAATTCCTAGAGAGAATAGTTAGCCTTTACTGAAGTGAAAGTCAGGTTTCTGGTGGGGAGGGGCCCTCACCAGGCAACCACTGCTGGGGGAGGTGGCACTGACATATGTCTGTTATTTAAACAGGTGGAGAATACCAAAAAGAAAAGTACTGAAAATAGGTTCCTTTTTCCCTTCTAAGACAGGCTTTCACTCACTGACTGTCCTGGAACTTGCTATGTACACAAGGCTGGCCTCAAACTCATACGAATCCACTTGTTTCTGCCTTACATGTTCTGGGATTAAGATGCTTGTCACAGCAGGCAAAAAGTAACCATTCTTATGTTACTGTCAAGAGTCCTGGGTTTTATCATTTTTTGTGTGTGCCGAGGACAGAACCCAGGGCATGGTGCATACAAAGCATGTATTTTTCTACTGAGTTGTACACCAAAATCCTGACTTTCAAACTTAGGACATCACAACTAATTGAGTGCAAGTGCAGCCTGGCATTTAGGCTTCATCACTGGATGAATTTTAAGTAATTCTTTTATTTTTTTGGGACAGTGTCTCGTGGAGTCTAGGCTGGCCTTGAACCCCTTCTTCCTGCACCTCCTAAGTGCCCTGCTTACAGGAGTGTGCTACCATGCCTGGCTTCTAGTAATTTTTATATCACTAATCTAGTCTGGTGCACAACTCTCTCAACTTTTCCAAGCACGTGGAGGAACTGTGTGCTAGAAGCTGTAAGAGTGCACAGAGTTTGGTGCAGACTCTTCCCATTAAACTCAACTTCCTCAGCAGAAACCTCCCCGTAGAGTCATGGGTTTTCTTTTAAGGCACTAAAAATGAAGGGTATGAGAACACTAGGAATGAGTCAGAGCTTTCCAGAAATAAAAACACACTTCTGAAAACACAACCAGTCACCTGTCTATTCTACTTTAACATCTGAGACAACTAACAGATACGTAAGGACAGCTGACCAGTTCTTTTTCATTTGCAACTTACTTCTAGTTATCAGGTTTGTACCCACTCAAGAGGCAACAGACTTGTATGGGAAGAGGGGGGAGGGTGCAGGGGACAGCAGGCAAACCTGGCTTGTAGCTTAGGTTCCCGATTAATGAATTTCATAATAATGGTACCCAGGAAGGATTCCCAGTGACTGGAGTGCTAAAGACACTAAAGACATTCTTCCCCTGTTGCCAGGGGAAAACAGAAGGGCCGGTGACTTTTTTGGATGGGAGGAAAGAGTGTTGGGATATGGTGGCTTGGAATTCAGTATTAAGTCCAGGCTAGCCTCTAACGTGTGGCAATCCTCCTGTCTCAGTTTCCCAAGAGCTACAAGTATGAGCTACTATGTCCAGTTTTGAAAATGTGAGTTTTCAAAACCAAGTAAATGGAATTTTAAAAATCCACCCTGAAACCTCAGTTCCAACAGGATTGCTCCATATGGTCCAACAAATTCAATTTTACCATGAGGAAAACATCCAAATAAAGCCAAGGTTCAAGTCAGGTCAACAGGCAAACACAAGAAAATGATTTGATAATGGAGGTAGGCATGGTGGTTTCACTCAAAGGAAAAGGTTTCTTGTATGCACGCATACGCATGTATCCTTACTAGTCTAAAAAGTGGACCATGGGAAGGCAGACTAAGCTTTTCCCACCTGTGTGCTCTTTTACAAGACAGAGAATCTGAGCCACATCATGCACCCAGACACTTGTGCACAAGGGTCAGCTGGGCTCATAAGGAATCAGTGAGAGATCCCAGAATCCTTTGAGAGCTGCTGACTCCACAGGAATGAATGATGAGCGGCCGAAGGATTAACTTCTTCAGATGTGCAGTAGGTTTATATTGCTTTTTTTTTTTCTAGAAATCTCTCTGTTCCAAGAGTATTGTCGAGTCCTGGAGGGAATTCAAAGTCGTGGTGTAATACAACCCATGGTAACTGTGGGTAACATATTCCTTGATTAAAAAGGTTTCTGGGCAGGAAAGAACCAGAGTTCTGAGTGCAGGTGGAAGGCCTGTATAAAGGACCAGAAATACCTATAAGTCCAGAAAAGAGTATTAACAAAAAAAAAAAAAAAAAAAAAGGAAGTGTAACATAAAGAGCAACCTTGCTAGTTGCCTTGAAGTGGTTCTGCTCTGAGGCAGTGAACTACAAGGTCACAGTGGATACTCCCTGGAAGGCCTGCCAGGAGTGGTGTGATGGGTGCTGGTGGGGTGGTGGAGGCAGACCTCAGGCTGGCCTCTGCTCCTAGGGTTTCTGTTTGCCTGCTTTTGAAGGAAAGGGTGCTAAAGCAAAAGGATCAGCAGCGGGCAGCTCTGTAGTCCTGGAGGACAGAGACGAGACAGATACAGAGCCAGCCAGCAACTGCTTATTGCTTTGCGAAACAATCTTGTAGGCAGCGATGGGCTGGGCTTCTGGACTTGACTCATCATCTGGACTATAGTGTCGGGAATATTTGGATAAAGCCTGGGGGCGGAATGGCTTGCCAGCTACTGGCCCGGAAAAGGCTTCTTTCTGGGGCTGCAGGCCTCTGTTTCTGTCACTAGGATGACTCCCAGATTCCATGGGAGAACCTCTGGGAGAGCTGCTGTCAAAATGGTCTGCCACCTGGACAGAGTGGGAGGGGAGACCGGCCTGCTGCACAAAGGCAGCCACAGGATACTGTGTCTGGGCAGGCGTGTACATGGCTCTATCACGGCCTGGAAGCAGGGGCCCTTCACCAGGCTGACTGAGGCCAGCCTGCACTGGCAAATCCTGTGAGGAGCCCTGCACCGCCAGTAACTCCTCCACACTCCTCTTCTTGGTAAAAGGAGCTCTGGAGAACACGTCCACCTCCTCTGTCTGGGAAGGAGCTACACTGCCCTTGGATACAAAAGGGGCTTTGGAGAAAATGTCCACGTCATCTGCTGGAACCAGCGAGCTCCTGAAGGGGGCTGTGGCAAAGACATCAGGCTCCCCGAGGCCATCTGAGGCCTGCTGGCTGATTGGCAAGAACTGGCTCTTTTCCCCGCCTTGTCCCCCCTTTTCTGGCTTAGCAGACACCCCAGGTTCAGAGAACAGAGTGGCTTCTCGCAGCTTCTCCTGGGGAGGCCTGCAGCTCTCATCCTCCTCTTCAGACTCCAGAAGGAGAGGCCGAGACCCGCTGCAGTCCAACATGTCCCCCTCCAGGTCGGTGCCCTCCTCCTCACTGCTGTGGAAGGAGCTATTGCTGGAAGGGCCTTCTCGGGCCAGGGAGTCAGATTCTAAGGTGTTCTGGGTCTTTGTTCCAGGAACTCTGCAGGGATCTGGATAGAGGGCGAGGCCTTTGACACCCACGGGTTCTTTAAAGTGCTCTACAGTAATTACAGGACAAGGACTGGGCTCTCTCTGGAGACCTAGAAAAGCACAAAATTTAGAATTAATGTGGAGGCTAGGTCAGAACTTTTTGGAACATTTAATGGTCAACCGAGGCAGATACATTGTGGAACCAAATGATAGATGTTGAAAATGAAAAAACAGAAAAATAAAAAGTCAAGCAAGGTAAATGCACACAGACTGAAGACACAACCACCATCTCACACTTTGGATCATGATAGACATAATGAGCGGGAAAGGTGACAATGTTAGGCACACGGACATTCAGGGCAACTAGGCAACACTCCTACTTGTAGGCCAGGCACAGACACCTGCTCTACCTGGCTCAGAGCCAAATGGAAACAAGCCCAGTCATTCCTCTCCCCATCCACCAGACAGTCTGGGGCTATGGAGAACCACTGCCTGGGATGAACTTAACTCGGCATTGGCATGTGCCCCACATTCAGAAAGACAGGCCCTCTGACAGGCAGAGCTTGGCTGTCTACTTGATGACACTACGAGCAGTGCTCACAGAACACATGGTACCTGATGCAAATATGGAGGGTACTTTCTGAGTCATACTAGATGACAGCAACTTTGGCTGGAGTGGTCCTAGAATTTTGTTTTTAGTGTCCCAAGTTAGCAAAGATCTCTGTTTAATGAATCCACCATTAAGTTCTTTAAGCAGAAATACTAGCAAACTCCAATGTACTAGCACAAGTGGTAATGTAGGTAGAGGGGCCTCTGGGTGCTCTGGCATTTAAAATCAAATAGACAATTATCAGAATTCAATAGAGCTTACCTTCCAAGAAATATTAGCAGGTTAGAAGTATGTCATTGGGCACATGTTAGCAAGAGGGTAGGAAAAAGGCATATATAACTAAGCAAGAAGAATCCAGAGAAAGGGTGAGGGGGGTGGGGGACAAAATATATTTCATTATGGGCTCAAAAAAGACATGCCACCAGACTGTCCCAACCCACCAGGACACTGACTGTTGGCCATTCCTTCCTGACTGGGCCCTCTCCATCTGATGAATGCCTGACCAGAAGGACGTCTGCTACACAGTGCCCTCTACCACATTCTTGCTGGAACCAAGCACACAGCACAGAGGAAGGGGCTACAAAGATGATTTATTGGAAAACTAGTCACTTATCAAGAATTTACACTGTAGAGAACACAAAGAGGGGGCTGAACATTTGATTAAAAGACACTATACAAAAATACTGTTTTTCTGAATCCTGTAACTTTTTTTAAAGCAGTGCTTCATTTTAATCAGTTGGCAACTAGCAATTTTTAGTAGTCCCCCTGCCCTGGTTTTTATTTTCCTATCTAATAGTTTGAACATAATGAATTCTAAACTCAAATTTTAAGCTGAATCCTGTTTGGTACAGCATGGCTTTTTAAATAATAGTTGAAGAATGTGATTTTGAAGAGAATAAACTTTTCCTTGCATTATAGCTTTACTACATGCAGTTAAGTGTTGATACAGAAACCAATAGGGAATGAAGACTTCCTGCTCCCTCACAGTGTACATGGGCACAACCATCATTTCTCAGGCAAGACAACTGAGATTAGATTTATCTCAGAGACACCAGGTAATAATTTCTTGAGGGAACCTAAAATGAAGGGGGAAGAGGAAGCCATTAACTTTCAAAATAAAACTCACCAAGAAATGTAAGAGGTTCCTAAGATTCCATAGGCTATTTCCTCTTAGACAAAATTAAGGTGTACTTCCTTTCCTTTCTAAAACTACCTGAATGTTACTGCTTCTATACTGGCTATGCAACAGAGCAAAGCATCCTTTAGTACAGAGAGAGAGAGAAGATTGAGTCAAGTCAGTGATTACTCCTGGTGCTGCATAGACTGATTTGATAATAACACTGCTTTTACTGTAGTCAGTGATTTGAAGGATCTGAAATTGGATTCATTCAAACAAAATCATGTACAGACTACAAAAGGTATCTATATCTACCTAGAGACCCAGGTCTAATGCCTTCAAAGCTAGATTACATCCTGAGAGCTATGGGGCAGCAAGGGGAGAACTCTCTCATCCACAATGGGACATGAAGAACATGTTTACCCCATGTAAACTACTGTCAAGTAGCAGGCTTTGAGTCAAGGACCCACTAAAAAAATCCACCAACACAGGACATCTCTGAATTTTGAAGTGAATAGTAAGATATTTTTTATATTTAAACACTGACAGTTTGAAAAAGGTCAGAACTGGCCTGATGTGATTGATGGCTCATGCCTTTGATTCTAGCACTCAGAAAACCAAGGTAGATGGATCTCTGTGAGTTCAAAGCTAGCCTGATCTACATAGTAAGTTCTAGGTCAGTCAAAGATATAAAGTGAGGACTTGTTTCAAAACAAACAAAACAAACAAACAAAAAACAAAACACCACAGCTCAAATCAGTTTCTCATTGTTTAAAAGGGTCATTGCTATTTCCTCTATTTCACTATGAACCTCGAATGCCCATTCCTGATAATGAACTTGATGTCTATAACCATCCGGGAGCCTTCATCCTGTGACTGATGGAAGCAGAGGCAAACACACAACTAATCACTGAACTGAACCCAAGGAACCCAGTGACAGAGAGGAGTGATGAGCAAATTGGCAAAGAATGGGCTGGCAAAACCAGCAGAGACAGCTGATCTGAACAGGGGAGTGCCCTTGAACCCCAGACCAACAGTGGGGAGGTCAGCATGGGACTGATCTGGACCCCCCAAATGTGAGTGTCAGCGAGAAGGCCTGGGCAACCTATGGGGCCCTGAGCTGTGGATCAGTGTCTATCCCTGGTATACAAACTGTCTTCATGTGCCTATAGCACAAAGAGAGATGCTCTCTCAGCCTGGACTCTTAGGGGAGTGCCTTGACCCTACCAAGAGTAAAATGACAGACTCTAGATATCCCCTATGTGGAAGGATTTGGCAATAGGGTGGGAGGGAGGGGGGGAAGGGGAGTGCGGGAAGAGGGGAGGGAGAGGGGAAAAAAAAAAAAGACTGGAAAAGTGCATCTAAGAGGGCTTTCCTGAAAAGTCTGTCTCTCAGCCTGTCTTGGCGGTGCAGTGTGACTAAGGAAGAGTGACAGCCAAAGAAATGCTAGAGAACACAGAGCCCCTAGAAGTCTACATGACTCCAGGGAGTCCTGATGGTGGTAGCCCAGGAAACAACAGAGTTCAGGGGAGATTTGTAACATCTTGCTGGCAGGTAAAGATCTTGTTGCCACTCATTTCAGTGTGTGAATGTGCTCTTACAAGTATTTTTAGGGTGAACAGCCCTTGCAGTGGAAACGAACTTGAGCCAATGGCAGACTACCTCTTACGCAGCCTGGCTCCTAGGGATCTACCCAACACACCCTCATGCCATGGTTGAGTTCTTTGGTAGCAGAACTTTGTAGCCAAAGTACTAAATAAAATGAAAAAATAAAAAATTCTAGCCTGTTCTCCTAGGGCAGGACCCAGCCTCAGTGTGTATAACGCTTTTGTTCATCATGAGGCATTCTCTTACAATTCCATCAAACTGGGTCATGTTTCTTTTGTTTTCAAACCTTCTAGAAATAACTCCCTCTGGGTTCCATTTTGAGGCTGTAAGTACACAGATTTCAGTACAAACTCGCACAAACTCACCACCCCCTGTACTAACCCAGAGATCAAAGTGTGGCATTCTTGGGGATGACTGACCCTGAAAATACTATGTGATTGGCAGCGAGGTCATGAGACTGTTCTCTAGGGAAGCAAAATCTAAGATTAAAGAAGTGTTATTACTAGCATGGACATACAAGTATGTGTCACAGTGCTAAAGCACTGTTTGCAAAGTCAGTCCTCTCCTTCCACCCCATGGTTCTAACTCAGGTCATCAGGCTTGGCACAGGCACTTTTATCCAATGAGTCATCTGGCTGTACACACTTTTCTTGTCCACTGGTATTTGCAGCCACTAAATAATGTGCTCAAGTCCTTTCTACAGGAATATAACAGCTACCTTATGCTATTTATACATCTAAACATCATGCACTTGTTTGAACAGATAAAAGCTTTATTCCTCTGTATGTTTACATAAGAAATTTGTTTACAGACTTATTTATACAATACTTGCGAAGCAGTGTTCATTTTTCACATTTTACTGCACAAGATAGCTTCATTACATCACTTTGCTTTGCTTCCCTGGGGAAGACAAGGTAAAGACCTAAGGTAAGAATCCATCCAGGTGACAAAGGGGTGTAAAACAAGGCAGAAGAGAACACCCACAGACATGAATTCAGGACACTGCATCAAAGTGAGAACCAAGGAAGGACTTGCCTCCTAGCAACTGTCACCCTTTGGGAACTCTGCATGAGTTAACATTACTCAAGCGGCCTCCAGGCCTCCTCCCTCCCACTTAGTGAAAGGAAACCCAGGGGAAACTATAAAGGATATCTTGTTACAGACTGAAATGGAGACCATTTGGGATTCATTCAGTTCACAAAAGCCAAACACATCCAACTTGGGGAACATTATCATTGTGGAAAGGAAAGGTCTAATTTTGCACTGGCAAAATTAGTCTCTGGAGAGGGATATAAATTAGCTTGCAGTAACTGAAGTGTTTCACTAAACACTCCACTCTGAACATTCTATCAGGCAGTCTCTGATTTGCTTAACTCAATGTTGCTCTGGGTGATCCTGTCATTCACATCCCCAAACTCGATGTCAGTGGCATCAGAATGCGGGGCATCTTGCAGACCAGGAAGGCTAAAGACTCTTGATGCCCGTGGAACCTTGTCATGGGAGGTTTTAGCTTGGTCCAAGGTGTCTACAGCATTTGCTTGTTCACTAAGCATGAACCCCACCCCCATCGCAAAGGTCTCCTCATTCTTAGGGCACTGCTGAAGACAGAACTAATCCTGACCTGGGGGAAGTCTTATCAGGAGTACAGGAAATGAGAACTGCAAACCACAAAAATACCATGTCTTAAGAAAAACAGATTCCCTTTTGGGTTTGTTTTCTTCTAATTATTAGAACTCCAAGTTCTAGAATTCCAATCTGATCAGGAGGAGCCAAGTCCAACATGAAATGCCAATGAGCAGAGTGACAACCTCTTTTAGTGAAGTTTAAAAAGCTGTATCTTTAAATTTCCTAAGGACCAGAGGACTGCAAACCTCCTCTTCCTCTGTGTTGGTGATCTCTCTCAGCCATGAAGTCTTCTCTAGTTAGGCACTGCCTGTGGAGTTTCAATGTCTTCCTCTTACCAGAGTGCTTTTGCGTTTTGGAATATTCAGCATTACTGAGAGGCAGAGTTGTCAGAGAAAAAAACATAAGAAAGAGTATACTTGTGGATGCTGTGAGTGAAGCTACTGAGAAAACACAGATATATTCTTGCTACTTTATCTGGAGATGTTATATCTAAGGACAAGAGTTTAAAAACAACTCAGGTGACACTGGCCTGCTTTGCTAGGGTTAGCATTCACTTTCTAAGCAAAATCAGATGCTTCTGGAGGGAAAAATCAAACACACAAAACATTTCTGATCTGTCTATTTCAGGAAATACTGTAACAATTACAATGCTACTTAGAAGTGACTGCTTAACCCTTGTATCTTCTGAGGACCATATTTTTAGAAACTTAGGGAATTAAATTTGGTTATCTGTGGAGGAAACACCAATTTGTAATATTTTCTGGTGGCAGTAATTACTTCCACTCAGCAGAGAGAAGATCAAATAAAAAAATCTGTGCATTGTATTTGCCCATATTTTAATGGCAAATACCTGATTATACAGATTAAAATAATAGAAATCTCTGGATTCTGTTTGACTGTAATAGGTAAGGTTGTGTGTGCTTAATATTACAGAAGGAAAATCTATCTCCAAGTTTTTGATGATGTTGGCTTTTATTCAGGTAATCTGAATAAAGCTGTAGGAATGGCAAGAACACAGAAGTTACCTGAAGGACATCCGGATTATACGATCCTTCACAGTCCTTCTAAACACAACAGTGTAAAATGCTATGCTTCTACTATCTCAGACATCACTTATCCAAACCCATCCTGTGTAAAAATCCAACATCAGTTCTGAGGGGTCAAATGCCCTTTCAAGGTCATTAGCCAGGATCTGGATGAGGCCCAGAAGCCTGAGCTTCCCTGGCCCCTTCTCTCACCACCCTGCCTTCACCAGTCAGGCCCATACCAGTGAGATAAAGTAAATGGGCTGGCAGACAGTCTCTCCAGCCCCTCATATAGTTCAGTCCTGTTCTGTGCATCTCCAGTTATCACACACCATGCTCTCCTCAAGCCACTCCCTCAGCTTAGGATGATGCAAAGGAAGGCTGTGCTGACCAAGCCACTAGAATGTATTTCTCAACAGAAAAATAGCTCTGCCCACCGAAGCCTTACTCACGCAGGATTAGCCCAGGTCTCTTGTCACTATCTCACCCAGGCTTTACCATCTTCCTTGGCAAGAGTCTGTTAATTTTCATTAGTGTCTCCATTAAGTCTTACTGAGCCAAATGACTACACAATATATCTCAATATAATTATGGGTGATGCATGAAAGGATGGTTTAGAGACACTTAACCTAATTTCTAGACTGCACTCTTCATAGCTGCAATTAAACTAAGAAGTAGACATTTCATTATATCGCTAACATTTTCATGAGGAGAAAAAAAAACAATATAAAACACAGACCTAAAACAGTAGCCTTATTTAAAAATAAACATTTCCTTCATTAGTTTATACATTCTTTCTATGTCCAGGAAAGAGGACGCAACCATTTCCTGTCCACCAAGGGGTTCCCCAAGTCCTGCTTCCCTGCAGCCCACTTGTGGAGAGCTCTTCACGACATCTCTTCCGTCCTCGGCTGCTGACCGTGCCCTTGTTCACCTGTGGAAACCATCTCTTCTAGCAGAGGCCTTTCCTCAGCTCATCTAGGGTCAGCGGGTACAGGAAGGATTTAAGGTCAGAAGGAAGACTGAACGTCCACTCTTCCTGCTGTCACATGGCTGGAGACAACGGTGGCCCTCCAGAAGGCAGTGCTTGTAGGCTCGTGCTGCTGCTGGATCCCCACCACTTAAAGTGCAAATGTGAGCAAGAAACAAAGTACTAGTAGAGAACACGCAAATAGATTTGGGGTTTTATTTATACAAATCTGATGAACTTAAGCTTCCCTTCCAACCCTGGAGGATGGTGCTCGAGGAAGGGGGGTCTCTGTGCCCACTCTTCCACAGGGTGATCTGACAAAAGTGCTCTCCATATAAGGAAATGAAACACACCTTGATGAATAAGTACACAGAGGGTGACTGGGAGAGCATATTGTAGGGCCAGTGCAGGGGTCTTTAGTTAAATCTATGAACAGCAGTCCAAGGTTAGTGAAGAACTGCTCTTTGTTTGGTCTTTTAAATCTAGGAAGTCAAGGAAAGCCAACTGCACATATTCCATCAGCTTCAGCATTCTATTTAAACACCAGAGAGAAGGTAAGTAGCCACAGTCAAACTGTGCCCAGCATACTTATTTCTGATTATCTGAAAATAAACAACATGCTTATTCTACAGAGACAGAGGCCTGCTGAAAGCTTAGAGCAAGACATACACTCTACTTAAAACAGTTCCGTGTTTACACTGTGGGACTGCCTATGTGATTATACAAGCGAAGATCAAAACCCTGTACAGACACCTGATGTCAAACTTGAAATGCCAAGTGAAAACAGGACTATTCAGCATCTTCATTTATACACAATTTACAATATTTGATTCAAAATAAAAAAATCACAAGAAAAATACATCTGTTTCTGCTACAATTCCTTCCCTTCCCCATCCACCCCCCATGAAAAGTCTTCTAGTAAAAGGTATCATGTTCCCACCACTGTCTTGTTTTGGTCTAATTCTGAGATCCCAGCTTAGGCCAGATAACATGGAAGGATGGCAATGCTTGGTATTTATATCACATACGCATTTATTCAAGGATCTCAAGCACTTGCAGTCACGCCTCCAGATTTGAGAAATCACAATTCAATGGAAGCCAGATAGCTAGACAAACTAGATAGCTGGGAAGATTGCATGGGTGTAAGATCCCTTGGCTCAGTCTATTACCAAACAAGGCCAAAGACGGGTGGCTAGAGCTGAGCCCAATTCTCTTCACAAACACATCCTATTAGTTTTGTCCTGCTTCAACTGCACACCTGTCTTCAGACTACTGCCTGGGGGTTAAGACCAGCCACAGCTGCCATGTCCTCATGATACTGTATCAGGATAAAAAGTAAGATTGGACACATACTCATCAGCAGCTGGGAGACAGGCTATAGGACTGACATGGGGCCATTCCTAGCAAGAATGAGACAAAGTGTCCATCACAGGCTCAGTGACAGTCAAGCTTCTGTGAGTGGATTCCAGCAGAGGTGAAGCTCAGGGCAGCTAGCGCTTGAGTTAAGATAGTGCTATTGAAGATGGGGAATGAGAAAACACAGCAAACTAACGAGAGGAGCCAGCCAGGAACGGATCTGGAGGGTCAGAGATTTTTCTTTCCTTATCATTTCTATAGGAGAAGGCAAGGGGCAGGAGAAAGGGGCTTGAGGGCCCCTTTTATTTGCAGAATTTTTAAAAAATCATTTTTCTCATAACTCCGTAATGAAAATGTGTATTACGGCATGAAGGTTACAGAACTGCGTCTGCTACTGGCTCACGGCTACAGGTCAATGAGCTGATCCACCAGCAGCAAAGACCTGGCTAGGTTGGGAAGACTGGACTCAGAGCTCCCACTGCTGTTTCTAGAGTGCCCACCTGGAAGTGGAAAGATAGGATTCAGTACAAAGCACAGAGGATTAGGGTTAGATGTGTAGATCAAGCAAAGGAGAAAAAGAAAAACAAAGATATCCAGAGAAGCAACATTTCACATTTCAAAGGTCTTAACATGTTGATTTCTAAACATAACCATTGGCTAGCCACCACCTCCCACCAGAAGTTCACTCCATGCACACCACAGTAGAGGCAGGACACTGCAGAGATACCGCTGGTTCCAAACCAACTCGTTTGCCTAAGAAGTCCTGGCTGTTCACTAGCCTACCAACAGCAAGCCATCTTTTATAAAATACAGATCAATTTCTGCTGTGGGGAGAATTAGTTTAGGATACTATAATAAGAACATGCTTTTAAAAATAAGTAAGTGGTGTGTTTAGTATTTGGGGCATGCTCAAATGATTCAATCCACCAAAGAGGAAACGAACAGTCCATAAAGTTTACAGATGTAGCAGATACCAAAATATCATTGTTAGCTCTCTGGGAAGAACATCTATTACATATTTTCCCATTATGATAAAAATGTTCAATACTTCTGATATATACCTTTAGACTTATACCAACTAGAGAGCATTTTCTTTTTGGGTTGACATCTCATACAAACTAACTCTTCTCTAAATAAACCCCAAGTAAGTGAGGTTTTAAGCTACATAGATCAGCATCTCCACCTGCCTCTCATGTTGGCCCAGCCTACACTGACTGCCATCATCCAGTGTCCTTTACCAAGTGGTGATGCTCCCATGCACCATGCAGGCTAGGGACAGTGTTCTGATGAGACCTGGTATCAAGCTCTTCTCTTTTCTCCAGCCTCTTTCTTACCTTGTGTGTTTTTGGTTATCAGTACAGGAATAGGGTCAAACTCATCTTCTGCCACCTTTTCCGAGCCCTCAGCGACACCGAAACCTGAGATGAGATTACTATCTTCTGCAGCTTAATACAGAGTGCAAGCATACAAGCAGAAACAACAGAAGAAGAGATTAGCAAAGGAGAGAGCAGGAAGGAGGCATCAAGCCTTCAACTATGAGCAATCATTGTTCTTAAAGGTGAAAGCACTTATTTTTCTGAGTTGAAATAAAAGTAGAAAACTGGAAAATACAGGTATATAGAGGTAAAAACCTTTAGAACTTATAATGCTAAGATTTCATAAATAGTTAAGAAATAGGCTATTAGAAGAATTCTCTACTCTGTAGAAGACCATAATCACAGTTGTGAAGTTATCTCTGAAATGTCACCATTTTCTGAGTCAAAAGAGACCTGACTAACAACACCTGAAACACTCGAAGTCTGGGGCAGAGATGAGAGAGGAGCAACCATGTAGAAGTTGGGACATGGTTCAGTGGCAGAGCGTGCTTTAGCAAGTGCAAGGTCCCAAGTTTGACCCCATGACCCTAAATCAACAATGGAAGAGAATTAACCAATATGTACAAAGCAAGTAAATGGCAAGACTTCCTGCTCTGTGGGGGAAAAAGAGAAGACTTTTTAATAACTCAGAATTCTGGGGTATGAAAGGCCACCTGGATAAGTTTCTTAGACGATGCTCCCCCACTTTTGGGGTGGCTGTTGTTCTTTTGTTTTGTTTGAGACAGTGTCTCATTATGTAGGTCCAGTTACCCTGGAAATCACAGAAATCAACCTGCTGGGATTAATGGTATGTGCCACCATACCCAGTGTATTCTCCATTCTAATTAAAGCTATCTATCCCCAGCAAATGTTAGCCGAGCACTTATTTGGCAGAGAATGCTTCTGTGTGGTTACACATTGCTACCGACACACTTCTGCAGCTGTCGGTGTCTATACAAGTAACTTCCTGTGCCACCCATAAAACAAAACTAGCTATCATCACTGCCACCATGAGCTCATTGTTTTTAGTCATCTTTGGAAAAGGCTTAACCCATTCATTTTCTAATGCTCCTCAAACACAGAAATAAGCTTGCCATGTGTAAGCAAGCTATCACCACAACAGACCTCAGAACCCAGCCCAAGCTACTCTGCCTGCAAAATCTCAAACCAGACTGAGCCAAGACTAAGAAGTGAAAATGACAGATTAGAGCAAGAAACTCAGTAGTCAATTATGACCCAAAGGAGAAATAATATTCAAAGCTTTCACAAGTTCAATTTTTGAGGGATGTGCTTCTTTACATTCAAAACCTTGAGTCAGACTTGATGAAATGACTTTACTTTCTAAGGCCATGAGTATCATATTGATAATCACAATCAATCAGTGGGCTCACCCATCTACATGGTTGCTCCTTAAGGCACGTGATTCTCAAAGGTAACATGGAATATCTGCAACACTGTTCTTGTCAAAAAGCAATCCCTGCACCTATCTGTAGCTGCTAGGGCTTAGTAACTACTCTGAGAAGAATTCTAACAGTGCCTAAGAATACAAACCCATGTTTCCCACAGAAGTGGACAGCTTGAACACCTTACTAACAAAGACTTTTGACAAAAGGGAACTCCCCAGGGTACATGTGGGCCCAAGAAAGACTTTACCTTTGTGAGTGGGAGCAGAGAGTGCTATGGGAGCGAACTCTTCCAGAAGGTCAGCAGTGGGGTTAGAGAGCAGAGAGCAGTCAAGCAGGGAGTCGTCCCCAGTGAGAGAGTCTGAGTCCAGTCATCATCATCCCCGAAACAGCAGCATTAAACAGCACACAACAACATTGTGAGGTTATATCTTGACTTTTAAATTATTGCACTTATAGGCCATATGTATAAGCCAAGGTGCAGAAAGAAAATCAAAAGAAACATGTTAAGCTCTCTGAACCTCTAACCACAAAAACATGTATCCTAGATTCTACTTGATAGTAAAGATAAATGCAAGATTTTTGGTTCAGAAGCTGCTGGAAATGTCAATATAACTTGACAACCCAGTCTCAGCAAATAGCATTGGAAAAAGGATGTTGTAACAAGAGTTCCACTTAATGTTTCCCCACTCAGGAGGAAAGTTCTTCTTAGTGAAGTGTGGAAACTGATCAGGAAGGAACCCGCCATGACTCCCAGGTTCCCATGCAAAATGCCTCTTTCTAGTAGTCTTTAAATTTGAATTCTCCTTTGGACGTAGTGTATTCTTCCATGTAAAGAACTGGGGAAGGTAGAATTCAGAGATGAATCATTTGAGCAGGGAGTTTCTCCAAGTGAGGGAAAACAAGAGGAACCACATTGCCTTTGGGGTGACTTTTCCCCCCATGCATTAGTTTATTAGCTCCCGAAGGCAGAGAATCAGACAATCTTATCAAGGTAATTAGGACTCATGGAAAATGAATACAATCAGATTTGTTTGGGCATGGCTAAGGACTTGTACAAAGACTGAAATTTTCAATTAAGAGCGAAAGCGAAACTGGATCCCAGGACAATTCCAATTTTGCCTACAAGCGAAAAGAAAATCACCTTTAGATGGAAGCCCTGATCTGGAAAAGAATATCAACATCAGGAGATGAGCTGAATAGATCCGGACGCCAGCACTGTGTATGCTGAGGTGGAGGACATGTCTGCTTAACAGCTGCAAGGGTTAAGGCAGCCATTTATCGAGCAGACTTGTGCTAAAGAGGTAGGGGGAACCTGACACCAGTGAAGAGAATCTTTTTTTCTCTCTCTGGTGTTGGGGATTGATTGATATGCAAGTACTTGGTCACTGAGCTATATCTCCAGGTCTGGAAAAAGAATATTGAATAATAAAATTCTGTATTCAGAGCAAGTCCAGGAATCACTCTTAAGAAAACTGTGGCTCCAAACAGTACTCAGTTATCTAGCACAAGAACACACTCAGCATTTAGAAGCCAGGACTGTAAGAACAATTCATGGCATCCACTGTAGAAGCAACCAGAGTGCAGGTGAACATCTGTCACAGTTGGGAAGAACCGCTCTGAGGTTACTGCACGGCCAGCTCTGCAGCTACATGACCCTGACTGACCTGTGCGGTTTGAGGTCACAGACTCCGTCTGAGATGGGAGGCGCTGAGCAACAGGCGGCTCCAGTCCAGGTATGAGACTCTCAACAGCAACATCAGCCTTTTCTTTTGTATGAGGGGCATTAACAGTGGAGAGGAAAGGGTAAGGAAAGGAAGAAGTCAGATGCTGCTCAGGAAAACCTGTGAAGGCTTGCTTCCCAAGTCTGAGGTGAGCTGCAGAGCACAGCCTGTGACCTTACTTCTGCACTGTCTGGACTTCGATAATGGAGCATGCATGCACAAGGCTAGTACCAGGAAGGTGCAGTGATCACCAGTTCCTATGAGTAAGTGCGGGATACTAACAACTTTTAATACCAGGAAGGTGCAGTGATCACCAGTTCCTATGAGTAAGTGCGGGATACTAACAACTTTTAAGCAGCAAATTCTTCCATTCAGAAAAGATTGGATACAGACAGGCACTGGTGACTCACACCTGTAATTCAACAACTACAGAGGCTGAGACAAGAGGGCTGCCATGAGTTTGAGGCCAGCCTGGCCACACAGTGATGCCCTACTTCAAAAAGCCAACAACGACCAAAATGGCTTCATTCATTTGTTTGGGCAGTTTTACCCTTTTAATGGGCCAGCCTTGGTGTAAACATCCTCATCTCATGCAGAGCCTCAAGTGGACCTCACCCCATCCCATGATAGCAGGGAAGTGCTCTGCACACTGTGATGACTCACAGATGGAGGCCTACCTTCGGTGAGACCATGGCATTCCTGAGTGCTAGCATTTCTTGTCTAAAGCCTAACGACTGAACCCTCCAGGAATCCAGACAATTTAAAGCTTTTGCTTATATAGCATAAAAAATACAACAAACTAAGCAGACTAAGCCACTGCGCTGGACTACCATGGGGCTGAACAGCCAGGCAGACTTCCTGGTGTAGGTATTTGTTACAAGCATTAACTTTCTACAGAAGAATCAGCTCAAGTCTATTTAAAGTTCAGGGACGCTCCTAGGGACAATTAGAAAACATCTTTTTTCCACTCTTCTTCCTTAGTCACAAGAAATTTACTGAGAAATAATAGGTCATCAATAAAGAACAGTTAGTTACAGGCTGTACACATGGAAAGTAAAAAAAAAAAAACACTCCATTTGGACGAACAGAAGCAGAGCTAACAGCATTGCTTCAAACCATGCACAAGCACTACAGAGGCCTGAGGGCGCTTCTGCCCTCCCCCGCTTCCCCACGCCAGAGCTACCCCCCAAAACACACACATATATAGCAGGCATGATTGAAGAAACAGACAGGGATTTTACCAATCACAGCATCAGAGGTGCTGCCGAAAGGATCTGTCATAGGCAAGAGGTCAGGGAGCAGAAGAGAAGTATCAGGAGATTTGAGTCCCTCGATTAGTTTTTCTAGGTTGGGAAAGAGGTAAAGAAAAGGCAAAAAATGCAATGAAATCATAAAGCAAGTGGATCATTTTCTGTTCCATGAAAACACACTTTAGAGCTCCCCACTTTAAAAAGAGGCACCATGAAAACATAGACCAATAGTATCTTGCTAACAATAAGCTTTTCCAGAGCCAGCAAGATGGTTCAGTGGGTAAAAAGTGTTTGCTACCACACATGAAAAACTGAGTTCAATTCCAAGGACCCACCCAGACTTCTACAAGTGACCATCTGACTTCCACATATGCATCACATACATACAAAACAAAATAAATAAATAGATGTAATTTTAAAAAGCCCCTCCCAAGACCTTCCAAATGAGAAGGTTAAAAGGCTACTTCCCCAGGTAAAGCAGAACTCAAGGCTCACCAGGGTGAGGGAGGCCCTTGGGTCTGTTTATTGATTGTTTTCATTTGAAGCATAACATATAATAACCATCACCAATTTTAAATGTGTACAACATGGTGAATGTTGGCAAATTCATACATTCGTGTAATCTCCACTGAAGTAATGATATAGACCATTTCTAACCCTTTCAGACACCTGTACCCTTTACAGTAAATGCTTTCTTTTCAGCACAGACACTGGCAACAACAGGCCTCTCCGTACATATAGTTTTGCCATTTCCAGATTGCCACTTCCCCCCAATTTTTAAATACATGGTCTCATATAGCCCAGGCTGGCCTTGAACTTGTTATGTAGCCAACAACGACAGTGAACTTCTAATCCTCCTGCCTCTACCTCCTTAGTGCTGGGATTGTAGGCACTACATGATGCTAAGATTGAACTCAGAACCTCAAACTTGCTAGGTAAGCACTCTACCAAGGGAGCTAAATTCCAAGCTCCAGATTTTCCATTGTATTTTCTGCCCTTGTTGTTTAGTTGGTTTTGTTTGTTTATTTGTTTTTTAAAGGAAGTTTCAAGCCGGGCAGTAGTGGCACATACCTTTAGTCCCAGCACTTAGGAGGAAGAGGCAGGTGGATCTCTGTGAGTTTGAGGCCAGCCTGGTCTACAAAAGAAGTTCAAGGACAGCCAGAGCTACACAGAGAAACCCTGTCTAAAAAACAAGAGAGAGGCAGGGAGGAGAGTGGGAGGGAGGGAGGAGGAGCCAGTTAGTCTTTGCTGGTGGTTGTGTCAGGGGAGCAGAAGGTGGCAACTGACTTCAGAAGATCTGCCCACCAAAACCCAAGGCACTGGGGGGTGAATCTCGGATAGGAAAGGCCCTGATGGCTTCAGCTCCAGAATGTCTCTTGTTACTGCTGTTTGCAATTGCCATTTTTCTCTGGTATCTGGCATGGTTTGAATGGGTGTGTGGGGAGGTCCCTGCTGCCTTTAATGCAGAGTGACTATCTCATGGACATACCCTGTTCCACTGGGCATTTTTACCTGTGGATTATTATGAAGCTGTACTGTTTAAGTGAAATAAAGACTTTATACAATAACAATGTTAATTTAAATAGATTTTTGATGATTAAATATTATTAATAAATACAGTAAGGGATTATGATAAAGGTTAGTTTAGAGGAAAAAATTAATATAGGCAAATGTAGGATATAGTGTTGACCCCACCCCTGATAAAGTAGAGGCTATAGAGCGTAGAAAATAAGAACAAAGAAGGGTCATGCAGCTGGGACTAACAGTTTCTCTTGAGGAGCCATATAGACTATGGTTTACTTAGGTTAATGATGAAGAAAAACAATTGTGTTCCAGAAGCTAGGCTAGCTCAAGTTGGGAGATGTGTTCCCAGGTTTCAGTGTGTATCATAGCAAAAACGAAGCTTTAAATAATGACTTAAGGTTAGGTTAAGTTAGCCAGGCGTTGATGGTGCATGCCTTTAATCCCAGCACTTGTGAGGCAGAGGCAGGCGGATCTCTGTGAGTTCAAGGCCAGCCTGGTCTACAGAGCAAGTTCCAGGACAGCATCCAAAACAATACAGAGAACCCTCTCTCGAAACCCCCTCCAAAAAGGTTAGGTTTTTGTTAATGGTTTTGAGGTAGAAAATCTTGGGGAACAATTTAAAGTTTAGAAAGGCACAATGAGGGACTCACTGAGGTCAAGTAACAAGAACCATGACAGCCTTGTTGTTATTATTAGCTGATGTGCCTTTCTTGCTAGGATGGGCTGATGATCAAAAGTGATGATTAATCCCTTGTATCCATTTCTGCCCTCAGCTTCCTGACATAAAAAGTATTGATGAATGGGTACACACCCTGAGGATTTAAAGTAGAACTGATTGATTGCTTTTCACATATAAATGTTTAGATTTGTGATTCTTTTAAGAATTTTTATAAGATTACCTTTTGAGTATAATAAAGAGATTAACTCTTTCTTTGTAACTGTAAAATGCAGCTTACCAGTAAAAGAACTGGCTGAGAAAATACCTTGTTTGCTTTTACTCTGTTAATCTATAACAAGCTGCTTGGAATTGAATGTATGTGGATTCTTAGAGATAATTTGTTTTTCACCTGTAATACGCAAAATGTTTAATCATGTAAGGGACATAGGAAATACGATGTTATTTACTTGTATTCATTGTAATCATTCACTTGAAAAATAGAATATAACCACATTGTAATTTTTATACTACTGGGGTAAATAAGCTACAAGGGAACAATTAATGGCACACTGAAGGGATACATCTGGATGGAGGTAAGAAAAGAAACACATGAGAGAGATGATAGAAATACCCTGAAGATGCATGCGTGCGTGCGTGCGTGCGTGAGTGCGTGAGTGCGTGCATGTTTCCCTTTTTTATCGGCCCCACAGAGTTAAGTTTTGCCCTACTTGTGGTCTCCAGAGAATTAAGTTTTACTCCCTCAGCTTTCCCTCAATCCCGACCCACTGAAGGCTGGTCCCCACAGAAGCCGGTTTCTCTTTGCAATCCTGGCTGTCCCAGAATGTGCTATGTAGACCAGGCTAGCCTGAAACTCACAGAGATCTGCCTGCCCATGTTTCCCAACTGCAGTGATTAAAGGCATTTGCAACTACACCTGGGCCAGATTCTCTGATCTGAAAATAGAACCATGCAGCTTTACTTGTGCTGGAGTTCCTACTCTTAGCACAATCCTGACAATCTTCGCAGTTGCAGCCTAGACATAGTAGCAGTGCTACTATGTTGCACTGCTGAGCTGTGTTTCACAGTGTGGAGGTGCCAGTTTTGATCCAGTTCCCAGTTGACAGACATTTATTTTTTTCTATTATTCCTTTGTTAACATTTGCATAGGTATGGATTCATTGTCCTTACTTTTCAACCTATTTTTATTTAAATTTGCACTTAGAAACAGCTTATAATTCAACAAAACCAATTCAGTCTCAGGCAAGACCCTTCACCAATGTCCTGCTGCCTGCTGACCTTCAGACTTACCTATGATTATGGAACAAGCATTTAGAAGCTCCTCACTCAAATATTAAAAGTGAGGTAAAAGCCTAGCATCTTGCTTTTGTTTGTGTTTGTTTTATTTTGGGTCAGAATCTTATTAGCTTTGAACATAAGCACACTAATCGCTGAATGAGTGCCTATCTAAAATTAGTGAGACAAGGTTGATTAGCCCTAAATATACCTAATCTACCTCATCCTACTTCAGGCCTGAGGCACAAACATAACAATATGTCTATGTGACATATTGTGAAGGTGTTTCACTGTTCAAATCCATGAAAAGCCTCTAGAAATCTCTCCATCATCTTCCTGCAGCTGAAGTTCCCATGTTCCAGAAACAGAGGTCACCTTGTAATGAGATCACTCCTAAATGGGAGCAATTACCCCACGATGTAAACTGAGGTTGTCCCTGTCCCCACCCAAGCAGGAATGATCACCTGAGGGGAACCAGATTGGCCCCCCAAGTACTGAAGATGGTGAGCAGCCAGATTACAGTTTGGCCAAGCCTTCTGGCTGGGCACATTCTCACCCTACTCCAGTGTGTCCTCTGTCTGGATCTAAGGCTCATGTCAATGTCCTGATGCTGGGCTGGGAAACCCAACCTCCACCTTCTCAACAAGGCCTCAGCGACTCAAATAATTTGCCTTTTTAAGGGTGAGTGGCAGGACCTAATTTCTTGGGGACACTGTCTACTGCCTACCCCCATCAGACTCCTGGCCTAGGATTCTGGTTACAGCTTCATCTTAGGAGATTCACTTGACCCCCAATTGATAGGTATTTGGGCATGCTTAGGAGGAGTGGTCTTGCTGGAGGAAGTATTTTACTGGATGGTCTTGAAGGTTTCAAAAGACTTGCCATTTTCTCTCTCTGCTTCCCATCTGTGGTTTGACATGTGAGTCCCCAGCTCTCAGAGTCTAGTTCTAGTTGCCATGCCTGCTTGCTGCCATGATCCCTCCCTGCCTTAATAGTAATGAACTCCAACCCTCTGGAACTGTAAGCCCAAAATAAGCTTTCTTCTATGCATTGCCTTGGTCATGATGTTTTATCACAGCAACAAGAAAGTAATCAATACAGTTTTGTGGCTTTTGAAAAGTGTGACTTGCTCAATATAGAGCAAACAAACCCTGTAAGACTAATAATGAGAAATGCTGTTTTTAAATTTTAGTCACTTTATGGAATGAAAGAAACATTGATTACTCTGATGAAATCATTACACACTGTATAAATGAACTGAAATGTCATGCTGAACCTAGTTCATAAACAGGATTACTATCGACCAATTAAGACTAAAAATAGAGCCAGGTATGATGATACAAGCCGGTAGGCTTAGCACTTGGGAAGTAGAGGCAACAGGCTCAAAAATTAAAGGCCAGCTTGGGTTGCAGAAATCTGTCTCAACAAAACACCTAAAATAAAAATAGAAAATAAAAAATAAAATCTAGTCTCAAACACATTCTTTATTTTTAGAAATACTCTTCTTTACATATCCATCTTCCTTTTTCCCTTACCCTCCCATCCTCCCACACTTCCCACCGACCCCCCTAATGATCACTTGGTTGTGTTAATTTGATTTAAACCCCCAAAAGCAAGACTATCTAAATGCTAGCTATGTTTGATATAAACCTTATTTTAAGAAATAAATGAATTTACTGACTTAGCATTCTGAATTAGTACAGCATTTCTAATACCAAGTAAAATAACAAAAGTCTGTTACAGATCAACATGGACTTGAATTATTGCTATTGGGAAGGTAACATAAGGGGGGAAAGGACAGTGTTGTTGGGGACTGTCATCATCTCTGCACTTTCACAATGAGAAATAAATATATTTTAACACACAAAAAAATAAAAAAATAAAATCTAGTCACTCTAAATAGTTCCTAAGAGAACAGACAGTAAACTGCCTGCAGCATCATCAAGTCAGAATCAGAGCAGGCACCATGCCCCGTTCTCACTCCACTTTAGAGATTGTAACTACAGGAAGACAATTTCTAAAATAAGGCACTTACAATGAATGACCTTGAGCTTTTCAATATCACAGGGCATGAACTAGAAATGAAGAAGATATCAAGCCAAAAGGGGAGAGGGCTACCCATTCTGACACACAGCTCCTCTTGCCTGTCTTTTTCAAGAAAAGATAGAGGGTCATACAACCAAGAAGGACTTTCAAAAGCCCTTCAACTCCATGAAGTAGCACTTGTAGGGCAGCTAATATGTGCTCTTTTAGTCTTGTAGAGCTCTAGAATCAAGAGTTCAGAGCCGAAGAGGTAATGTCAGAATTGTTTTCTCAAACCTTTACGTAGGGTGGGAAAGTATGTAAAAGAAATGGTACAGTCTCTCTGAAAGACAGGGTGATGGTTTCTCAAAACTTAAAAATAGAATTACCATATGACCTGGCAAAAGAAGAAAGCCCAGTCACAAAGAGATGCCAGCACTAAGTTCTCAGCAGCAGCATCCACAGAGGGAAGCAGCTCAAGTGCCCATCAAAGGAAAACTAGACAAGCAGCACGTGGTCTTCCACACAGTGGAATACTAACCTTAAAAATGAAGGAAATTAGCTGGGCAGTGGTGGCACACACCTTAATCCAAGCACTCGGGGGACAGAGGCAGGCAGATTTCTAAATTCAAGGCCAGCCTGGTTTACAGAATGAGTTCTAGGACAGTAAAGGCTGTTATAATTTTTAAAAGTAGGACAGGAGAGACTGTAAGCAAGCCACAGTTAAATATTTTCCTTTATAGAGTTGCTGCAGTCGTGGCGTCTTTTCACAGAAACAGAACCCCTAAGACAGGTACTTTGGAAACAAAATAAAAGTCCTACAAACAAACCACATTTCTCTAATGCCCTTTCACCCACAGCCTGATAATTCGTAACCAGAAAGTCTATTTCAGTGGCTCTCAATTGAGTGAAAGTTAAAGGTTGAAAAAGCACAAGTAAGCAAGAGAAAAATATGACTTCATAACTAAGCTTTCCCAGTTGGGAATACAAACCTACAATTGAGGTCAGAAAAGCATTTCTCATCTTTATAGTAAGTTAAAGTTACATAGCAATGCCAAACACAGTTTCAATAGACACTCCTTCATATTTCCAAAGGAAAGTGTTACTATTTCAAGTTTCTAGGATATGCAATTCTGAATTCAAGTGATCAGATCACAGTCATCTAGTACTACATGTCCATGGTGATAACCAGGCTTTTAAGCTCAAATCCATTTTTATACCCCCTAACCAACACCTTCAGTCAAAGGCTTTACCGATTTCAAGTTACAAAACCCAAGGACAAAAGCACTGCCTACAACTTGGGGGATTTGATAAGGAAGAAGAAGGTCTCATTTGCCAGCTCACAGGTAAGGACTTGACATCACTACCACTCACCATTCAGGAGATCTGTAAGATCAAGGAACCTTTTAGAAGAAAAGTCACTCACAAGGCATGGCTTCTATCCACTAAGACTCCTAGATTCTTACCATGGGGACCACAGACAGGGGAAGATAAGCAAACACTGCTCCCTCATGGGGCCTGGTGACTAAAGGGGGCTGAGTACCTGCAGTGTGTTCAGGGGCCAGACACTGAACACGAGCTCTTGGCTCACTGCACATTTCAATTGCTAAAGGAGGGCCTTGAAGGATGAATGGAGCTGGGAGTCTATTGAGCCTCACCACCTCTTTCACCAGGGTCTGGCAACTTGTCGGCACCATGAGCTGTGCCTTCTTTATTCACTCTCAGCATGGGTGGATGGTTTGGGTTCTCACAGGCACAGGTGGGGGCAGGCTGTGAACATCAATCTAGTGTCTAGGAGGTGGGAACAGGAACGGAGGCTGAATGGAGGCTAACAGCCTCAAGTTTAATTTCATCTATCCATCTGACCTGCCAAATATTTAGACCGCCACTATGTGACCCCGCCACTGACAATGAAGCACTGAAGCAGACATCCTAACACGTGTCATGAGAACAAAGCCAGGAGGGATGACTGACGGTGCCTTTATACCACACAGGGCCTCTCTGACACAGGAGTGGAGCTGAAGGAGAAGCTTCCCAGGTGTTAATACAATACTGGCAAGTGCTAAGGCTCCAAGGTAGAAATGAATTTAACTTGTAGAAAGAAAGACAAGACTTAAGTCTGGTTTTGTATTCAGTGATGCAGGAATTCATTTTACATTTTTAGCAAATGAAATTGGCCAAACAGATCAGAAAACAAAACCCTGAAATTCTTTATTAAAACATCTCATATGAATGGATTTTCCACTAAAAACCAAGAGAGATCATAGCTTCCTTGGTGTGGTAGTTTTTGAATGAAAATGGCCCTCATAGGCCCATAGGGAGTGGCTCTATTAGGTGGTGTGGCACCGTTGGAGTAGATGTAACATTTTTGAAGGAAATATGTCACATTGGTTGCTAATTGTTGCTTGATAAATAAAAGACCCAGAGACTGGTTCAAGTTTCAAGCTGAAGATCAGAAAAGCAAAGCAGCTGGTTACTAGCTCTTACTCTACCTCAGAATGAAGGGCAGTCCTAGCTCCACCAAACCTCTCCTCAGTGTGGCTGGAGAATGAATGCTTGACACTGACCATGGAAGACCCTGCTCCTATCTTTTAGACCCCTCTGGTGCTGGGATTAAAGGCATGTGATCCTAGGTGCTGAGATCATCTTTGTGTGAGCTGTTTCTCTTTAGGATTAGACCAATCTTGTGTAGATTTAGGTGGCTTTGCACTCACAGAGATCCACTTATCTCTTAATCCTGAAGCCTAGGATTAAAGGTGTGTACCACCACCTCCTAGCTTCTGGCTACTGGGATTAAAGGTGTGTATCAAAACTGACTGATCTCTATATCTTGAGGCTGACTTTGCTTTCTGAATCCTCAGGCAAGCTTTAACAAATCATAAGTAATATATTACCACACTTAGCTACAGAACCATCTTTCCAGCCCCTCCCTCTCAATCTTGAGGCGGCCGATCAAATATCTTTCACCACTGGGAGAAAAGAAAACCTAAGCAGATTCTGTCAGATGAAGCTCAAGACTTGGAAGACATAAAAATTGGGATGAAGCAAAACAGCTGCCAGATGTTTCTAAGGAGTCAGATTTAGTTGCTTTTCCACAAAAGGAGACCTCACTCACACCATCCACAATTCTGTCCCCTGAAAAGGATACGGGGAAGTGAACAGGAAGCAGCCTTTAGCATCCACCAAGTCCAGATGAGTGCATCCACTCATCATTTTAAAAGTCACTCCAATGGGAACTAACCAGCTTCATTTTCTAGCTGCTTCCTAAGAATCAATAATAGGGACACAGGAAAGATAATGGAACTCCAGTAGTCACTTCCTTCACTGATGGGGAGTCTGGCCCAGAGGCTTCAGGTAATGGCAGAACCCCATATCAACTTTCATTATATATTATTGTATTATAAAGTAATAAAGTACTGACATCAAATGGGAACCAGATGGGTCATCCACAGCTCTACCATCACAGCTGGCAATTACGTATACCTACTCTTTATCATATGTTTATGGTTTCTATTACTGTACTTAAATCATATTGGACTATACATAGGCCTCCCAAATTATCATAAACACAAACCAGATATGGAGGTGCATGCCTATAATCTGGGTACTTGGGAGGTAACAGCAGGAAGATCAATAGCTAAAGGTCATCCTTGGCTACACAGCAAGGTAGAGACCAGCTTGGCTTCAGTGAAAACCTTGTCCACACTCCCCCAAAATATACTAACAATAATTTTATTAAGCATGGTAAAAAAATACTGATATGATTCAGAACACAAGTGGTGTAACCTGAAGTGATTTATTCTTTGTAAGAGTTAGTACCCTCCAAAATAAGTTTGTCTATCTCTTTAAAAATAATTTATCTTTATTTTATGTGCATTGCTATTTTTGCCTGCATATATGTCTATGTGAGAGTATCAGATCTTAGAGTTACCGACAGTTGTTAGCTACCATGTGGGTGCTGAGGATTGAACCTGGGTCTTCTGGTCCAGCAGTCGGTGCTCTTAACCACTGAGTCATTACTCCAGCCCCAAGTTTGTCTATGTTACTAAGAAACTTAAAATATACAACAGCATCCAATTACTGGGACTTAGGATTCAGGTCCTTGCCACCAAGAGCTTAAAGTAGGTCTCCCCAGAGGCCCTGGAGGTCCTGGGATAGAAGACTCAAGCTGCTAGTGCTAAAATGAGTCCTATGTACCTACCTGGAGCATCAGGTACTTGAAGAGGAATGAAAGGATCAGACACACTTAGAAGTGGGATGCCAGAGTCCACAGCCTGCCCACCCTTCCTTTTTTCAGCTGGGTTAGGTGGAGGGGAAAGATCAGGAGAGAAAAATGAGAAAAGCAGAAAATATCAAGTAAATATTGATACATTTGCCATCTATTCATACAAGAGTCAAATAACAGAGAATACACAAATTTAGACAGAAAGGAGGGGGTGAATGGAAATAACCCAACTAATAGAAAAGCACCTATAAGTGCTTTCAAGGGGTTCTGTAACACACCATGAGATGCAGTGAGGTAGATACAGCAGGACAAGCATGTGTTTGAACTTGCCTTTTTTCTCATTTTAGTACTCAGTTTGATAATTAGAATCTCAATCTGAAAGTCAGGTATGGTAATGTACACTGTAGTTTTTGCATTCTAGAAGCTGAGGCCGAAAGATCTATGTACATAGTGAGTCCTGTACCCAGCTTCCACAACAAGCACGCTTTCTGAAACAGCAGCACAGCACCACCCACACCAACACTGTGACCTGAACTATTTGATTTTCTCTTGCACCCTGCTAGAGTTTGCATTTGAGATGCCCGCCAAAGTCCTGCAATGGTTATAGTTAACTGTCAACTTGCATAACCTAGAATCACCTGGAAGATGGGCATCAGACATGTCTGTGGAGGAATATCTTGATTATATAATTAAGGTGGGAAAACCTACCCTGACTGTGAGTGGCGCCACTTCTTTGGCCCGGCCCTGGACTGAGTGAAAAGGAGAGTAAGCTACACACTAGCATCCCTGTAAGATGCTGCAGCAGTTGTGAAGTGGGTGTGCTTCTTCTTAATTTTTTTTTATCTCTGATCTATTTGGTATGTGTCCATGTACATGTATGCATGTGGAGGTCAGAACACTTGGAGGTTGGTTCTCTCCTTCCATCATGTGTTTTCTAGGGATAAAATTCAGGTAATTACATTTGGTAGCAAGTCCCCTTACCTACGCCCCTTTACATATTTTTCTTTTCTTTATTATGGTATGTGTACAGTGTGTTGTGGGGTGTGTGTATATATGTGGGTGTGTGTATGTATGTGTATGTGTATGTCTGTGGTGTGTCTGTGCAGGCATGTGTGTGTATGTGTGATGTGTCTGTGTAGGCATATGTGTACAGTGTGTGTGTGTATGTGTGATGTGCCTGTGTGTATGATGTGTTCGTGTGTGTGATGTGTCTGCAGACATGTGTGTACAGTGTGTTTGTGGAGTCAGTTATCTTCTTCCATCTTCAGGTTCCAGGATGGAACCCAGTTTTCCAGACTTTCATGGCAAGCACCTGTATGTGCTGGCCATCTTCCCAGCCTGCAGGGTACACTCTTTGACATTATTCTGTCCACCCTGAATCTTATCTCTTCTGACAGCAGTTGACTTGACTCTTCCTTCCCAGCTTACTTCCCTCTGAGAGTTTGATCCCCCAGTTTTTTGCTCTCTCCCTATTTTTTATGATCCTATGTTCTTTTGACAGATTCCATCACTGTCACAAGAGCCATACCTATGTCCTATCCAATGGCAGTTCCTCAGGGTCAACAAAGTATAGTCTGTGACATAGGATAATGTGAAAGGCAAAGATGGCATCATTAGATGAACTAGCAACACCCCAGGACCTGCTGCTTCACTCACACTCATAGCTGGTACTACTTCCACTGCAGAAACCACCAACATGAAGGAATCCAGACCCTGAAGCCCTGATGTGAGAACAAGGGCATATTTGGCCCTTCCTTGGGCTGGCAGGGGCTGATCCTAGGCAGATCAGATCTATAAGCGTCAATGGCAGCAGGGAGAGACTGGGGTATGGAGGTCCTGAAGTGACAGGAAGTACAGGGAGCTACAGTGGTAGCCTCACCAAGGTAGATCAGCGTAGGAAAGTGTCTTAATGTTTCTACTGCTGTGATGAAACATCATGACAAAGAGCAAGTTGAGAAGAAAAGGGCTTATTTGGTTTAAACTTCAGCATTGCTGTTCATCACTGAAAGAAGACAGGAACTCAAAATAGAGCAGAATCCTGGATGCAGAGGTCATGGAGGGCAGCTGTTTACTGGCTAGCTTCCATGGCTTGCTTAGACTGCCTTCTTATAGAACCCAGGATGAACAGCCCAGGGATGGTACCACCCAAAATGGGCTGGTCCCTCCTGCACTGATCACTAAATGAGAAAATGCCTTACAGCTGGATCTTACCAAGGCCTTTCTTCAGCTGAGGTTCCTTCCTCGGATGACTCGCTAGCTTGTGCCAAGTTGACACACAAAACCATTCAGTACAGAAAGTGTAGCAAGGGTGCAGGAGCTTAGGAGGCACCTGCCACCATGTGGGTTTTGAGGCTCAAACTCAGGTGGTTCTGCTTGGTGGTAAGTGCCTTTATCCACTGAGCCACCTCACTATCCCATGCCAGACTTTGTTGGTGGTGCATGCCTTTAATCCCAGCACTTGGGAGGCAGAGGCAGGCGGATCTCTGTGAGTTCAAGGCCAGCCTGCTCTACAGAGCGAGTTCCATTACAGCCTCTAAAACAATACAGAGAAACCCTGTCTCGAAAAACCAAAAAAAAAAAAAAAAGAGAAGAAACAGATAAGCAGGTTTTAAAATATACAGATGGACATCACAGCATCACAATCTTAAACCAAAACCTAAAATTGTACAAACTTGTGGTCACATGTATTTTGGTGAGGAAGATGTATAAACTTCATTAGATTCACAAAGATGTCTGTGACCCTACAAAAGTTCAGTGCAGACTGTGCACTGTGGTGGTTTGAATGAGAACAGCCCCATAGGCACATACATTTGAATGCTCAGTCCCCAATTGGTGAAACTGTTGCGAAGGCTTAGGAAGTGCGGCTTTTTTTTGGAGAAGGTGTGTCACTGATGGTGGACTTGGAAGTTTCAAAAGTCACTCCAGGCTCAGTGTTTCTCTGCCACTGCTTACAGATCAGGATGTAAAACATTTAGTTACTGCTTCAGGAACATGCCTGTCTTCTTCCCACCATGATAACCATGGACTAACCCTATAAAACTGTAAGCAAGTCTCCAATCAAATTCCTTTTTGTATAAGAGTTGTCTTGATCATGATGTCTCTTCACAACAATAGAACAGTGACTAAGGCATACATCAAGATGAAGTTACTATGTTATATCTAGGTGATGAGATCATGGATGATCTGGATTGTTTCTATACAAATCTGTAACTTTTATATGATAAATACGGATAATTTTTTACTAACAATGAGGAAACCAAGTCTCAATGCTTTGATTTTTAAAAATGCACGTGTACATATTTAAATAGACTAGTAAAATATCAAGTATAATACAGTTTCTAAATCTTAGACTATTTTTTTTTCCAGACAGGGTTTCTCTGTATTGTTTTGGAGGCTATCGGTCCAGCCCAGCCTCGAACTCACAGAGATCCGCCTGCCTCTGCCTCCCGAGTGCTGGGATTAAAGGTGTGCGCCACCACCGCCCGGCTTTTCTTAGACTATTTTAAGTCATCCCAAAGGCCCTAAGAAATAACAAAACCTTGCCAGAGCACCGATCATTAAATTAGAAATTTCTACATAACGCACATCCTGAACTAGGTTGGGCGATTCCTACATATTCACCAGATCACTCCATCACTTGAGTTCAAAGTGATTTTAGATGGTTCCTAAATGTTTTTTTTACTGGACAACTACTGAATGAAGCAAAGTGATGAGTTACTATCAGAAGCTGGGTTCTTTGTATGCTAGAGCTCTCCATTCAGTGGAAACCTGAAGGTAACAACAGTGAGCTTCAGGTCTCAGGCATGTGTCACACTCACCAGTTCCAGCAGAAAATGAGGACGTGGCAAAAGCATCTCCTTGCGTTGACTGGAAGCCTGGGATCAAACTCTCTGCGGAGCCACCAAGCTTCTCAGGAAGCTTTCCTAGAGGGACAAAATACCACTTGGTTCATCCTTGTAGATTCCTGGGTACATAGACACATAGTAAGGTGAAGAACACTCTGGTTTGACTCTTCTTACCACATTTATGGCAAAACCTTTACCACCAAAAAGTCCTTGTCTGTGCTGATGCTCAAGACCGTTTTCCAAGCTGATGGAATGGCAGTAAGAGAACTGCTGAAGGCTATGAAGAACAAGTATAACAGCAGGACTACATGAAAGCTGACAACCAGACCAAAATCAAAAATAGGCAAAAGAGTTAAAAAAATCCAAAAAAAAAAACCTCCTCTGGGGCAGGACCAGAGAGAAGAGATGGTTCATCAGTTCAGAGTCCATACTCTTGTGCTTCCAGAGTACCAAAGTTCAATCCCCAGTACCTACATCAGGCAGCGCACAACTGCCTGTAACTCAACCTCCAGGGATCTGATGTATCTGATTTCTATGCACCTGCACTCAGATGCACATAGTACATATGGACATACACATACACATAATTTAAAAACAAAATATTTTTTTATTTTATTTAATTTATTATGTATACAGAGTTCCACTTGCATGTACACCTGCAGGCCAGAAGAGGGCACCAGATTCATTATAGATGGATGTAAGGCACCATGTGGTGGCTGGGAATTGAACTCAGGACCTCTGGAAGAGCAGTCAATGCTCCTAGCCTCTAAGCCATCTCTCCAGCCCCTAAAAATAAGATCTTAATAAAAGAACCCAATAGCTCATTAATTAGACACAAATATACTAATTTTCAATAATGCATGAAAAAAAATTCTGTTTACAGCACAGAATAAGAAGTGGCAAAGAAAACAATGAAAAGGGCTTGTTAAAGAAAGTCAAACCCTATACTCTGTCTTCTATTTAAAGGGCTGAACCAATCAGCTTTAATCGTAGCACTCAGAAGGCAGAGGGGCAAGTGGATCTCTGTGAATTTAAGGCCATCCTGGTCTACATAGGGAGTTCCAGACCAGCCAGGCTACATAGTGAGATACTGTCTCAAAATAAAATAAAATGGTAAAAAGTATCATTTTAAACATTGCTGTAAAGGAAATCAGTTCATAACATTCATCGGCTCTGCTCATTCTTTTGATCTGTGTTTTTCTCCAACTCAACCTTGGAGAGATTTCCCAGAAGTCTGTGTGGTATGTGTATGTTTGCCTGGTCTGTGTGGATGCACCTGTGTCTGGCTATAGGTATTTTGGATAGAGCCACACTCCTAATTAAATAATCTCCTTTTGATGGTCAGTCAACATGACATAGACTGTTATCAGGACCCAGCATCCTGTGAGGCACACCCTCAGCTACTCTTTCTAGGGCAAGCCTATTGAGGATGAGTGGGACATTTACACTTCTGGAAGCAATCACTCAGTTCCATGAAATTGTCCCAGTTTATGCCACTAAATCTTTTCTAAGTTTCTCCTCTATGCTCACACAGTCCCTCCTGCCTCTCACAGTTGGTCAGCATTTAAGAAAGAATTAGTGCTCTGGAAAACATGAAGATGAAAATCAGTCTGCAAAAATCAACCTGTCCTTTTCAAGACAGGTCCATGCTGACCTTTCCCAAGCATATCCCCCTACAGCTACAGCTAAGACACAGACACACTCAAGTTTAGTCTCAGTCAACTTGTAGCCAAGGACAGAAAAGACTCAGCTTGCTCACCTTCCCCAAGCTTGGCAAAGTCCTTGTTCAGCAACTCTTCAGCTGTGAGTTTGGAGAAGTTGTCATCATCAAAAGGGTTCCATGTTGAACCTTCTGAAGCACTGGAGACATTCTGCTGTGAGGTCCGTGGAGAGCCTGAGGGAGTGGTGGTTGCAGACCTGGGAAAGTTTCCCCCAAGGGTGAGGGACAAGAAACTATAAAAATGCAGAAGGGTCCAAACAATTTTCTCTTACTTATAGCACCAATTCCTTTCTCAATCAAACCATCATTTTCCACAGTGTTTTCTAAAGGACGTCCCATAGAAACTGAAAAGTCTAGTCTTTACAAATACTGTTTCCTTCACTTGAGCTCTCATGAAATCCTGCAGTTTGCCTGTCTCTTGCAAGGCCCTCAGGTTAGGATCCTCAGCAACCTATCCTGAAGTCCATGGATGTAGCACAAGCAACCCTTGCTAGGGCTGATTCCCAGGCCTATCTCAGGTGGTGCTGACCTTTAGGATCTAGAGTGTATATTACTAAACTATCATCACATGTTCAGAATGTTGTTCAGTGGTGGAGTCACTCTATCACAAAGAAAAATTAACAGTCACCACTAACTAACTTTGTATGCCGAGATCACCTACTGTTCCTCACGTCTCTCTTGGATTAAACATGTTTAACTTTAGAGGGCATGGCTTCAAGGAAGCTACGGATCTAAAATGACACTGACTTAACAATGGTCACCAAGACTGACTTTATGTGAAGTACAGAACCAGAAACCCTACCAGATTCATGAAGGTTAGCTAAGCATCTGTCTTTGGAATTCACAAGCCAGGTTGGCCAGACACACTAACACTTCATGCTAAACTATGTGAAGTATGCTTTTAAAAAAAGTCCTAGACAAAATACTGCATGAGAGGAAACAACAAAGTCTGACATGGAGCTAAGGAGTCAAAGCACATCCTCTATGAGAGGGGGAAGCAGCAGCTCCAAAGATGAGCCAAGTCACCTGAATAGACAACACTTGCTGAAGTAGCCACCTCCAAGTGTTGCAGGTCCAATGAGTCGCTGTCAGTACAGGGGTACTTGGTCAAAGGGTTTAGAAAACACTACAGAGCACAGAACAGAAGGGAGAATGGAAACTGAAAAGACAGGATCTGTACCGTGCCCACACTGTGGGCACGTTCGTGGTCTCTTATTAAATATAGACATGCACTGGCACAAACATACTTCCACACCTCCACAAACGTATGCAAAGATCATACAGCAGCAACCCAGAGCAGACCTTGCCCACGTGGTAAGAGCAAACATACTTAGATTTATTAAGACTGGCCTCAGCTGCAGCAGCCTGGAGCAGCTGGGTTGATTTGCTGGCAGGAACCCCAAAGACTGCACTGTGTGTTACATCGCTGAGAATCCTCCTGTGCCCAGCACGTTGGGTTTTGGGGGATGATGGAGGAGTGAGAGATCCAACTTTCTGACCCTGGATGGTTGGAGGTGGAGTTGTCTGAACCTTTGGCTGTTGTCTTGCTGGAGCTTGAATCTGCTAGGGAGACAGGAGTGCAAACCTTCATTATGAACAAACAAAACAGAAGAGGAGGAAACAGAAAAGAAAAACAAATCAACAACCAAGTATAATAACACCTCATTTGTTCATAAAAGATTTGAATGGCTATGATTATCAACAGCACTAGGAAGAAAACCAAGGCATCAACCATCTGAGCTGCATCAGAAACTAACATCGCCAAGGAACTGCCTGGTTCTTATACACACTCAGTTTCCATTAGCTTCAATACACAAGTGAACCAGATGTAATGGAGCTACCAGTCTAGGACTGTAGAAGCCATATTCAGCCTGAAGACCTAGAAGATCTGAGGACAAACAGCACCTCATCAGGAATGCTTCCACAGGACAGGCAATAGATTCTACATTCTATTACACCTAGAAGAGAAGACATACTTCAGCCAAGATGCTTTGGAGCACGACAGTTTCTGCTGAGAGTTGTGGACTCCACCTACACTAAGTAGAGTGAATCAGACAATCCCAGGGTGACTGAAAAACATGGTAGTTCTTGTTTAATGTTGTTAAAGGCCTTCATTTCACTGATGGGAACTTTTCCGTTTCAACCCCACAGCAAAAGTGCATCATTGGCTTAATAGGATTTACTTGCTCAAATCTTCCTTGAGAAATGGCACTGAAGATCAGTAGAAAATACAGTGAGACAGAAGAAAAGTCTTAATTATAATTATGCTAATAGAAGGACTCTTGAGAAGTAGTCCACAGAACAATAAACAAGTGGGAATGTAGTTATGACCATGTAGGTGGTCCTTAGCACAAGTCAGTATCAAGCAAAACAATTTTAAAAGCATTCAGAATGTCACCTAAGCCCTTTCCTTAGTTTTGCTAATCTGGAAATAAAAAGTCTAGATACTGAGTACCTCAGGGACTTAACTATCCCTTCCTTCCAATCCCTTCCCTCAACTGAGAGCTACCTCTCCATACTGAAGCTCAGCTCCTATGTTGTGTCTCTGAAGACAGACATCAAGAATTTAAGAAAACAGGGCATAAAGCTCAGTGGGTCAGGATGCTTACAGCAAAGAAGAGTGTCCTCATGTTGTCCTTAGGAGTTGGAATTTTTTTGAGGCACACTAACTACCTGTGTCTGTATGCCAACCACCACACCAACAAGATGAATGACAGTACAACTATTAAGGTTCTACTGGCAACCAAACTAAGCCAGGAAGGATGACAGCCCACCAGGAAGCAGAGAGCTCTGTGAAGGTCAGAGCATTGGCACTGCATCTTCCTTTGGGAGCAGAGAGCTACATCTGAATGCCAGTATCCACACAGGTCACTGTGGACTGGCTTATCTCATTGGAAAGGGTATTTTACAGTTTTGATGGATTCTGAAGAAGCATCCCCCCTATTGAGAGAACACTGTCTCTTTTCTTACATATCCTGCAAATGCAGCACACCTAACAGACACCTCCAGTGGGAGGATTCTTCCTCTGACAGGTGAGCAATGTACACTGAGCCACAGCAAGAGTTGATCATCTCTAATCTGAAAACCTGAAATCCTTAAGACTCCAAAAACCAACACTTTTGAGCCCTGACATGATGCCACATTGGAAACTTCTACAACTTACTCCATGTAGCAGGTCACAGCACAAAGGCAAAATACCATATACAATTATTTCACTGTGCAAGTGCCTATGAAATAATTTAATTTTTTCTATTGATCTGGATTTCACCTCCAAGATCTCTCCTTGTATATAAGTATGCCAAACTCTCAGGTACTTTTCGGTCCCAAGCACTATGGACAAGGAACTCTCAATCTGTAATACATAGTATCTCCATCCATCAGCTGCTTTGATAGCAATTCCACAGGGCAAGTTTAAGAACATTGAGAATCAAAGAAAACAAGTGGAAACAGACCTTACACAACAAATACAAGAACCTTCATTTCCGAGAGAGAAGAGGATCTTTATTTAGTCCACTAGGGCTAATAGGTCAACAAAGGTCATTTCATCACTTGTCCATAGAACCTGACTATGGCTGGGACCCTTCTGCATCACAGAGTCTCCTCCGCCAAAGGGGCAAAGAGTCAAGAGATCTTGGTGAGTGACATTAATCTGTGCTTGGGAAGTGGAGACAGATAGATCTCTAAGGATTCAAGACCAGACTGGTCTACACAACAAGCTCCAAGCCAGAATAGACTACACAGTGAGACCCAGTCTCAAAATAAATACATTAAATTAAAAAAATTAAAAAGGGGCACCAAGGAGAGGTACACCATAGAAGAAATAAAAGGGTGGAGTCTAGTGTCCATTTTTGTCAGAGAGGTTTTTAAAAGTATTTTAATTGTGTGCGTGTGTGCGTGCGCGCCTCCTCAGGTGCCTGAGGAGACCAGAGGCATGGGATCCTTTTAGAGCTTAAGTTTCATATAGCTGCTAGTTGCCCAACATGGGTGCTGGGAACAGAAGCTGAGTCCTCTGCAAGAGCAGGAAGATGTGTAAACACTACCTCACGGGCATTTTTTTATATGCCAACACAGACTTCAGTTGGCTTCCACCTCGTGTCCATCACCCAGGGCACAGAGCTCAGTGCTGACTCATCCAGGACTATGAGAAGGCTGAGGCTGACCTTGTTAGAGTAGGTGCAACCTTGTTGGAGGAATTGTGTTACTGTGGCTTTGAGGTTTCAAAAGCCCAAGCCAGGTTCAATGGCTCTCTCTTCCTGCTGCCTGCAGAGCCAAATGTACAACTCTCAGCTTGGCCCTGAAAAAGGAACAGGGACCAGCTCAGCTTCCAAGTCCCTGGTTGTTCAGTAGTAGCACTGACCAAGACATAGAATCACTTTTTCCACCAGCATAACTTCAGTGTGAAAAATAAGGTTCTTTGTAAATAGTCTAGACATATTCTTTCGATCTCTACTTTCTACAGAATACCGTACACTTGGATCTGTCAAGAAAAAGTGAAATATTCTAGCAACTAGGGTAGGGGAGCATCGTTACCCTAACTCATACCCCTTGGGCTTCTGTTACCTCTCCCCTTCCCTTTCCCAGTCTCACTGCACTCTATTCAGTCCTGAGCCAACCACCCCACCCCTCACCCCCGGTTCTTACCGCAGGTTCCTGGGCAGCAGCTGGCTGTGCGGCAGTGGCTGACTGTGCCTGAGGCTGTGGTACTACCACAGCAGTCTTCTGCTGCAGGGCAGCCTGCTGAGTCATCAGCTGCTGTTGCTGCTGCTGCTGGTAGAAGTTCTGTATCAGCTGCTGCTGAGAGCCTCCCTGGGACACCACAGGGAACTGAGCAGGAACTGGTTGCTGGGCTGTTGGATGTCCTGCCTGAAACTGCACAGGAGAGTGGCAACAAATGAACCTATCACAGAGCCACATTCACAAAAGACTAATGTCTCAATAACTATAAAGACAACGCTGAACCCAAAGGGAGGGCCCAGCAAAAGCCTGGTAGCTGGGCTAAGTAGTTCAGGACAGGACCCAAGCATTAGAATCATACCAGCAACAACTGTACTGCCAGGCCCTTCCCACTGTACCAGACTGCTTCCCAGGAACAGTTCTAGGGAAGCTCACTCTGAGGCCTGGAGTGAACAGAAGAAATGCTTCCCTGCATGAATAGAATGCCTCAGTGATGTTGCTGAAAGAACTGAAATGTTAACCAGTGACTCCCTTTATGAAATTCTGCAATCTCAAATACCCTATCACTAGTGATTCTCCTCCTCTATGTGTTGTATGTGGAGTCTCACTACATTGCCAAGGCTTGTTCCAAAGACTTGTGGATTCAAGCCATCCTGCTACCTCAGCTTTCCAAATATCTGGGGCTAAAAATGCACCCCCTACCCATCTTTCTGGCACTTCTTTTATATCTCTCTAACCAACACTGCTTCGAACTACATGCTAGGTACTCAACAAAGCTCAAAATAAAAGTGAAGTCTTGGAACATCCCCAAAACCATTACTGAGTTAATTGGGATAGTCCTGGATTCCACGAGTCTACTAATGTAAAAGGTGAGCAAAAACAACACGTAAGAGTATAACGGCCTGTTTACAGCAATAACCAAGACACACCCAACTGGGATTTCTAAGTATCATTCTCATTAAAAACTTGAGAGAAATGGATGACTCAAAGTTGAAAGCAGAATGAATGATCCTGGGACAATCATTACTCTGGCAAAAAAAAAAAAAAAAAATCATTGACCACTGGGAGTCACATCCAAAGGATCTAAAAGTCAATCAGAAGGGACTCAAACACTCTGAGCATGTTTAAAAATGGTGACATATGCAAACCCATGAACTTACAATGATACAAAGCCAAACACTGTTGTCTCTGAATGAACACTGGTGAACAAAGAGCCTTACATTTTTCTTGCCCTTTTCTGTACAAAATGGACCTCAGGGTAACTACATAGATGATAAAAACCAACTCTTAGAAGCTGGTAAGATGGTTTACTGGGCAAAGGCACCTGCTGCCAAGAAGCCTGATAACCTGAGTTTGAGATCCAGGACCCAATTAGGAGAGCATCATTTTGTTATCCAAAGTAGGTTTAAGGATTTGGGAAATATCAACAATGGTTAATAAGCCAAAGAGAAAAATTGAAACAGGCAACACCTAAGCACACTGATGGTCAGGAGACAGCACTGGCCACCCAATGGAATGCAACAGGAAGAACAAAGAACTGACCTGATACTGAGCATATCTCTAGAAATCCCCCATTTAGGTCTGCTGAGAGAGCTTAGCAACTAACTGCATTTGTTCCCACATCTGGCAACCTGAACTCTATCCCTAAAACCCAGTGGTAGACAGAACAGACTCCTGAAAGTTGCCCTTTGACCTTCACATGCATACCATAGTACACAAGGTCACACAGACAGACACACACACACACAAATTAATGAAATGTGTTTTATATATATATATAGTATATATATACACACACACACACACACATATATATATATATATATATATATATATATATCTTGTTTGTTTTTGTTTTTTGTAGACAGGGTTTCTCTGTATTGTTTTGGAGCCTATCCTGGAACTCACTCTGTAGACCAGGCTGGCCTCAAACTCACAGAGATCCGCCTGCCTCTGCCTCCCGAGTGCTGGTATTAAAGGTGTGCGCCACCGACACCTGGCATTTAATTTATTTTTAAAAACTAACAGTTTACATAGTAGATGGTGGAATATACCAAATGTCACCAAAGGGTAACAAAGTCAAGTTCAAAATACATAAAACTTCAAAGAACAAATAGTCTCGTTCCTTCAAAAAATACATGTCAAAAGAGATAAAAGAAGATGTAAAAGATACATAAACCTCTCCCTGTGGTCAGAGGGTTCGCTCAGAGGTTAAAAGCACTTGCTGGGTTTCAGATTCCAGCATCCACATAACAAGTTAGGTGTTCCACAAATGCCCGTAACTCTAACTCTGAATGTTCACAAGTGTATACACTCAAATATATACATGTGCATACACTTATCCACATACACACATCCACATTTTTAAAAAAGAAATCAATCATAAAATAAAGGTGTTCAAAGTTAAAAATACTGTAATGAAAAAATACATAAAAATAACACATTCCTGGTTCAACCAAGAATATCTAAAAGGCTTAACACTAATGAATATTGTGTGCTAATAGGACATCGTTATTTTTCCCACTGTATCTCCTTAGAAAGTAGCTCCTTCATTGAGTGTACTAAGTTGGGGTAAACTCTCCAAAGTTTGAGGACAGAACTGAAAGTCCTGAGAGTTATTAATCTGCACCTTGATGCTTCGGTTTCCACGTCTATGAGAAGTGATGATGCACTGGTCGGTGGCTCTTGGCCATCCTAGCACTTTCTAAAACAGACACCTGCCCTAGCAGGCCTTTCAATAGTAACAATTCCACTCTGCAAAGCAAGGGTCCTATAGACCTCCTCACCGGCTGTGTCTGTGCCTGCTGCTGCTGCTGGTAAAAGGTGCCTGCTGGCTGCTGTGGTGCTGTCTGCTGCTGCTGTGGCTGCTGCTGCTGTTGCTGCTGCTGCTGCTGCTTGAGGAGGAGCTGCTGCTGGTGCTGGGGAGTGGCCTGGGCCTGGGGAGGCAGACCTTGGGGCTGGGTAGAAGGTGTTTGCTGTGGGGTGGGTGGAGCTTGCGGCTGCTTGGGCTGAGATTGTTGAAGAGGTTGACTGGGTGCAGGTTGGGCTTTAGATTGGGGAACACTGGCTAGAAGGCCAGGCTGATTGCTGGGTCCTGCAATGAAAATAAAGTCCATGTAAGGGTTCAAAACTCTACTAGACAAAAATGGCTTTCTGATTTGCCACTTGAGAAATGGTAGAAGCAGGCAGACTGTCCCAAGCTTTGTCCACTCCTTACCATTTTGCCATTTGTGATGTTCCATTTGGAACAGACTTCCATTTCTTGCTAAACCACGTGCCTCCTTCAGAGGGGTTTCCCTTATCCATCATCCCATTTAGCCAACTAGTCCTGTAGTCAGCACCCTTAGTCACTCTTATACACACACAGTTAACCATTCACTTAACATAGTCTTTGTACCAGCTTGCATAGCCACAGCAAAAGCATTCTTTGGTATTTTAGGAATAGCTTTCACAACTAGCATCTGAATGTCTGGCTGTATATAGATGGCCATCAAATTTATCAAAACTTGTTCCTGGTAAAGGCTGTAATAGTTGTGGTCTATGACTTATTATTTTGTATCAATTCCTGTTTAAACAAAGCTCACTCCTCTCATATAACAGAAGACAAGGACAGAGAATGATAAATACTCTAATAAATGTAGCATTAATGAGATGCTATTCTTCTATAGTTATCAAAAAGAAGTAAGCCTTGTTCCTTTAAAGGAGGGAGAAATATATAAAGTAAAGAAATAGGATTGGGTAGATGCAGACAGCAGGCTTCAGAAGTCTTGGAGATAGATCCACCTGAGTACAGAAAGAAGTTCTTCCTTGTGCAGTCACTTGCCATACACATTCATCAGCAACTCAGCCCAGGCTGTGCCTGCAACATTACCATCAAGAAGCACTGAAACGGGCTGGAGAGATGGCTCAGAGGTTAAGAGCACTGGCTGCTCTTCCAGAGGTCCTGAGTTCAATTCCCAGCAACCACATGGTGGCTCAGCACCACTGTAGTGAGATCTGGCGCCCTCTTCTGGCCTACAGGCATGCAGGCAGAACGCTGTATACGTAACAAACAAATCTTAAAAAAAAAAAAAAGCATTGAAACAAGCTGCAAGCAGTCACCGACCTGCGGCCTGAGGTAGGGGCTGGACAGTGGCCCTCTTACGAGGAGTCAGGGCTGGCTGAATGGGAAGGATTCCTGGGTTTGGCTGAGTCTGCCCAGCCTTAGGTCTCTGGCGTGGAGCGATTGAAGTCTCTGTGGTGGGAATGGGATCTGTCAGTCTAGAAAGGGGAAAACGACATTGCTGTTAAAAATGTGGGAAAACATGGCAGATAGGCAGAACACATGATGTTTTACCCTCAGCATTCCTTCAAACCATTCAGATTTGCTTAATCAACACTTCCCCAAATGCTAACTCACCTATAAAGGCAAACACATCAACCTAACAGCTTATCTCTTATCAGCAACCTTAAAGCCAGAAAGCACAGAATGATACATTTCAAACTCTGAAAATACATAACACCCAACCAAAATTACCATACCCAGCAAAGCAATCTTTAAACCTGATGAAGATTCAAGGACATGAGGGGAGGTGTGTATGTGCCATGATGCACATGTGGAGGTCGGACGCCAACAACTTCAAGTTTTGGTTCTCACCTTCTACCTAGTTTGGCACAGTCTCCCACATGCACAGAACTACATAGACCAGGCTAGCCAGTCTGTCAGCTTCCTGCAGCACTTCTCCTATGTCTGCCTCCCATCTCCTGGGAGCAGGACGGTGCTATGATTAGAGACACATCCAGCTTTTACATGGGTCCTGCCAAGTACTGCCTTAATTGAGGATGGGCCATCTCCCCATCCTCAATTAAGGATATCTGAAGACAAGCACAAACTAAGAGAGCTCATGACCACCAATCCAGCAACAAACCCTGTAATTTACAACCGGGACCTGCCCGCATAATACACTGGTACAACGGAGGCGCAAACATTGTGGGAATAAACAACTGCTATTTGATTGGATTTAAGGTTCACTCCATGAGACAGAATCCATGGCTGACAGGTGGCCAAAACCTTGAGACTAGATAGGCCTTGGGTCTAGGGGTACACAGCAACAAAATGTCTACTGGTGATATTTTATGCTTTATTTAGAAATCAGTGTCTTGCTCAGACATCATGAGAGAAGCTTCCTCTTGTTGCAGCAGATGGGAACTAAGAGACCCACAACTGGACACTGCACAGAGTGAAAGGCTTTGAAACATCAGTCCTAAAGGAAATGTCTTCATCAAATCTCTCCCCTCAGGACTCAGAGACAGGCGGAAGAGGAGGCATAAAGATTGTAAGGGGATGGAGGGCACCAATGAAACATCTTCAACAAACATGAACTTATCTATGGCAGCATACACAGGGTCTGCACAAGTTCAAGGTAGATGAGGAAGTAGACATGATTTTCCCATCCCTAACTAAGAAGCTATCTCCAACTGACAACTACTTGCAAAGGAAAAATACCAGGTATAAAAACTACACTTAAAGGTAGGCACCAAGGCCAAGAAGATAACCAAAAAAATGTACTCATTGGTGCTTTTCAAGATTTTTTTTGTCTCATATTGCTTTGTTTGGCATATTTTTATTTTTATGTATTTATTTATGGTTTTTTTTTTATGAGACAGGGTTTCTCTGTATTATTTTGGAGGCTGTCGGTCCAGCCTGGCCTTGAACTCACAGAGATCCGCCTGCCTCTGCCTCCCGAGTGCTGGGATTAAAGGCGAGCGCCACCGTCGCCCGGCTTGACATATTTTTAAAAATCTTACTGGCTTTTTGCTTGTATAATTAATTATGGTTTTCAATTTTGTGTTTTTAATGGGTTTTGCTTTTTGTATATCTGTGTATATATGTGTTTCTTGTGCTTTCTCCTTCTTATTATTCATTTATTTGTTTGTTTTTTATTTTTTTGTTGTTTGGTGTTTTTTTTTGTTTGTTTTTTGAGATCAGGTTTCTCTGTGTAGCCTTAGCTGGCCTCGAACTCTTAGAGATCTGCCTACCTCTGCCTACTGAGTGATGGGATTGAAGCCACGTGCCACCACTGCTGTCGCTTCTCTTACGCTCTCTCTCTCTCTCTCTCTCTCTCTCTCTCTCTCTCTCTCTCTCTCTCTCTCATTTGCTGAGGTTTTTTCTAAAGAGAGAGAGAAAGAAGGTGTGGAGTTGGATGAGCAGGGAGGTGGAGAGGATCTGGGAAATGAGTGAAGGACACAGTGACCAGAACACACTGTATGAACTTCCAATAAAAAAATAATAATTGAGCTACCTCCCCAGTCCCCGAATATACTGTTGAATGACAAGTGAGTTCATTGAAGAAATTAGGGGGAAATAAACAAACTTTTTTTCCTTAGCAATAATTCTTTTACACTTAAAAGAAAAAGTAAAAATGTGACTAAATGTTTCCCCCCACCCCAAAAAGCTGGATGGTAATGGCACATGTATTTTATACCAGAACTCTGGAGGAAGAGGCAGGTAGGCCTCTAAGTTTGGGGTCAGCCTGGTCTACAGAGCCAGTTCCAGGACAGCCAGGACTACACAGATAAACTCTGTGTAAGAAAAAACAAAAATAAAAACAAACAAAGAAAGAAAAACACCACACCCACATACACAAAAAGATAAAAAAGTATTTGGTGGACAAATAAGTTGTAAACACACTGACCAAAGACTGCGAACAGATTTCTTAAGCATGTCAATGTGCCGAGATTGATTTTACTCTATTTATTTGTTTGTTTTTCGAGGAAGGGTTTCTTTAACAGCTCTGGCTGTCCTGGAACTCACTTCATAGACCAGGCTGGCCTTGAACTCACAAAGATCTGCCTACCTCTGCTTCCCAAATGCTGGGATTAAAGGTATGCACCACCAAAGCCCGGCTGACTGTTGAGATTCCTATATAGAAAACAGTGTCCCTCAAGCTGATTCCATCTTGAGACTCTTTTACCAAACCCAGGATTTCCAAAATACACTCTGAGTAATAGTGGGGCAGTGGTTTTGCAAAGAGAACTTAAATTTGGTTAAAACTAGCTGTTATAATGGGCTCTCTAGGGGCTGGAGAGAAGGAGTTATGAGTGCTTGCTACTCTTCCACCCAACCTGAGTTCAGTGGCCAGCCTCTACACAGAGAACAGACAATAGCCCATAACTCCAGCTCCAGGGGATCTGATAACCTCTTCTGACCTTTGTACTCAAAGGACGTATTATACCTATGGACATACCACCCCCCCACACACACACATAAACAAAAATAAATCTTTTTAAAAGGTAGGGAGCTCTCTACAGTGAAAAGTATGCAGATGAACTTACCAACAGGACAAATGGAAGAAATAAGCAGTCCAAAATAAAAAAGAGTTTAAAATTGGGGTGACAGGAACACCATTTCTCAAATATGCACACTCTTTTGTTTTCCACAATAATACATTTTCAGTTGGACACAGAGTTACCAAGGTCAAGATCACATAGCACAGCCTCTTCTGCAACCTGATTATATACAGAACTGGCTACAGGTGACTATCTGTAGACAGGTGACAATCTGGCATTTTCTAGAAACCTTAAGGAATAATCGTCTCTTTGACTACTTCTTGATATTGCTGCTTTGAATATGGGTGCTGCCACATTAATCCATGAGATCATGGTTATGTCATAAGGTAGGAATGTTAAAATCATGAAGAAACCTGGGACCCAGGAGCTTCATGGAGCAGAACAACCCGACTACCTTTGGTGGTCTGAATAGATGTTCCCACAATCTCAGACATTTGAACACTTGATCCCCAGCTGGTGATGCTATTTGCAGAGGAAGTATGTCACTGGGGTGGACTTTGAGAGCCTAAGGCCTTGCCTTCCTTACAGTTGCTCATGCTTGCAGTAAATGATGTGAGATCCCAGCATCTGGCTCCAACCACCATGCCTCCTGCTTGCTGCCATGCCACCCCATCATGACGAACTCTTATCCTTCTGGTACCATTAAGCCTGAATAAAATACTTTCTTCTATAGTTGTTTTGGTTGTGGTTCAATGGATAAAAACACATACTGCTTTTGCGGAGGTGCTGAAAGTTAAGTTCTCAGCACTCATGTTGGGTGGCTCACAACTCGTGTAACTCAAGCTCCAGCAGATCCACTATTCTCTTCTCACCTGGGGGAGGGGGCAGCGCACTTACCTTCATGAGCACATAAATCACATTTACACTTAATAAATAACCAAATAAATATTTTAAAAATACACATAGTTATCCAGAGTCTTTGTTTACAGTCTATTACTAGCATTCCCTTGCCATGGTAGGAAAAGGAGGGGCAAAGAACCTTCTGGTCACCCATAGAATTTTTCATTTGGAATCCATGTAAAATGTGTCTAGCAGACCCTGAGCTGTGACAGGTGTGAAAACTAATGTAAAAGTCCAGCCCGGTATGTCTTGAAGCCTTCCTTCCCATAGACTCTCAGGCCCCAATTCCCAAGTGCAGGGAGTCTAGTAGGAAGGGACTCCTCTGCTGCCAGCTCTAGGATAAGAACTTCCGCCATCCTTCCGGAAGTGGTACAGTAGTCTGGGTCATATCTACCTTCTCCTCCCCTTCCTCTCTGAAGTGAGATTTACACCTCCCAGTTACCCTCCTAGGTTTTTTCTGGTTTGCCCCCTGTCTCCTCTAACTTGGGTACCTTCCTTTACTTGTTTAATCCTTTCTTGCTATCTGTTCTTGAAGACCCTAGGTGACTCCTATGTGATTAGCTAGGACCTAGAAGGATCTTTTGTTGTTCATGGACTTTCATTTCAACCACACTTTCCTAATATGGCTGGAGCCAGAAAAGAAAGGAATGTGTCAGACTAGGGTATAAACATGGCTAACCACCAGCTCAGAAACAGGTTAGGTAAATTTTCTACCAACAACCCTTAAAGTCTGGCATTGCCTCAACCTAGAAAGCCCCTGTATCTACTAATAGATTCATCTGTGAGGTTGCTGAGTCCTTTGAAATGTAGATCTCAACATTTTATTATATCCCTCTGGCGTTCCAAAGAACAGTTTTTGCATAGGGAGACAGAGTTTGCTTTCCTGGTACGGAGTGCTTCTAGTCACAGAAACAGGATTCCAGCAGCAGGCACCTCCACTGAGGCTGGCACCAAGGACAGTGCAAGCTCTTGAGGGTGTTTCTCACCTGGCCTTTGGCTGGGTCTTCTTTACAGCTGCCTCACTGGCTTTCACTGGTTCAGGAAGTTTTGCAGGAATGGGAGAGTTCTAAAAAGTTTAAAGAATAAAACATATGAATTTCTTCATAAATAATAAGCAGCATGAGGTCAGGTATGATGACCTATGACAGTAATCCCAGGACCTGGGAGGTTGAGGTAGGAGGATCATGAAATCAAGGTCAGCCTGGGCTACACAGTAGGATCCTATTTTAAAACATAAAATAAAAATAAAAACTCTAAACAAGGAACAACTAGTCTGGGGTCTTCTACTATGACTTCTAGGACCTCATCTCCCTGAGGGAAGGGAGGCTAGAGAAATGCATGAGATGTATCAAGGAAGGAAAATGCCCAAGAAGAGAGACAGAGTAGCAGGGTGAATAGAGTCTTGTCTCAGGAAACAAGGCAACTGATCTCTCTAGGGAATCACAACAGACATGAGTCTCTCAGTGAGCTGTGCAAGTTGGAACTTGGTCACTCTACTCATAGCTCAATTCCTAGGCATTAGAGGAGGAGGTTGTTAATGTTCAGTGCAGTTGTCTCACTCACATAATTAAATTCCATGGGATTTATAGTAACTACTTTACTTGAATGTTCTGTAGTTGGTAAAGCAAGGGACATAAATATTCTTTGAATCCAGAAATTAAAACCCACAGTGACTCAAAAATAACAACTAGTTGATGTTTATTTCCTTTAAATAGCACCATTTTAATGAACTCATGGCAGCTGTGGTTACATGCACAAGACCTACCCAAGATCTAGTTAATCAAAATTCTAGAGAATCATGAAGCCCCACATCTTGCTGAGGAGTTGAGCAGTTGATGCATGTTGAGGGAGGGTTATTTGTTGTTGGAGATGTAACGACAGTAGGTAGCCAGAGCTCAGGTGGATAGCCCCACATCTTTGGGCATACAGACAGAACTAATAGGATTCAGTAAGTTATTTAAAAACAAAAAAGAAAGAAAGGGAAATGACAATTTGGGAAGGGGTAGGCTAGAGAATGTCGTAGAGGAATTAGAGGGAGGAATCGGGATATATATGATCAAAATAGATTGTATATATGTATGAAATTATCAAAGAACAAATAAAAACATCTTTAAAAATTATAAAAGCACCATTTAAAAAAGCACCAGTCACATACCTGTACATTTGGAACTGGGCATTCTTTCTTGAGCAGTTTAAACGAGAAGTAAGAAACCTGGTAAATATCTGGCCTTTTGTCAGGGTCTGGTTCCAACATATACCCTAAGGCAGACATACAAAAACTTATTCCATAATATCTTAACAGTTGTTGTATCAGCTAGATAACTAAGACTTTTCTACTATCGAAGTTGAGTTGTGTTTTAAGTATCAATTCTCATAAAAGCCAGACAGTTCAATTAACCCTTTTCCTAGCAACAAAAACAAGAAAACTCCTTGAGCTGTAGCAAAGTTACTTGAGGTTCATATCCTGTGCCTTCAGACATGCTGAACTCAGAGTTTGGTGGAAGACAATCCCCTAGGTTCTGTTTCCAGGTCTAAAAAAACAAACTCATGAATGTATTTACTACTCTTGCTGGAGAAATGAGCTAGTTTTTAGTTGGAGGAAAATTAAGAAGCTAACATACTCAGCTCTATAGACTGCCTGTCTATTTACAGATCCTTTAAGTGTCTCTGACACTGGAAAATTCCTCAGGAGAAATCTTTGAGAAGATGCAAGCACATGTGTAAATACATGCAAGAATCAAGACAATTTACTGCTTGAGGAACAAATGAACTGGGAAGGAAGTTCAGAAAACATCTGTGAGGCTGAGCCTCAAATGGCCTGGCCAAAGAGACAGGACAAAAGTTAGTCATGGGTGGGCAAAGAAAAAGGCAGTCAGGCAAGAGGACAAACGCCAACAAAGGCAAGCTTAGATAGAGGTCAGAAAATGAACACTGCTACGTAGAAACAGGAGCCCAAAGGCAATATGTCAAGATGGCTGCCTGGGCAGGACAAAAACAGAATACAAAGTACCCTAAACACCATACTAAGAATCAGAGGCTAATTGTGGGACCACTGGCAAGCCACTCAAGTTTACTCAATGGGACATGAGAAAGTGACATTTCCTAGGAATAATCTATGGTAGAAATATACTGGAAGAATGAAGAGAGAGTGGAGAAGCTGGGGACAGTGTATCAGGCCATGATCCACCAGAGTCTGTGCATACTTTGATGACAATAAAGAGAATCAAGACAAGTAATTGAAGAGAATCAATGACAATAAAGAGAATCAAGACAAGTGATTGAGGGACTGGAGAGATGGCTCAGTGGTTAAGGAGCACTGGCTGCTCTTCTAGAGGACCTGAGTTCAATTCCCAGCAACCACATGGTGGCTCACAACCATCTGTAATGAGATCTGGTGCCTTCTTCTGGCCTGCAGTATACATGTAGAGCACTCATACACAATATCTAAACAAACAAATAAATAAATATAAAAAAAAGACAAGTGATTGAAGAGAACCAATGCAGCATAGGTCAGCTTCTTCCCTTTCTCTGCTCTTTCAGACCCAGAGAAAATCATATGCTATCTATCCAGGCATGGATGGCAATGCCAACAAAACAAAGTAAAGAAAGGACAGTCTGAGGAAAGGAGTTGGGGAGGTAACAAGAGACTGAATTTGAGGCCTTTAATTTAGAATCTTCAAATGATGGGGGATATCCTTCTGTATGCTGTGAATATATGGTTCTCTTATTGGTTGGTGAATAAATGCTGATTGGCCAGTAGTCAGACAGCAAATATAGGTGGGGCTACCAGACTAGGAATGTTGGGAAAAGGAACAGAGACAGAGTCGCCAGAGAGACTCCATGTAGCCACCAAAGGAGTAACATGCAGGAACATTATGGGAAAGCTACAGCCTCATGGCAATCTGTAGTTTATTAGAAAAGGGTTAATAATTAACAGAGAGCTAGCCAACAAGAAGCCTGACCCATCAGTCAAACTAATATAAGCCTCAGTATGTTTATTTGGGACTAAACAGCTACAGGACCTGGCTGGAAAGAAACACCATCTTCCTTCAATGAGCTTGCCCACTAAATACAATCCAGAAAAGTGCTATAGTCACTCATAAAGAACTGTTTTTCCAACATGAATGCACTGTTACAGATGTTAGAAAGGAAAAGTAGGAAAGAAAAAGAAAAGAGCTATGAGTAACACCAAGACCAGCTCTTCTGTCCCATTTCTTTCCATACCTGCAGTCCTAGGACACACTGCTTTGATTATAAACAATCTGATAGTCCTCGAGGTCCACATTCCTATCCTATAAACACCCTATCCTCCTGCTCATTGAGAAGTGGAACAATGGGAACAGCAGTTGTGGAACTTGAAAATCATTTTGTTTCTTCGGTGGGTAATATGGACAATGACCCTTAAAAATCTACAGGTTTTGCCAGGCTTAGTAGAGCACACCCTTGATCCCAGCACTTGGGAGGCAGAGGCAGGCAGATCTCTGTGAGTGTGAGGCCATCCTGGTCTACATAGTAAGTTCAAGGACAACTAAACCTACATAGTGACATGCTGTCTCAAATTAAATAGTTTGATTAGACAGACAGAAGTCCACCAAACCTACAGCTTTTGAGAATAGGTGAGGAAGAGGTAGGCCTCAACACAGGTCAAACACCACCTCACTTCTCTTTCTCTCAAACTGGGTAGCTCAGGATTTATGGTCTATGATGCCTTTTAAAACTTGGTTGCTAAATGTCTTGTCTAGCATTTTTAAAGATGAGTTTTTAATAAATCTGTTTCTTTAGCATTTTGTACAGGTTCTGGTACAAAGTTTACTTTTCTGCCATCTGGTTAGTGGATGTTAGTACATATGCTGGCTATAATAACACAAAGGAAGGAAAATCTTCAGAATTTTAAACAAAACACTCAATGTAGATTCTTGCTGTAAAAACCTAGTGATAATCTAAATAAGAGGAAAAACCTGGCTCCATGGAATTATATGCCTTAATTGCACATTCATTCTAGTAGCGCAATCATGCTCACTTGAGTTGCTTTACAAAGATGAATTTCTTATCCCTTGATGTGAGTCAGCTGGATTCGGAGCTCTTATGCAGACTGCAGAACACAGCAGCATCATGCTGCTCGGAGCACAACTACCATCCCCATTTGTGTGGCTGGCTCAACCATGAAGCAGAGCTGTTTCCCAGCAAAAAGACCAACTTTTCTAAGTGAACACTGCCATGCTATCACCATTCCCAAAGTATCAAATGATTTCTTTACCATTGCACTCAATCTTATTTCTGGAATTTAATCACTTATCCTCCAATCTATTCTTAGTGATTAGAAATAAAAATATGAAAATGGAAACTTGAAATACTTACTAATAAGGCAGTGCATGTCTTGAGAATATCGGGAATTATCGGGAATTGTGAAGCTTCCATCACAAATTGCCACCTGGCTCTCCCCAAATGGCAAAGTGAAGTAGCATAATTTATACAACAAACATCCAAGAGCCTAAAAAATAAGAAATCAGATTGCAACTAGTGATTTATTTACTGTAAAGCCAGTGATCTGCTTAGAGAAGTCAATACCAGCCATGTTTCCAAGCAGAAACAAACCCCACATAATATTATTACCTATGTAACACTTGAATTTAGAACCCAGGGTGACAACCTAGCATCTGAGTTACATTTTATCTATGAGAAATAAAGATTGTTTCACCTGGTTTATTATTTAGAAGTATACCATACAAATGAAAAGCACTGGAACAACATGCAAAGCAGGTTTGTTTTTTGTTGTTATTGTTATTTGTTTGTTTGTTTTTTTTAACCCCATATTCCAAGAGGCTATGCCTTCCCCTCACATCAAGAGTGCTGGAGAGATGGCTCAGTGGTTAAGAGCACTGGCTGCTCTTCCAGAGGACCAAAATTCAATACCCAGCACCCACATGGCAGCTCACAACTATCTGTAACCCCAGTTTTAGTAGATTCAACACTGTCTTCTGAGGACAGACACTGCACACACATGGTACACAGACACACATGCAGGCAAACACACACAAAAAAAAACCCAATAAAATAAAATAAAAAGATTATTATCAACAGTGGGCAACACGGTGTGCTCAGGAATCAGCCAAGGCCTGCTGACATCTGGCGTGTGGGATGACTTAGTTGACACATACCCAAATGTCTGCCTTTGTAGTGATGATTTTGCCACTGTACAAGTTGACCATTTCTGGGGCTCGATAGGACAGCGTTGTGTATCTATAATCAAGAGATCCATGGTTTGTTAAAAATATCAGTGTTATAATTAAAATCAAGGAGAAGCAACTTTTTTCACATTACTAGAATCCAATTCTCTGGTAGCAATCTGCAGAAAAGCAAATTAAATATTAGTACAAATAAAATGAAAGACTCTCCTTGGTACAATGATATTATTACATCCTCTCACTCCTAGGACTTTGGGTATTAAGGTACTCAAGACATAAAGGAACTAAATAAAGTCCTAAAAGCACCCCTTTTGGGGGGTCTTCACATGAAAAAATTCCCCTATAAATCATCATAGTCTAATGTTTTGAAATTAGTTTTTAAAATAGTAAGCCCTTAACATGAGACTTAGAGATGCAATGTAAGCAGCATATCCTGAAAGTGAGCCCTGCCTGGGGTAGGGTTTCATGTGTTCTCTCTGGGGAGGGTAATGTATGCAGTGTGCATGTTCATGTGAGTGGGGAACAGAAGCTGATACTGAATGTCTTCCTCCATTGCTTTCCAATTCATGTCTTGACACTTGCTAGTGTGATGAAGCTAGCTATCCAGCTTGTTCCAGAGAATCCCTGTCTCCACCTCCCAAGTGCTGAGGTTACAGACAGGCCATGGTTCCCATCAGGCTTTTCTATGAGTGCTAAGGATCTGAACTTTAGCCCTCATGCTTGCATGGCAAGCATTTTATACATTGGCCATCCTTCCAGCTCCATAAACATGGGTTCTTTGAGGCTAAAACTACAGTGTTGTCTTTGGCTCAAGAAACAGTAGTGTAAGCACTTGTCCCAAGTGAATATCTTGACATTACTAAACACTCAACTAAGCTGCTCTGGTATCTGGCCCCAGGGAGATTTCTTTGGGTGCTTTATCAGGGCCTTGGAAGCAGTCTTGCCTGAGGCATGGTTATCTGAGTGATACACAAAGGGGACAGAAGCTCGCCGTCTACAAGTTCATGATGGACAGCTGATTTACTAGAAGCCATAGTAAGTGTATTATGCCTAGGAAACCTAACATTATAGGCACGAGGTTCCTATAGGAGTCAAAAATCTAAAGAGACTTCCTGTCAAGTCCCTGATTCAGTAACTGCAGAGGTTTCGGTAGCTCTCTTTACCACGAGGTACTCAACCATTCTCTAGTGGTTGAGTACCTCATGAAAAAGGAAGTAGCACTTTACAGTTCAGTAAAAACCACACACCTGTCTTAGTCATGATGCCATCCTGTGACATCCCTTGGAAATATCATGGTACTTCAACAAGTATGTACCACCATTTAGCCTCTAGTTTCCCTTTGGGTTTTTGAGACAAGGTCTTGATATGTAGCCTAGGTCAGCCTTGAACTTAAATTCTCTTGCCTTAGCTCCTGAGTTGCTGGGATTATAGGGATATATCACAACTTCTCCACCCTCTCCAGCTACCACTCACATTTTTATGGATGTGTGGCACTATAAATTAAAATACGTGAATACAGTGACCACAGGAGCATTGAGAAAGTTCTAAGATTCTTCTGCCAGCTTCCACATACAATCAAACAAACAATGCCACAGTGAACAGTCACTTTGGGAAAAGGGTAACCAGCCAGCACCATGTTCTTCTCACTGCTTCACCCATAAGCTGAAAGAGAATGTGCTCATCTGATAAAGGACAAAACTCCAGGAAAGGAGAAAAGGCTTACTTCTTAATCTCATCTTCTACTGCATTGACTCCCTCGGCCTGTGGGTTCTGGAATTTGTTGGTGGCACTTCCAAAGTCACACAAGACATAGTGGCCTCGGTCATGCAAGAGGATATTTTCAACCTGAAAAACATCCCCAAACCACCCAATCCAAGATGCCACTTAGTAATGGAAAAAGGCTAGTTTCAGTCACATAACAAAAGGTTTCACTTTCACAATCATATTAGTGTGCACAGAGAAGTATTCCTCACCATGTATCTTAAGAGGATTCACCCCAACAAAAGCAAAAAGAAACACAGAGGAACATGGTAAAATGTAGGCAGAGAGCAAAATAGTGGGAACTACACTGTTGGAAAGCCAGGGCCCCATTTCCATGCCTAGCCAGCTACAGCCAGTCACATTTCTCACCTCCATAGTAACAGTGATCATGCTTTCAAACTCTTGCTATACTTTCAATTTAGCATGCTCTCCATGATCCTAGACTCTTATCCAACTACCAAATAATCATTTGCCCTTCAAATCCCAGTACAAAGGCTACCTCCTTTTGGAAGCCTCCCCAAGGACCCAACTCAGAAAAATACCATTTCCCCATTTCCCTTCAGTGTTTCATTTTCCATGCTGTCAATTGCTTCACTTTTAAGTGGGTATAATGATGTCTTTACTATATTAGGTTGAGATCTTCAGAACTGATGTTTTTCATATTAGTTACTTCTCAAAGTGATAAAATGCCTGGTGATAAACGAACTGAGGGTTTGGGTTGTTTGTTTGAACTTTTAAACAAAGGAAATCTTTGGGTACTAAGTTTAGAGTTTTAACTTAGTAGAGGATATAAGAACCAAGATCTAGGGCTGGAGAGATGGCTCAGCCGTTAAAAGCTAGGCTCATGATCAAAAACATAAGAACTAAGACCTAGAGAAGCACTTATGCCCATGAAAAGAACTCCAAAACAATGGGCACAGGCTGAAGAAATGGCTCTGCGGTTAACAGAACTCACTACTGTTGCAGAGAACCCAGGTTCCAATCCCAGCACCCACATGGTGACTCACAACCATATGTAAACCCAGTTTCAGGGGATCTAATACCTTCTTCTGGCCTTAGTAGACACCAAGCATGCACATGGTGAACAGATATACAGACTATACATATAAAATAAAAAATTTTAATTCAAATTTTTACTTATTATTTCTGATTTTGGTTTTTGAGTCAGGGTTGCTCTGTATGACAACCTTAGTTGCCCTGGAAATCTCTCTGTAAACCAGGCCTCAAACTCACCGAGGTCTGCCTGCCTCTGCCTCCCGAGTACTGGGATTAAAAGAAACACTGAGCACAACATTGTCATGATACACTGATTAGCTCTTGTTGTATGGAAATGAGTGGATTAGAATGGGGGAAGACAGACCTGGTTATACATGGCAATAAAATAGCAGCCAAAGCCTAAAACCCTTGGTACGCCCTTAAAACTGTAGACTCTATGGTCCTTTTCTTCATCCCCACAGACTGACCACCTTGGGAAAACAAGGCAAATAGACTATAAGCTCCTCAAAGACAACCACCTCTCAGTCACAGCTAGAATCTTCTTTGCCCAATTATACTACAATTTTAGTACAGAAACTATTGAATAGAATTTAAAAAAAGACACATTTAATAATCTGGTTGGGCATGCTACATTCAAGGACCATTCATGTTCCAGTCAAGACAGGAGTTAAACACTCAAGCCCTACTGGTTCTTTACAAATATCTGAATGAGTAGGAATCCTCTTGTTTCTATTGTTATATCTAAATTTTTCTCTTAATTCTTCTAAAAACTGAATTAAGTGTATTTTTAGCCTATATTTTCTAATTCTAATTATTTGAAATCTTTGCTGCAAACTGACTACAGATTATTGTTTCTTATTGAACTTCATATTTGGTGCTACTGTGAAGAGTTTTAATGTTGTTTTTAGGTGGTGTCCTTTGACCTTCGTGTGTAAGGAATATTTTAAGTCTGTGGTTCTGCTAGAGAGGATCAGAACAGCAGTGCTAACGACACTCCGCCTGTACTGCTCACCTAGAGTTATGGAAAGGCGGCAGAGATGGCCATGAACCTAAGTAAATAGGTTCTTATGATGAAGAATTCTTCATCACAGAATTAAGAATTATGAATGACTGGGGTAGATATGTTCCCCTGAAATTAAAGCTAGGGCAGAAAGTATTTTTACTACCTTATCTTTTTATAAAGGTCACCAATTTAATCTATTTACACAAAGAGAAACTATCAAGCTATACTAAGCATAAACTCACTTTAAGAATCCAAAATAATAATACCAACAAAGCAACACTCAGAAATAACAGACACCATTTGATAAGCAGTAGCTACTGCCAGTATTACTTTACTCTGCAAAATTGTGATTCCTGTCTTACAGCTGGAGAAAGTGAGGCTCACAGTAATTTAGTCAATACTATAACATACCTAATAGTAATAGAGCTTGGAGTGAACCTAAGCCATGTAACTCTAACAAAATACAGGCAACTCCATTTGCTGCCAGGGCAGGAAAGTCAGAAGCAGATCACTCAAGATCACCATGTCCACCTCCAGCTCTGAGCTGTGGTAGGGGTTGTGGGGACATGGGATTGGGCTCAGGGGCAGACTTTCTTAACCCTTTATATTCAGAAATGCCCCTAGAACGGGAATCTAGACAAGAAGTCAGCCATCCTTCCCAGCCGGATGTTTTTGCTCACACTTGCCTACGCTTTCTTTATACTGTCTAATCTGTCCCTTTACTCCATTGCTCCCTTTCCATTAGCCAAGTGTCGGCAATTCACGAAAACTTTGCTGGCAAAACCTTCCACAACTACCCTAAAACATATGTACAATCTATTACCCACAGGAGGGAGTTGGAAAGGCCTTAAGGCCAAACCTAGTCATGACCACAGGTTACTTATTCTGTAGTGCACATGTTGCAGTTTGTTTACAAAATGCCCATCAAAAGGTTCCTGTGTTAAAATCTTGGCCTGCAGCTAGTACATCCAAGCATGAAAGTGTTGATTTCTTTAATGAACTGATACACACATGAGTTCACAGCTGAATGGGTTTTTAGGAAGTAAATTACTAGTTATGCAACCTTATAGGTTCTCTGGTCCCCAGTCCCTTCTTGTTTCCTTCTACGTCCTATGTAGGGTCCCCATCATGATATTCTGCTTCACCTCAGCTCAAAACAATGAATCAGGTGACCCTGGACTGAAAACTCCTAACTACAAACAAAAATATTTTTTCTTCCTTTTGTTTTTCTCAGGTACTTTTCTCAGCAATGAAATCTGGCCAACATAATATAGCTACCTTTTCTCCAGTGGCAGAGCCAAGCAATTCAATGAGACTATATGACTATCATGTCTAAAACATTCCTATCTACCCTTCTGCTGGCAAAGTTTGCCAGTGTTTGATCTGGCTGATGATTCAGAGTTCTCCTCCAGATCTGTAGCTGACTACTGACATATTTATGATTGCCTTCCCCAGTACAGTGCAAATCCTTTGGGCCAGGGTAGTGTATTAGCCTATGAATCCCTCACAGATCCTACACCAGTGCTGTACTTCAGCAAGCACTCTTAAAAATCTGCGAAATCACTTGATCTGCATTAGGTAGAGATGATTTTCCTCCCAGCCTCATGTACCCTACAGGACCTATGTGAAATCATGCTTCTCCCAGTTTATGCGTCCTCTCCCTTTCCAAGTCAGATTCTATACTTGTAACATGGAATGTTCATCTGTCTAGAAAACTAAAACAGTTCATTCGTAATAAATGCCACAGTAATTACAACATCAAAAAACCCACTGGGGAGTGAGGAATTAATCAGACAAAGCAGAGTAAGATGAGGTACATTATTGGCCTGAAATGAACAACACTAGACAACTACCTACTTTGCCCACCTGAGGGGAGGGTCAGAAACTCTGAAGGTGAAACTGCTTGTTGGCACCCCTGTATTTTCCATATCTTCTCAGAGTGTCCTGTGAAAACCTGGCTACTCTCCATCATCACCGCCACCAAAGCACTCAACAATGACAATGGACCCAGAGTGGAAGACTTCAAGAGTATTTCTGATGTTTGACCTTAGTTAAATCCTCAAGTCTCTTTTGGCTTGTTTCTTCTCTGCAAAGAGGGACTGATAACATTTCCATCACTGTTACAATGAAGTAAGTAAGGGAATATATGTCAAAATAAACTGTAAGTTCCCTGACAAATATATTACTCCCATTCACTTATGAAAGAAACATGTTTGAGTTCCTACAATATGTCAAGTACTCTTCTAGGTTCAGGGATACAGCTATAGGAAAACAAAATCAATCCAGTCTCTTCTGGAGCAGTGCTAGGCTGGAAATGTGGGACAGGGGTATTAAACAACAGTGCTGTCACTTTTGGGGAGATATGTGTGGCTTTGGAACAGGTAATGAATTAAGAGGTAAAACTAGGCAGAGGAATAAAGTACTGAGGCAGGACTGACGTTACTGTCAATGTCAGTACCACATGCCAGAAATCGATACCCCATGCACTTTTACTTACAGTGATCATGTAATCCTTAGTAAGCTTTGCTGTCCCCCTTAACAGATTAAAAAAAAGACAAGCCAGTCAAACACTCAATTTTCCTGGGGTCTAGATGACAGGGCAGGATTTAGCACCAGGCTTGCTGACTTCTGAGACCACACTCAGTAACCATGCTGATGTGTAGCATGCGGTTAATGAGCACGGACACTTCAGGCTGCTAAGAGAGAAGGAAGGGGGCAGAGTACGGACAAAAAGACTGGGGAAGACTATGTAGGAGGCACTTGGGATTTCTAATTTTAGGAGCTCAAGAAAACCACCATTTCTCTCATCTTTGCAAAGAGAAAGCATAAAAGAAAGTGGACGATGAGGGCAGAGCATGAAGGAAGAAGAATAGGTCCAAGCAAGGGCAAATAGCCATGGGAAGGGCAGGTGGAAGGCAGCAAGTTAAAGGAGCTTAGTGAGGGAGAGAGCTGACTAGCATTCACACACACTAGCAGAGTGCGAGCATTCACAAGCTCAGGCAAAGCCCCAAGGATGCAAGCTTGAGACTGGTTGCCATTTGTAGTCACCCTTATGTTGATATGCCCACAGTATCTGACAGAAACAACTTAAGGGAGAAAAGATTTATTTTGGTTTCCTGTTTCAGGGTATTTTCATCTATCCAGAGGGGAAGGATTGGTAGCAAGCATTACATCACAGTAAATCAACCAGGAAGCAGAGTGGCTGAAGCCAGGGCCCAGGCTCTATCTGTTAAAAGGCTTACCCCTAGGGATCTACTTCTGTCAGCTAGGCTCTTCCTCCTAAAGGCCCTGCTAGCTGGGGGAAATGCATTCAGAACAGGAGCTTGTGGGTGACACTTCAGATCCAAACTACTTACTGCTGGTCAACACTTCAGTTTTCTGAGAGTCCAAGCTGCTGATCTTATGCCCAGCCTAACAGCTTAAGAGCCTTATTGAAGCTGTCCCTTCAGATTCTCACAGAGCTTTTGCTGGGGCCTCTCTTTGCCTCAGCGTTACTCTAAACAGCTTGGCACTGAGGCATTTCAGAGAATTGAATACCTCTGAGAAACGTGGAGGATTAGAAGAACACATCTTCAAGAATGTGCCTTTAAATTTAGGGTAAGAGCCCTTACCTTTCTATACTCCATGAGATCAAAGTCTCTTTTGTGACAAAAAAAAGTGAGCTCTAGGCTTTTTCACCTTAATATATTTGTTCATCCTGAACTCTTTCTTGCTTTTCCTTAAGAACACGGACAACTAGCATAAATTAACACAAGACAAATTTTAAAAAGAATAAAACAGGAAAAACAACCTCTATCTCTATTCTGATCTGATAACTTAATTAGCTGTTGGTGTAGCAGTCATGGTTTCTCTGGCAAGGTTCTGGACTTGCAAATAGTAAAGGCTGGAATAGGTGATCTTCCCAGATTTGACCCTATGGTTTGCAACAATGACCTTTATCTTCCCTCAAAGAAATGAAAATTAAAATTGTGAGGAAGTAAATGAAGCATTTCAATAACATCTGAAGAGAGCTCTTGCTTAGCACAGTACCTCTACTGTGATTATTTTCAGAACATAAACAGTCTAAGGACTAGAACACTTTGGGTTCGTATGCCATAGAGAAATGGAAAGAGAGGCCACACTCATGCTAGGCAGGGCAAGTGGCGCTTTCCTCAGTTTTGCCTGTGAATAAGCAGACCCCACCCAGATTAGCCCAGGTTCACACAGTTTACCAACAGGCATTGCTATCCAGTTTAGAGAGGACAGAACCACACAGCTCGGAGAGGTCAAATAATCTGAGCTCAGGAGCTTGAGCTGATACCTCAGAGTCTGGGGAAGGCAGGGTATTGTAAGGTCAAGTGCTGCAGGGAGACAAACACTCAAAAGTGCCCTTGCATTTGGCACTGTCACGCAATGTTCCTATGGTCTTACAGTTCTGCTGCCACTGCCCACGTGGTGGTACAGAGGCAGAGAGTAATATGAAATCTCACATGGAAGAGCTGGATTTAAATGCTGACACTACTGTTTCCTATTTGTAAGGCCGTGGGCAAGACACACAGTCTCTCTGCTATTTAGCTTCCTTACCTGTAAAATGTAATGGCGAATGTCTAAGTACACATAAAGTTCAGTAGAATATTTAGCACACAGTTGCTACTCAATAAATGCTAAGCTCAATACTAATCAGGTGCCAATTCTATTGTGCAAATGCTATCATGTGACTTCAAAATGAAACACAGAGAAAGGTGATGGCAATCAGGATCAATTATTAAAAATAATTAAATATGAAAGAGAGCTGGGGATACAATTCAGTGGTATATTACTTGCCTAGCATGTGTAAGGCCCTGGGTTTAATCCTTAGAAATAACAACTCTGTGTGTATGTGTAATAAAAAATAAGCATAATTATGTATAAGCTACTTAAATTAACATATTAATTTTCAAAACCATTAAAAATTTAAAATACAGTAATAAAAATGAAAACATGTGAGCTCAAACATTTGAAATTTTAAAAATTCTAGAGGCTAGTTAATAAGTTGATACTTGTATTGTGCCTTTGCTTTCTGTTTTCTCTCCCCAACTTCATTGTGAGCCCCAAACTAGAAACTGTGTCCTTCCTACTCCTCAGTATGTGCTCCATCCCAGGGACAGACATAAATTCAGTAAAAACACAATCCACAAGCAGTCTGTTACCTTCAGGTCCCGATGGATAATAGGAGTTTTGCACTGATGTAGCCGGGCAACAGCCTCACAGGTGTCACAGAATATTTGCAGTACTTCATTCTCTGTAAAGCCTGTTTGTAGACGCTGGTTCATCAGGTTTACCACCTGGCCTCCTGAGACAGGTACAGAGCAAGGGAAAGGATATTAACAGGCAGACACATCACTTGGACGAAGGCACTGACAGCTGTCCAGACAGAAGTGGATCACTGCCCAAGCCAGCACTAAACCCCAGGAGTCTCAAGTCTCTGCTTGAGATTTGTTTTCTTACAACCCAATGTCTCTTCTGACGCATCAGAACCAGATTATTCTATTAAGCACACAGATGTGAACTTCCCTCGTTGTATCCCCAAGATTAGAAGCAGAATTGACATCATAGTCAGTTATTGCTGCCTGACAGTCATGTCTCCACAGTGTAGGAGATGAGGCCAAGCCTGTCATGTCTTTCAGAAAAAAATTAGACAGCACAACAGATCCAGGGAGTGGGGGAAAAGATGGGGCTATTCCCACTTTGAAGTCTTCAACTCTGGGGGAACTTGGTCTCTCTGGGAACAAAAGACTGGTTACCAATCTTTTTTTTTCCGAGACAGGGCTTCTCTGTATAGCTTTGGAGCCTGTCCTGGAACTAGTTTTTGTAGACCAGGTCTTGAACTTTGTGGTCTTGAACTCACAAAGATCCACTTGCCTCTGCCTCCCAAGTGCTGGAATTAAAGGCATACGCCCAGCTCTGGTTACCAATCTTAAACAAAATTATCCAGACCTGAGTCCTCCTACTGCCTGGCATCTAAAAGGTCCTATGCAAAAAAGGAACGGTCAAAAGGGAATAAATTGTCAAATTCAAATTTGGTAGAATTTTACAAAATCGGATTAATAGTCAACAAAAGCCAAAACTACTGGTTAAAGTCACATTTATAGGGTAAGGAACAATTTATGGACAATATCTTTTAAAGTCATAAAATGTTATTGGCACTAAGGGCAATTACAAAACAGGGCATCAAACAGTAAGGCAATGACCCAAACCTATAAAGTCAGCTGCTTAGGCCAAAAGAGCCAAATCTCCAAACAATGGGTGCATGGGATGTCATCAACTCAACACATTTGTGCTACAGTCTCGATTTCTCAGGACAAATGCATGAAACTTCGAGGTTTCATCTATTTACAGTTGGAAACAGTAGCACCTAAATGTAGCTTTACTGGGTATTATAGCCCCAGAGCAATAAGAGGGTCACAGACAAAAAGAATTTTTCTACTCCATCACAGGATGTCAGTGGTGTGAGTGGAGAAAAGGTAGGGAAGCTGCAGTTTCTGCACTAGGCTTTTATTATGTGCCTTCACTGCTAAAGCCTCATAAAGAACCCATTTTTTCTCAATCCCATGTGGTTCCATTTATATACACAGCTAAGCCTTTCTATACCTAATGAAGACAGAGTCTGGAATTACCTATCATTTTCAATTCTTTGTACCATAACCCTTGTAGTCATGAAAATAACCAAGAGCAGCAAAGGACTGCATAGCTTTCCCATCTGTGAAACCAGGGCATTATCTTTGGGGTGCAATGGTCCCCATGCTCTTGACCATTAAAGTGCCAGAAACAAGAGCTTCAGTAGGCTCAACACACACCTCTGCAGAAGTCCATGAGAATGAGAACTTCCCATACGTCGCCACTGCTTACATTGTTGATACTAGAATCAATGTAGCCCACAATGTTCTTGTGCCCTGATAGGTCCCTCTGTGAACAAGAGTGGAGAAGTACATTGTCAGTTATGGACACAGTAGAGCAGAATTAGCCAGCTTGGTTCCTTTAGCACAAACAATGTAAATATATAAAAACAACACTAACAGTGTAGAAAAGAGAGAGTGATATCAAGAACAAGTTTCTGGTGGTCTGGTGGCCCGGACAGATCTCCAACAGCAATTCCACTGTCCTGATGAACCACAGCACTCTCCAGAGCTGCGGCTCTAGAGTGAACCACACACAGAACACTGACTCGGTCACCACATAAGCACTCCACCTAAACCAGCAGCAAGGACTCCTATAATATCCAGAAATACTGCAGAGGACACAAACCACAACAACTATTCAAATGTAAAATTTTAATACAGAAAAAAAAAAAGATTGATGCTTCTGTTTACGGGGGCAAAAGTGAATTCAGCTTGAATTTTTATTCTCTCCCTCTCTCTCCCTCCCCCCTCTCTCCCTCCCTCCCCCCCCCCTCTCTCTCTCTCTCTCTCTCTCTCTCTCGCGTGCGCGCGCGCGTGTGTGGATAGGGTTAGAGAAAGATTTACTACCTGCAGCATTTAACAAGAGTTCTTTCCAAAGCAGTGTCTTCCCTGAACAAAGGAATAACAAGGGCTTTAGCTGGGAAGCCTGCACAAATTCATAAAGGAAAGGGCATATTTCTGAACATGCTCCAATTTGACTTTTTAGCAGTTTCCCTTTAGGAAATAATATGAAAAGAAAAACTGCCTTGCAAGATTTGAAGGGATTACAATATCATCTAAAACCGATCCAACATTTCGCTCATAATGAAGCTGTTCCCGATGACCAACTGGAATAGAAGATGCAGCATCTGCTGAACTGCTCACCAGCTCTCAGGGCTGTCACTCATGGGTTTTCATCCTTCTAACAGGTACCTACTAAGCACCACCCAGGCACTGGAAATCACCTCACATCTTGAACCCCAGAACAGATATCTATGGTGATGATACTAAAACACGTGGCCCATGTTGCAGATATCTATGATGATGATGCTGAAAACCAATGTCATTAAAAACTAAGTTGGGGAAAGAAAACATGAGGAAATTGAATATGATTTTTATACAGATGCAAGGTAAAATTAAGATTTGCAAATTAATTGTAACACACTATTTTACCTCCATTTAAGGGCTTAGGGGACAGTGTAGAAAACACACAGTTCCATAAGGCTGTGTGTTTGACTGAAGCTTAGGCTCTGGAGTGGTCCAGTGGGACAGTGGAATTGCTCCTGGAGATGTGGCTGGGCTTTTCGGAGTCCTTGGGAAAGCTGTTCCTGACTACCCTAAGTGCAGATTCCAATGCTCACAATGACAAAGCTAGCACAGAAAGAAACATCAAGCTGTCATGTAAATACCTGAACCCTCAGCATCAACAGGAACACCCACTCCACTTTCTGTGTTGTGGACTACAAAGCAACTCTGACAGAACAGCAGACCCCAAGAAAAACAGACAATGGTAGGTATGTGCCTACAGGAAACTTCTGGAGACTGGGGTGAGAAAAATTCTGGAGAAAAGATGGGATGGGATGAGAATATAATGAGTTGAACAATGTCTGTGGATCACTTTCTCAGAATATCTGTGTTTCAGAAGAGGCTGTCTCAAAGGAAGAATTGCCAGGAATTGTGAAAACCATACTGGATAGTGAGAACCGTAAGAAGATACAAAGACATGGAGAGCTGGTGGGACCATTCTACAGGTCAGAGAGATGAGGTTAGGATTACAGTTAAGGGGTGGAACAGATATTATTTTCCTGCAAAGGGGGGCAGGGCAAAGGTGGTTGTTACACATTGTGCTAAGGATGAAGAAAAGGGGAATTCAAATGGGCTCAGAGCTATGGTTTTGTTTTTGGTATAGAATAAAGTCATCTTCAAAATAGGATGAGAAAGAAACTTTATGAGGCAAAAGCCTCAGTGAACCTGCCTCACTCAGGTCACAGATCAGAAAGATACAGAGGCTAAAAAATAGACTCCAGAGCTCAAATTTTATAACCCAGAAGGCATTCAGACCCCATCCTTCCCTCTACTTTTCTTATTGTGGACCTTTTTAGAACTCATTTCCATTTACATGGTCCAAAAAGCAGGGATAACTGCAAAGAAACTTCTTTTTAAATTACGTGTATACGTATATGTCTACATGTGGGTGTGTGCATGTGAACATACATGCCCAAGGGTCCAGAAGACCCTCTTGATAGACTGGAGTTTCCTAAAGATGAAAGAGGGGATAAGTTTTTTACTTTGGAAAGAGGTACTTGGTGCAGTGTGGTTTCATTTTACTCTTCCTTTCACCTCTTCATAACTCTGTATTTATTTTCTAAATCTTCTGGGCAAACAAGCACATCTCTAGTCACCAGTCAAAGAAACTGTGGGCTGGCCCTCAGTTCTAGTGGAGACCTTGCTGAGCATCTGCCACCTAAGAAGTCCAAGATACTTTCTCTTCCCCACACTAACATGTATTCACCCCTTCCACACTGCTTAGTTTTCATTGTCAACTTGACACAAACTAGAGTTACCCAGGAAGAAGGAACCCCAAATGAAGAACTGTTTCTCTTGGGTTGTACTGTGGGCATGTCTGTAGGGCATTTTCTTGATTGCTCGATGTGGGGGAAACCCCACTGGGGGCAGTACCATTCCTAGACAGATAGGCCTGGGCTGTGTAAGAAAACTCGCTGAATGTAAGCTTGGGAACAAGCCAGTAAGCAGCAGTCCTCCATGGTCTCTGCTTCAGTTCCCACCTCCAGGTTCCTGCTCTGACTTCTTCCCTATACACTATAACCTGAAAGTGTTATAATAAAGTGAGATAAATCCTTTATCCCTCAAGCTGCTTTCGGTCAATGTTCTATCAAAAATAAAAGAAAATCAAACTAGGACACTTTTTTTTTACTCAATTAATTTTGCACTTACTGAATAGACTTTAAAATGTTACCTATAGTCCTACTACACCTCAGACTTTAATAGGACTATGGATCACCAAGGGATCACACTGTAAAGCAGAGTCTGATCTGGTAGGCCTGGGCAGGACTGTTATCAGCTGTGCACCATACTGCTGTTCAGTGGCACTTACCTTAGGAAGGCCATATAGCAGCACTCCAAGTGTGGTTAGTTCACAGATGCTGGCTTCTCAGTAGACTGCTGCCAGTCCACGAAATAAAGAGCAAGTTCATCAATCAACAAGCCAGCTTCCACCCTAAAGAGCTTTTAACCTTTGAAAGAGCAGATCATCGATTTCACCTTCTGGCACAAGACCCTTTTGGCAGCAACTGTACGTTTACATCAACTACTTCTTACGTGTTCCAAGGCAACTCAACCAAGTAAGAATGGTCTCTTGAAATGGTGGTAACAGGACATTCTCACTTTTTTTGACATAACTTTGAGGTCACTTTGGCTGCCTCTTCATTTATAGCTGTGTTGCTTTGCCATGGTGTTTCTTTGTTGTTTTGAATAGGGATTTCCCCCAAGATTGCAGGTCTAGTCTGACTCACGAGAAGTAAACTAGCTATGCCATACTCTGCATTGTTATCCTCTGCACTGCCATCCTCTGCAGTGCCATCCTCTGCACTGCCATCCTCTGCAGTGCCTCCTCTGCACAGGCATCCTCTGCAGTGTCATCCTCTGCAGTGTCATCCTCTGCACTGTCATCCTTTGCAGTGTCATCCTCTGCACTGCCATACTCCGCACTGCCATCCTCTGCACTGTCATCCTCTGCACTGTCATCCTCTGCACTGCCATCCTCTGCAGTGTCATCCTCTGCACTGCCATCCTCTGCACTGTCATCCTCTGCACTGCCATCCTCTGCAGTGCGTCCTCTGCACTGCCATCCTCTGCACTGCCCTCATCTGCACTGCCATCCTCTGCAGTGCTATCCTCTGCACTGTAATCCTCTGCAGTGCGTCCTCTGCACTGCCATCCTCTGCAGTGCCTCCTCTGCACAGGCATCCTCTGCAGTGTCATCCTCTGCACTGTCATCCTTTGCAGTGTCATCCTCTGCACTGCCATACTCTGCACTGCCATCCTCTGCACTGTCATCCTCTGCAGTGTCATCCTCTGCACTGCCATCCTCTGCAGTGTCATCCTCTGCACTGCCATCCTCTGCAGTGTCATCCTCTGCACTGTCATCCTCTGCACTGCCATCCTCTGCACTGTCATCCTCTGCACTGCCATCCTCTGCAGTGCCATCCTCTGCACTGCCATCCTCTACACTGTCATCCTCTGCACTGCCATCCTCTGCACTGCCATCCTCTGCACTGTCATCCTCTGCAGTGCCTCCTCTGCACTACCATCCTCTGCAGTGTCATCCTCTGCAGTGCCATCCTCTACACTGTAATCCTCTGCACTGCCATCCTCTGCAGTGTTGTCCTCTGCACTGCCATCCTCTACACTGTCATCCTCTGCAGTGCCATCATCTGCACTGCCATCCTCTGCAGTGCCATCCTCTGCACTGCCATCCTCTGCACTGTCATCCTCTGCAGTGCCATCCTCTGCACTGTCATCCTCTGCAGTGCCATCCTCTGCAGTGCCATCCTCCGCACTGCCATCCTCTGCACTGCCATCCTCTGCAGTGCCATCATCTGCACTGCCATCCTCTGCACTGTCATCCTCTGCACTGTCATCCTCTGCAGTGCCTCCTCTGCACTGCCATCCTGTGCGCTGTTATTCTCTGCACTGCCATCCTCTTCAGTGCCTCCTCTGCACTGTCATCCTCTGCACTGTCATCCTCTGCACTGTCATCCTCTGCACTGCCATCCTGTGCACTGCCATCCTGTGCACTGTCATCCTCTGCACTGTCATCCTCTGCAGTGCCTCCTCTGCACTACCATCCTCTGCAGTGTCATCCTCTGCACTGCCATCCTGTGCACTGCTATCCTGTGAACTGCCATCCTCTGCACTGTAATCCTGTGCACTGCCATCCTCTGCAGTGTCGTCCTCTGCACTGCCATCCTCTACACTGTCATCCTCTGCAGTGCCATCCTCTGCACT